CTAGCCATGCTGCCAATGTTGATACCACCTTTCAAAATGGATAAGATACTTGGATCAGTTAGCTACTGGAAACCCAACAATCTAGAAGGGCCAATGGCCTCCGCTTGCAAGCAATTGAAAGCATGCCTATATTTATCCTTGTTCCTCTTGAATTCAACCAACAATCTCCTGCCCAGCACTTTGACAAAGACTTTGATGAAGAGGCTTTAAAGTGTAATTCCTCTGTAGGTAGAACTTACCATCCGGTCTCCTTTCTCATGAATGGGGACTTTCACCCCCTAGTTGCCACTCTGAAGGTACTGTAACTGGCTTTTCAAGCAATACTAAAGAGGCACATTAACCATGACACTGCAACCTTGTGCCTTCAACGCTCCTTAAGTACAGGCTCTGTCTGATTCTACTGTGAGGTTCCAGGAAGCCAGGTGGGAAACCAGAATCCATCACGTTTGCTAAAGACCCTGGAGTGAGTTCACTTCGGTTGTCATCAGGTACCCTTTCACACATGCTGATGTCGTTAATTGGTATGTCTGAACTGAGGAAGATCCCTTTGAGAGTAGCTCCTCAGGTTGTTGGAATCCTTACTAGCAATAAGATATGTTCTGTAAACGACAAGAGAGTCAGATGGATGGGGTTTCCTTGGTAAAGAACAGGCTTTCAACTTCTTTCACTGCATGGGACACCGCTTCACAGTACAACCTCTCTAGCTGTAGCTGACTCCTCAGGGTCCTAACAGAATGTTGTCAAGGAGGAGATCTATTTTTTAAGGCGCAAACTGTAGATGTTTTTTTTTTTCCCTCAATATGAATCATGGGTGAGATTGTGAGGTGGGATCAGTTTCGCCATCCTTCAATATTGCACTTTGAAAAGGGTCAAAGGAATGAGATGGATTAATCTGACCCTGCAGAGAGGTGCCTGCACATGCTGTCATGCCTTAAGCATATCCAGATATATGTGTTTTACAGATATACTTTATATGATAATTTTCTAAAACAGATAATTATACAGTGAGATGTTGATGTTATTTGCTTGACCCAGTGGAGACTAACAATTAATCATCTATTCAGAAGAATTTCCCAGTGGTTATCTCCTAAACTACAGTCTGTGCATCCTAATGCTACTGCCTATTTTCTTCCTCAAGTTCATATTTTCCTCCTAATTCCCTTACACATTACAAAAAGGGAATTTAGAGGGAATTGAATGCGTGTACTCATCTGTTCCCCAAAAAGCATAAAAAAGATAATTCATTCAGACACCTGAAATGCACAAAGCCTGTTTCCCCCAGCGCTATAACACATTCTGCCCTATTTGTATGACTAATGACTGTTAAATTTTAAATTAATTCAATTCTTTGGTTGCAAGCAAAAAGCAACTGAATTCCAAACTGCATCATTTCTTACAAAACACTTGCTGTTACTTATTGATGCAGAGAATGTAACACTCTTTGTATACAGTTACCTTTATTTATCCTTCATGCTTTTGATACCTCAGCAACCATTTTAAATTTCATAGCTTGTTCTTTAAATATGAACATGCAACTGTAACTAATTGACAAGGTTTGTCTGTATTTGAGGGTTTAAACTATAGCTACTGAAGCAACAGCTGTGGTCAAATGTTAGTCACGACAGCCAAAAAAATGTATGTGTTAAATTTCCTAGTAAGTAATTAAGATCTGGTAAAGAGAAGAAGATGGAGCAATGTGCAAAACAAGGCTCTCTAATCTCAAACATGATAGGGTTTGTTCCTTACGAGCCCTGTCACCTAATTTGCTAATTCCAGTACATTAATAAAGTAATTACATGGATATTCATTCACAAATACAATCACATAGTGTTACACAGTTAAAATGTATTTCACATCTGTAACAGCTGTACTTATTTGCTTAGACATAATGTAACCTTGATAATTGTGTGGTTGCATATACCACTTAAAGAAATTAAATCACACATGATTTGCACTGGACGTCTGCATAAAACTTTGTGTAGCTACAAAGCAATGTAGTCCTTTCTCCATGTGTAACTACAACACATTTCTACAGTATCCTTAATGTGAAATGTTACCAAGGTCTTCTCTAAGTGCTTTACAGAACAAAGGTCTTTGCAGTTCAATTCAAAGTGTTTTTTTTATTAATTCAATTCAATTCCTGTTTATTTTTTATCTGAGTCTACTCACCTAGACAGGGCCTGCTACATATATAGGTCAAAAGCGTCCTAGAGGAGAACAATAGTTAAAGAAGGTCTTAATTATGCTTTTGTTTTAATTGAGAATCATATCATAGGAAGATATTTTCCAATTAGCTGATGAATAATTAATAAGACTGCAGCTCTTACTGCAGCCCTTCTGCTCTTTGTCTCCTTTCCTGGCTAGGCACTCAGACGAGAGTTCCCTACAAAAGAAATTGTCTGTTTAGGATCACTCAGACCCAGATACCAACAGCTTACTCCCTTTTGGTTCCATTAGGTTTACATTTTTGCAGAACATTCCAGCCCCTTAAAGAAGTGCTATTGCTCTAAATGGCCTTGTTTTAATTATTTTCTCATGAAAAGGTCTTTTCTTTTGCTTTAACAAAATCGACAACAGCTGTGCTAACATGTTAACACAAATCCCAAAAGCATAACAATCTCCATTTTCACAATAAATCATATTCACGAAGACTGGGGCTTTTCAAAGAAGCACAGATCCCAAACCGTAAAATATAAAAGTCATTCACATATGGTTCCTCTACTGTATAGGTTTTGGTCAAAAAGAGGTTAAACCTACATTTTGAATGTAATATAATACAATAAGGTCTTAAAATTGATGTAGTATTTAATCTATGAAGCAGTTAATTGTGCTGTGTGTTAGCAAAACAAGGTGAAGAAAAATGTCATATATTCATAGGATTTTTCTGTGAATGAAAATTAACGAATTCCCCTTCATTATCAACATTTACACAATTTATGAATGCAATGCTTCAATCTTTATTCTGTCTCTTGCTGTATATACAGCTGTGCTTAAGATAGGTAACTAAATTGCTGGACTAACCTGTCTTTCAGAAAATGCTTTAAAAAAGATGTTATAAGCAGCTTTTGAAATCTAATTCACTATTTAGCCTCTGCAAGCTCTGGATAAAAGCATCAGATAAATTATTACTACAACATCTATTGACAAAGGCATAAAAATCTGAAAATCATTCTTCATCATGACTTTCTAGGATTTAAAATATCAGCTAAGAATGTGCTGAACATTTATGTAACAAGATTCTAATTTTTGTATTCAGAATTTCCCTTATTTCCAGTCTTTTCACTTCAATCTGCCACTATGGTGTATTACTAAGTGATATGCTTCCCTCTACAGCCTAAATAAGGCATTTATCTTTTTTTTTACATTTCTGAAAGTCATACCTAAGAGGCATATTAATATTCTGAAATACAGGTTAGATGAAAGAAGAAAATAATTGAATGTATACCTAATTCCCCTGCAGCGGTTCTGTCAGAAACTACAAGATTGAACATGTTTCAGTCAGAGTGGTATTTAATTATTTGGTTCATGTCCAAATCTCACTTTATTTAAAAGTGAATCTGTGCGATATAATAAGGCTATCAAATGATCTCATTAAACATGAAGTAGTTATTGATTTTATACATACTTATTCCACTTTAACAGACATAAAGAGCATAATATTAAATTAACTGTTGATTGTAGAACTCCAGTAAAACTGTAACTTAATGGTGGATACTGTCACATGATTGGCATTATTAAACTTGCTACTGCTTGTTGTTTTAGGCAGAATAAATATTAACAAAGTTCCCTTTGTGCTGTAGGTAATCAACAATCTAACAAAAGCTAATGAAATTTAAGTATTAGCTAACAGTTTTCAGAACTTGAGGTCTACAATATTCAAAAACAGATTTTTTAATAAATTAAAGGCTGTTGTTCATATTTTATCCCTGTGCCTAGGGTCATAAATCCATTTTATATTTCATGGATTCCAATAAAGTGGACTCTTTAAAACTAGTCATAGTGAAGGTGAAAATTTTTGCGGTCAAAATATTCATGAGATTACGGTGGCGAGTATGAGACAGACAATGTATTAGACAACTGCAGTAATTATAAATTAAGTCTAATCTGTTGTTTCCTTCAATTCTTAGCATAAATCTACAGTACATTTGCATTCCAAGCTTTTCTTGCATTAATCTTTTAAGAAGGCATGTTTAAACAGAGTAGGATTATTCAAAGTTGATTTAATATTCGCAAATTTTCATAGTTAACAGCAAACCCATTCTTTTCTGTCTGTCTGGGCACACTGCCATAGTGTTAATATTTCTCCTGGAATGGATGTGCTAATTTGGTCTAATTCCTTATTTTCAAACACATATCATTACTCAGTAGTTTTAAATATGCATTCTGGTGGTTATGCATCACCTGTACAGATCTTTGATGTCTATAATGAACATTTCTTAGATGTGGTTCTTCATACAGATCACTTGCTTGCCTCTTACTGCACTACTTTTCTTGAAAAGGTGTGATTTTTCCCTGTTAAATTAAAAGCTAGACCTATGTGCAGGAAATGGCCATTTATCAAATCTAACAGTGGAACAGAAACAGTACACATTTCCATATACAATGTAAAAGCATAACACCAGTTATCAATGACTTACAACAGACATACCCATTGGCTATTGCTTTGGCTTGTGCTCTTCGTACAACCTCAGCAGTGTCTCATCAAGGCAAAAGATAATATTTAAGGCAGCCAGCTTCATAAAATGTCTTCAACATCTTCAACAAGAAGACTTTAACATGTGAAATTTTACATTACACAACATCCTGTCTAGTAGAAGTGAAGGCATTAGTGGGAGGTTCTGCTTTAGAAGAACAGAAAATTATAAGGAAGAAAAGAGATATAAAAAAGGAAAACCAGAACCATAACATGTTTCACAAATGAGCAGATTTCAGGCAGGGATTTACCAGATGGTTCAAATTCACGTTACAAAATGTCCATTTGTTGATGGTCCCCAAACAGATTAAAACGTTTAAATGATTTTTATTAACATATTTCTCAGATTCAATAAATACCCCTAATATGCCACTACTAAAACAATATGCAGAATGCATAAAAGAAATTAAACAACCACACATTTGAACTGTCAGCTATACATTTAGTACAGCGATATGCAGGTTTGCATATCAAAAGAAATAAAGAAGGAAGTTACATGAAGGATTTCAGACCACACAACAATTTCACAGCTATGTTACACAAAAGAACATTTGTACATTCGTACTCACTGTATGTGCCACTGATAAGTTTTACCTATTTGAAAGCATCCCCCATGAAAGACAATTGTCCATTAATGTGCTGGTATATCTTTCCATCTTCATCATTAAATTGTACACAATCCAAGATAACTCTGTCAACTTTTATAAAAAACAGGCATTTCTCAATTTATGCACTCTTAATTTGCATATTTTTAGTATAACACGCTGCAAAAATATATACCATTTATTAATTTAGGTCAAAGCAGTTAACACACTTGGCCATTGGTTTTGAGTCGGCAATTTCTGTCTCCTTTCCAGACACAATCCATCCAAAAAGTGCAATTTTTTTACTTCCTAGTGTCAGTGTCTTTATAAACATTACTTAAAATTTTAGCCACCTGGGCTATACACTTAAAAAAAGAATTGCTTTTCTTCCATTTTAAAAATATATACATACTCTTGTCCAAGTTTGTTAACAAAATATAAGTCTGAAGAGGTACATCCATTCTGGAGCCCGAAATTGAAAGGCCATCATTGGATCTGAGAAACTTTATCTTTCACTTTTTCCTCAATGTTAGCAAAATACTTCATTTCAGCCAAAAGCACCTTTGCTCTGTTAAGGTCTCCTGAAATAAAGAACACACATTTATCACTCCATCATTCCTGACCATACGATATTGTGATACTACATGTGAATGTAGTACTGAATGCCACTGTATCAATTCCAGACTGTCCAAGAGCAAGTGATTATTGTGAAGAATTTGGCTGGTGCTTTTATCAAAAGTGACTTTCATTTATACAGCTAGACATTTTTCCTGGAACATTCTGAGTGAAGTGCTTTGGTCAAGGGTAAAATAGCAGTACTGTGATTTGAACCACAATCTTCTTTCCTGTTAAGAGTCCAGACTTTACCACAGCTCCACACAGTTGCCTTGATGACTTGAGATATAGTCTTAGAGATTTATAACCTTAGAAATTCAAAACTGTTCTTGCATACTGTAAATCTCAGAAATGTTAAGTGGGATGTACATATTTCTAAATTGTCACACCTCACATATCCTCAGCTATCAAATAACAAAAAAAATAATTTCTAATTACACATGGGGAACTACATTCAGTAGTGCATCAAAGAAAATAATATAGATTTAGTACAGTACCTTCGCTGAAAGATTTATTAATTTCTCCAATCAGGTTTTCCAATTTACCTATTCAGGACAAAAAAGTACATTTTACAATTCAAGCTATCATTGCATTCATTATAAAGGTGCATACAAACTAGACACAAACAACGAAAAAAATATTTTAAAAGCAACTATAGTTCAATTGGAGTAAACACACCAGTGGAAAGCAATGTGACATTAACATAACGCAACAATATACACCTTCAATGGAGATGTCAACACTTAATAAAAAGATTGCGTTCCTCACATTTAGCAGCTTGAATTATATATGGATAATATTATGTAATGATGTTGGAATCATAAATAATACATCTAAGAGTCCAATCTTGTTTACATCAAATTAGAACAGCTCTTTCAGCAGTTTAAAAATGTAAAGCACTTTGCAAAATTTTAGCCTATAAAGTGCCTATAATAAATTAATATGATGGACAGATTGAATGTCTGAATATGTAGATAATATATTTAAGCAAAGATAGATCACTCAGTTTTGCATCAGCATTATGAAAAATATATGTGCAGAATGAAGATAGGAACACTGTGCTAATCTTGTGAAAACTCAGCTGCTGGGACACACTATATAGCTATAAAGGCTGTGCGTTTATTTGTAATGTCCAGTACAGATAATCATGAAATGTACATAATCTGACTGTCTGATAATAAATATCACCATACTTCATGCACAGGGTCAATTTTCTATCTTGTTTGAGCATTTACTTCAAGTAATGCATTTTGGCACTTTATAAATAATGTATATTTCTTAGAGCAGAAGGAAGACTCTGCCAGAGGTGATAATTCTGCTGTTTATGAAGTACAATTATTTAAAATATTGAAGAATGTATTATAACTATAGTTCCTGTCAAAGACAACTACCACTTCAGTTAAAATTTCAGAGAAAAACTAACAGTTCGTGTTAAAAGCTAATACAAAGCACCAAGACGCATAATTTTACCTCTGACGAAATGCCAGATGTCACTGGCTTCTTCTTGACTTTGTGTTTCAGCCAGTCTTTCACTTATCTCCAGGATATCCTGGAGAAACTCCAGGCTCAACCCACAACCAGGGTCTCCCTCCAGTTTCATCCCTTCAAGTTCCAGCTAAGGAGAAATGAAGACTTTTTTTTTCCCCACATACTCAAATTGATGAATGCAGGTAATCTTTAAACTAGTGAAAAACGGAAGTGGTATTCTGAATGAAAATTACTGAAAGTCCAATGTCTTTATTTATGCTGGTAAAATCAAGCCAAGTGTGCTAAGATACTGTATGTATTCACATCCAAATTTATTCATAGCCTCAAAAAAAATGTAACAGCTGATTTTGTATGAAAATTTAGGTGTACATTTTATATAGTTCTTGAGAAAAACAAACTATTGTATGACTTTCAGACCTCTATCTTACAAAGAACATATAAAAATAGTTGCATTATGTTTAATTGTAGTCAAACCCCAGCAATCAGTATTTTGTGACCCCACCTTTGACTTGTGGAAGGGATTACTTTAGTAACAAGTGATTTCCAGAAGCTTCTACAAACTTGATGTTTTGTGAAACTGCTAGATGACTGGAAAACATTAGAGAACTGACATCATTCATTTTCAACATATATACATGGTATAAATAGATTTTAACATTTAACACTTGCATTTAAAAATATATGCAATAATTTTCCCATTAATGCTAATTGATTCATTTAATACTCCCTTTTATAGGTTAGACTGAAATGTATAAATGCTGAAACATCAACACCTGTATATTATTGTATAATATATGTATATTATTACGCAACATTTATTACTGCATTAATGTCACAAATGTTAAAAAGGAAAACACTGAAGATTGTAATATTCTAAGTTAACACCTGTCAAGGAGTTGGCTTAGTTCAATAGCTGGTTTTCATCCGTCAGTTCTCTCACTGTATGCAAAAAGTAATGGCAATATTTTGAACTTATCTATGTACTGTATCATTGTCACTGCTAATTTGACAGGACTGATACTTACCATATAAAGCCCACGACTGAGAGGCTTAAGTAAAGTCCTGTATGCTCTGTTAACCAGGGCAGACTGACTTTCAGAGTATTCCTGCTCCTGCTGTAAGAGACATCACAAAATAACTTCCAGGAAGTAATCAATAAAGACCCTGCATGCTATTTATTACAGCACATGTTCCAGAAATCTCACAGGGCAATCATAAGACTTTATTTTCCCCAAAAGTAAATTTTTTCCCTTTCCGTCAGTGTTCAATGTAGCATACTTAACATGATCTGATGATGTGATATAATAAATTATTTGTGAAAGGAAAGTTACTAGTTCTGACAGGCAGAATGTGCTTGAACGTACCAAAGGTTAAAAAGCACTTGATAACTCTTTATATGAAATGCCTCTCATTTTCATTAAAAAAATAATGTAGAAAAAACAGAAGGTCCACATATATCTGGGACTAAACAGCTTCAGTCTTGAGGCCAAGCATGAAAAACGTATTCACAAACCTGAAAGGTGCTGACAAGGTCAGCCCAGAAGATTACTTTATGCTCAAGAGTAAAATAAGTACAAAAGGGCACAACTACAAGCTGCTCATGAAAAAGTATATTTATGGCTGAAAACAGGAGAGGCTTTTTACACAAATTTTTGTGGAGGTTTGGTACCAAGCCATGTTGTTGAAGCTAATACTGGAGATCAATAAACTATTTAGACAAAGGTACCATAGCAAGCTACTATTTTCCTGGACCAAATTTTCAAAACCTTCACAATAAGTATACAAAGTATTACAGAAGCAGCTGTAAACCGCTTTATGCTGATCCGTGGTAAAAGCTACAACACAGCTGGTCATTTATCAATTACATCATAAATAATAACATGAAATTAGGTGCAAAAAAAGTTATGATTACCTAAGCAGTGCTTCAAAGTGCCTTGAGCGTTAAAAAAAAAAAGGTCTATTATATTCAAACAAATTAACACAACATTGGGGACCAGATCTGTACATGTGTATTGCCTACTGTTTAGATGCAACTCAGTCCAGTTATGAAACAACTACATTAACGTCAATGTGGGATTATGCAGTACTTTTGTAAACCTACAGCCAAACCTTGGCATTCAGATCTGCTTGCCATTTTATGAATGCATCTGAATAGGCTAATTTTACACTTACCAGGTCCTGAGTGTAAGAAAATTTGATTTTTTAAAGGTCTTGTCATGCTTGGAATAGTTGAATGTCTTGAATCCAACAACAGAAGCTGGTGTGTATGAAACATGTAAAAGGAAATAACTGAAAAACCATCTCATGTTTGGAAGACAAGTTGAAGGTAAAAGGGCTCAGCAACAGAGGGGCATACCAGGCTTATGCAGCCAATGGGAATCAATGAGAATTAAAAGTGGCCGATTTCTATGTTACAGCCATACATCATGCTACACAAAACACCAACAGTCAGTCAAGCCCCTCATTTAAAACTGATCTGTAGACTGGATCATCTCCAGAGTCAGTCTGCTCCTAGGACCTCAATATCCAAAAGCATTAATTAGTCAGTGCCGCTCCATATGGTTAAATATGGTTAACAATCAGCAGCAGGCAGATGAAGCTGCATGTTTTCCTGGGGGCTTGAAATAGCATTACAAGCCAAATTTTCACTTTTTCCTGATAATTTTTTAAAAGTGGTGCAGAGTAACAGAAAGTGCTTTGGGAGAAAGTTTAATACCCTACCATGCTAATCCCCAGCACTGTTTGTCCTTGTCTTTAATATGCACCATATTGTATCAAACCGACTCTTCTGCAAGCCAAACACATTTCACATCATATCACTTAAGTTAAATGGAATCAGACAAGCCATTTATTTTTAAAGCAAAGTCTTTATTTTTAGACATGAATAGTCTCCATATCCAACACTACTGCATTGCAATGTGAAATTCCAAAATCCTCAGACCAGACTACAAAGTACTCAGATACACTCAGTCTATTTGCAGGAGTTAAGTGTTACTCCTGCCATTTCTGCCATGTAATTCCACCGCTATTCGAGACTGACTTTTTTGTAGTTTGAACATTGCATGAGTATGCCTACACGATTATTTTTAAAAATGTCTGGAGACATTAGAGTTGGCAGGTGCACGCACGCTATGGAGGCTGGTGAACCTTCACTTACAGACTATACCAGAAATGCAAAATTATATTTGATTGACAAAAAAAAAACACCAGTCCATAGTTCACTGGGTTTTGATTCTATTCATTGGACTTGTACAGATGCTGAACAGAAACAAGCTGTGGACAGTGGAAGTACAAGTCTACACAGTGACACAACAACGTTTTGCCCGTTTAAGAACTAATTGCAGAAATCGTGCCATACACCTGGAAGCATTGCTTACCTGCGTTTTCTGGCTGAAATTATCAGGGTGAAGAGAACGCTGAAGATGCATGTACCTTTTCTGTAACTTCCGAACATCCAAAGCAAAGGATATTTCACTAAAACAGTGCATAAAGGTTTATTAACACCAGGTGCACTAACACCAACATCTGATGATAGTCGAGCAATAAATGCTGCAGATGTAAAAAGTCAACTAGCATGTACAGGATTCTTAATGGAACAAGTATTAATAGTTTATTCCATGCTGAAAAGAGAAGAAAGACAACACAACGTTTCGGCCACGGAGCCTCACACGTGAAGAAGGCTCCACAGCCAAAACGTTGTGTTGTCTCTCTTCTCTTTTCAGCATGGAATAAACCTATTACTTGTTCCTTTGCAGCCTGCGCATGCTGACGCAGTTACCCACCTGAACTAGGATTCTTAATAGCAATATTTATAAGACCTCTCTAAGAATTAAAACGTTTTAAGAAATGCAAAGCTGTTTTATGCAGTTAACGTTTAATAAATATATGGCAACCCATTAAGGTTACAAAACCATGTGTAACTTTAGCATATCAGAGGGATCTCGCTGAAAACAATTTCAGTCAGCCAACGCAGACACCTGAGATCGAAACTGCTCAAGTGGACAAACTACTTAGAGTGCCAGACAGACCAGATTCCTTCTCACCAGTCCATGATGTCGAAGAAGTTGATGTTTTCATCAAGTGGCTGGATGACAAGGCAAGCCGGGCAGAAGAACGCAGGAGGCGTCTGCAGTGGTGCCTCGCATTTCCAACAGTGTAGTTTTTTCAAAACCGTGCAAAAAGTCCTGGAAATCATACCGCATCGACGTTTCAAGAGCGAAGTGGCTGGGAACTGATTTGATTTGAAGCGCTCCAAAAAATGCAATGTTTTTGAACAGACTCCAGAAGAACGGCGGCTGCCCGAGCCATTCAAGGTGAACACCGTTACGAAAGCTTCACAGCCAGACGTCGAAGGTAGATGTTTTAAGACAGACTGATCATTTCCAACATAGAGCCCTAGGCCACAAACTCTACGGAGTGAGCTGGCAAATCGTAACCTGTTTAATATCAGCATTGTTTTTCCTTTAAGTCAATGTCCATGCATACCGGTACTGCCTTCACCTCTCGTAAGAGGAGGAGGTGGGTAGGGAAGAAAACAGGAAGCATCAGAATTATTTCCGGTTGGATATATAAAACATAAAATTGTTTAAAAGTAAATATGCAGTATTAATACTTTGGTATTTACATGCATTAATTTAAATTTGTGGGTTCGTTTAATATTATGGAAGTCAGCGAACCTCAAGTTTAAGTCACATATTTCCCAAATTAGGTCTCAAGGCAGAGGCTGAACTACATTTCCCAGTCTGCCCCAGAGTTTCCCCGATTGGTTGGCTTCTGTAATTGGTTGATTTTGTAAAACGTTTCGGCGTTGTTGAATGTACTACCTGTGATTGAGGAATAATCGGGGAATTTTGGGCATGTGAGTAGCTGATTTTGTTGAACTCAGGTATGACCTAACTCGTATGAATCATGCAAAATGAAAACAGCATGCTTCTGTATTTTCTTTAAGTTTACGCTACTGTATTAGTTTTATTGACCGGGAGTCATGGGCGCAGTTTTTTTTTTTTTACTTTTTCTTTTAATGTGTACGTCATCTGAGCTCATTGCATAGATTTAGCTACAGTTTCTGATTTCTTTAGTCGTGTTAAGAAATGTGTCTCATATCTTAGACGTGTTTCCTTAATTATTTCGGCCTATGTTACCATGTGGCACCGGGAAGAAGGCGGCTCTCTTGTTATTGTTATTGCAGACGGGTGCAAGTTTGCTTCCTTGTAATGCAAGGACTACAGACTATGGGATGCCAGGCACTTTGCCAGAAATATTTTTTTTTTAAATAATGACCCCCACCAAAACGAATGACAACTTTTAATGAAAACACTTTATTTAGTTTTTACCTCGGGCAAATCAAGATTTTGTGGATGAAAGGACTATATAGATGTACAATAACATTTTGTTACAAGCCACTCTTGATCTTTGCATTACCGTGCGCGGCCACAACCACTCTTTTGCTGCGGAGAATTTGCAGATATGTGCTAAATGGGTGCGGGACATCAGAGAGCGGCCGCCAGAGACCGGGAAGTTGTGCAGAACTGCACCGATTTGTAGGAATCTGCACTAGCATTGTGCCGAATGCTTTGAAGAAGGCACCTCGGATATAGCGTTTTATGTTTTTTAATACTGTGATTTTTTTATGTTTAGTGTTTAAGTACAGCGTTAATTTGAATTGGAAGTTACATTCATGACAAGATAATTTATTAAAAGTTCAAAAACAAGAAAAATCCACTGTCTCTCAGGGATTTTATCATAAACGTGCGAAAGTACCCTGTCCAAGGTAGGTGATTTTCTTACCATTTTAAATTCAACCATTATTGATGTGCTTGATTATCCAACCCCATTTGCTCATGTTCACGAAAGCATATGCAGTTTTGCCCGTGGTTGTCAAAGTGTTTGGCCTTACCTGGGTACACGTGTTGTGTTTGCATCTATAAACATAAAAACATACCAGTTCTTCTGAGCCAGGAAGCAGAATCATGATTTTGTTTCCACATGAGAAGTAGCATCAGAGGTTAACAACAGGAAGCAGCTTTGTGCTGAAGGAAAAACAAGGGTGTGCAGAGGAAAGCTAGACCACTAACTACTGTTCTGGTGCCTCTGTTGTGCTTGATGCTTTCAGTAAAGGTAACCAGGGAGCTTAACCATGTCTGAGGAGCCTGGCCCCAGTGACACCCAGCCTCAGTCCCAGTCTCAATCCCAGTCCCAGTCTCAATCCCAGTCCCAGTCCCAGAGCAGCTCCAGTTCTTCGTCGGCGCCTCAGTCTTCCAGCCAGTCGTCCTCGTCTTCGGGCTCAGGCACGCTGAGCTCCGTCGACACCATCCCTGTGCGGGACCTCTCGTCCATTCCTGAGGAGGCCGAAGACCCGGAGGAGCCCCCCCCACAGCCCTGGGGCCGCCTGCTGCCCATGGAGAAGGGCTTCGCAATGCACAGTGAGGGCTCGCTCTCTCCTGCCTGTCTGGACTGGGTCCCAAAGGACAGTTCTGTGCCATTTAGCCATCGCTGGCTTTCGGAAGCTTGTAGAAAGAAGTTATATCTCCTGATTATGAATCTGAAAGTGAATGGGCCATTTTACCTAAATAGTTCATTTCTTCAGTCTTCTCGAACATTTTATTAAGTGGTGTGTTCAGGAGAAAGTTTGTTTGTACTGATATTGTAAAATGGCCACTTTGAAGTATAAAGAAAGATTTACTAATTATTTCTTTGTGTTGTGTGTTGTGATCTTAAGCAGTTGCGAACATTAATTGTTTAATGTTAAACGTGGCAAACCTGGCCTTTTTCTTTCAGACTGCATAAAGGATGAATACTGGTTTGGGAGAGACAGACGATGTGACTACAGTTTTAATAATGCCTTAATCAGAAAGTCAGAAAAGTACGCAAGTTACAGTAAGAAGCACTTCAGGATATTCAGGGTAGGAGGTACTTCTGTTATCGTCCTTGGTCAACTGTTCCGGTATCCACTAGGAACAATTCCTTTTGAAGATTTAATGCTTTTGTTATCCCAATATGTCTCTTTATGAGACAATTATGAAATAATTCATGAAATAGTTGTCTGATGCTGTGATTAATTGGGTCACAGTTTTGTAGGAAACTGACACATTTTTAACACCTCCTTCCCCTCCCTTCCCCACTCCAACTTTTCTCTGTGCAGGAAAGCGGAATTCCGTATATTGAAGACCACAGTGGGAATGGGACCTATCTTGACGGACAGTATATGGGACAGGGCAAAAAGTTACCACTGGCAAATAATGCTGAACTGGCGCTTTCTGTCCCCCAGAACAAAGGTAGAATTTTTCTGTGTAATTTTTGTTACTAAGTTTGTTTGTTTTTTGGTGGGGTGTTTGAAAAGGAGTTTTTAAGACATCTACACATCAGTGTGTGAACTAACTTGCATTAAATTGTACTGCCCATGTAGCTCAGGATTCCTTCTTCTGACGTATTTAACCCGTTCTAGAGACTGTTGCTTTATAATCTATGTCATTTCTAAAGTTCTCATATCCATGTATAGCTTTTTGTAGGAATCCCAAAGGTATCCTGTAATGTTTAATTAAATATATTTTGTATAAGGGAAGCTGGTGATATGTTACATTAGTCTTACTCTTTTTCTTACTTCCCAGTACCTAAAATGAAATATTTTACTTTTTTCTCTATAGTTTTTGTGTTTATTGACCTCACCGTTGATGAACAGTCAAACCTCCCAAAGGAATTCAAGGACAAATACTTGATATCAAGAAAAATTGGATCGTAAGTGGAGCAGTCGTTAAGTGTGTTGCCTCGCTAAAGGGGGTGTTGGCAGGGAGATGGGATTTTTTTTTCTAACGGAATCAGGCCTTATCTTCCAGAGGAGTTTGTGGAGAAGTTAAGCTGGCATTTGAACGGTCTACATGCAAGAAGGTGGCAGTGAAGACTATAAATAAGAAGGATTTTTCATCCACTGACGTGAGTGTGGGATTTCAAAAGGAGTGGTCTGTCTTTTTTTATTCTTTTAGAATTTGTTGGCTCCTTCTCAATTGGAGGTTTACTCAAAGGCTAAAGTAATATTTTGTTTTTTAGAGGACAAACCCTTCAGCCGAAAGAGAAATTGAGATTTTGAAGAAAGTAGACCATGTACGTGAGTAACCTGCCGTTCACCCAGTTGTCAGTGGGTGTTAAAGATGTCTTTAGGTTTTTGGTAGTCAAATATCTGCAAGGTGTTGCTTTGTGTAATTATACCCTCTTACTACTTTTTGGCTTAGTATGGACAAAGCAATTTATACAAGTAACTTTATTTAGCAAACATTCAAATGACTGAGAAAGGGCATGTTCTTTCTGAACATCATTTTATGCTAATTGTTTCAAATGTGTGGAGACACAAAAACACTGCATCTCTGAGTTACAAAACCTATATACCCACATCGTTTTAATACACTAGTAATTATGGAAATGTGAATATAATTCGTCCTGGCTGTTTCATAGCTTTAGAAAGAAGAATTCTCTAGAAAGAATTCCACTTTGCATATATTAAGTCAAAGTTAACACCCAGGGATAGGTGTTAATGTACTGTACATGTACTGCTATGCAAATATCAGGGCTTGTGAACTGTTCTGCTGTTTTCACATTCCCTTCATGCAAAACTCTAATTCTTTCATGATCATCAGCTTCAATTGCTTTAAATTACACAGATTCAAGCCATTTATTTTTATTAACATTTATTTCTGGTGGCTAACAGCTAACAGTTATTTCCAATAGATCTCTGTTTTGTAGCTTGGATCTTTTAGCTTTGTGGAAGTGTAAAGAGAAACATATAATTTTGAAGATGAATATTACGCCAATGAGTCCATTAGATTTAAACTGGTAAATATGGTGGATTTATTAGCTGTCTGTTATTACCGCTTAATGTTTGCTACTAGCTTACAGTTTACCTTGAGTTATTGTGCTCACGTTTCTGAAGGTTTTGATCAGTGTGAATCAAATATCACTGAATTCCAAGCCTGGTTTTAGTGTTTCTCAGTACTTTGTGGTTGATGGGTCCTTTTGTTGCTTTGCCGCAAAGCTCTGAATCACCAGCCCAAAAGAACTCAGGAACTGGGCCACATTTAATATTTTTAAATGTAGCCCGAACCCTTTTCTTATAAAGACTTTTTCGAAGGTCAATTTCTGCTTGATTTCCTTTCTGATTGGTATCTAATAAAACTGCTTTATCCTGGGCTAGTTTTTCAGTTTATTCATGATGTTGCTGTACCGTGCCAGTGTCATGAGTCTGATTTATATTTAATTAAGTACCCTGCTTATTAAATATTGTATATATCATTGACTTCAATGTGAGCATCTAATACAGTGGTGAAAGAATGGCTTTTCCCAAAATCTGCCATTATTTTATTTTTACATTTATATTTATTTTACATATATATATAATGTAACCGTATCTCTTGAAATCCTTTTTTCTTTCCTAGCCTTGTTTGATAAAGACTGTTGACTTCTTCCAGACTGAAGAGACGTATTACATTGTCTTAGAACTGTAAGTATGTTGCCAGAAACAAAGTGCACTGCATTTTTATTTTTTTGTAATGTTTTCAGGCCTAAACGTAAATTCTGTACCTATTGCTTAATGTATAAAAACACATAAAACATAGAAAGTACAGGCATTTTTATTGTATTTAGAATAATTGCATTGTCATCAAAGCAACAACTCCAAGAACAAAAAAAAATTGGTCAACATTGAGTCATGCGTGACTGAAATTGAATGGTTGCTCTCTTGGCTAAAGTTGTTCTAAAAGTGAATCCGACTGCAACAATATTATCCGTTACCTGCTGAGTTTCCCTAGTGGCCAAATGATCATAGCTCTCACAGATGGCATGATGACTCATGCAGCCTGAAATTCTGGTTCTAGCTTCAATGGGATTAGGATATAATCACCTGTCTTATTAAATAAGTTATATAGAGAACTAATTTAGTCTCTTTTTTACGGTGATAGGTTTTGGAGGCTGGCTTTTAAATATAATGTAGCATCACATGCTGTGCAATTTCTTCATTTGTCATTGAGAGACACTTAATTAACGTCCTGCTTGGGAAATCTATAACTGTCAGTTCCTTGCCCATTCACAAAATCTTAGCCTTGTAATTAGTGGGGTTACTGTTTTCTTGTGACTGGATTTAATGGCATGCAAAGTTTCTTTTGGTCAACTGATTAACATAGTTTGGGGAATAAAACATTCTTTAAAGTAACTTTAATGTCAAGAATACTAGCAGCATGGAGCAGTGGTCAGGGTTCTGGACTTGTAACTGGAAGGTTGTGGTTTCAAATCCCAGGTGATTTGAACCCACAAATTCAACCCACAGCAGCACTGCTGTTGTAGCCTTAAGCAAGATACTTTACTAGAATTACTGCAGTAAAATACCCATATTTGTATTTGTGTATGGGTGCAAATGTGAGTTGCTTTGGTTAAAGGCTTTAGCAAAATAACTTAGGAAAGTGAATATGATGCTGGTTTTCTGTGTGCCGCATTCCAGATAACTGAGGAAATCTGGCTGAAATCCTGAAATCTTAGAGGATTTTAGTATTGCTATATGCTTCATGCTTTGAGGGAACAGTAAACAGGCTGTACAACATAGTTGGGAAGATATGTATTTGTGAATGCTGGTCACATTTGTCACATTGAGAGCCTGAGTGAACAGACAAGAGCACAGACCTCTTCCATGGAAGTGGATTTTGGTCACAAGGTCACACAGAAGATGCTCTGCTTTCTCGTGAAAAACAAAAACCTTCCGTGTTCTTCAGACGTTGACGTTGAATACCAGATGAACTGTCTGAGATTTTCATTGAGACATTACCACCCCCTGCACAAATTGGATTTAATTATGAGATGAGAATAAGCATTGCTTAATAAATGTATGGAATTTGAAATATGCTAATTTCCCTGTTTATTTGTTTTATTAAATGCCACCTTCTTAACTAAATAATACTATGATACAAGCATGAGTCATGCGGTGCATTCTGATCTTTTAACATTGCAGTGAAAGAATATTGTTCATATTGGTGTGTGTGGTGCTTATTTTCCATCACAACTGTAATCTGAACTGTTTGAAACTGATGAGTCATTTTGTAAATTTACAGTTTGGTTGAATTTAGAGGCAGACTTATTCCTGTATCTGCAAGGGATATGTTAATAACTAGTATGGTTTATTTAAACATGGGGTAACTAGATTATGTAACTCTTTGTTACACCCTCTTGATAGGAGCAGAAATGGATTGTTATATATCAATTTTAAAAGGAAAACTTTCATTTTTACAATACTGTGGTTGTATTTTAACATTTTAGTATTTGCAAAGTAGTAGGAGAGCTTCCTCCTCTGGTAAAGAGTAGTCATAAATAAAGCATTATTCACTTTCAGTTTTGCTGATGTCTCTAAATAAAGCTTTGATGATTAATTGCAGTGCTAGAAAATTAATCTGTCATTGACAGAAAAAGTGTGTTTCAGACAGTTTTATGCATATGAGTAAAAAAAGTAGCACAGCATGTGCTGAAGTAGATAGAAACAAATTAGCTGTGTTCATTATGCATTTTAAGATCTAAGCATATGGCTTTCATAAGAGATGGGAGAAAAAACATCCATCTCATGTAGTTAAATAGTTTTCAGCAGGACCTGCAGTTATTATAAATCAATATATCAAGAAAGATCAACATAAATAACTTTCCAAGAATCATCCTTTTCTAATTAATCAAATAATAACCACATTGTAACCATAGATAAACTTTCACTGTTATTAAATATAATCCCTTTAGCTTAAAGTGTAGCTCTGTAGAACCCAGCAGTGCTCATTTCAGCCAGAATTTCATGCTTGTGAAGATCAAAAACACAATATAAACAGGACAAATTATCTAGTTTTATGTAAATATTTTAGTTAAAGGCCTTTAGGTATTGCAGGGGAAAACTAACTGTTGAAACAAAATTTGAAGCTACATCCCACCTAAGTATGTTTAAATGTTTCTCTCAGGATGGAAGGTGGGGAGCTATTTGACAGAGTCCGTAGCAGGTCAGGGCTAAAAGAATCAACTGCAAAGCTGTATTTCTATCAGATGCTTCTAGCAGTAGAGGTGAGTTGCTTTTAGCTGTAACTTAAAAAATGCTTACATAGTTTATCATTATAATGTATTCAGACAAAAAAATGTGACTGCAGAAATTAGAATGCATGACTTTACTAGTGTATTTACTAGTATGTTGCGGTTTGTGATGTATATCCTCTCTGTTGACACTAAAGTTTTCATCTTTATTGCGAAAAGACACCATGTTAGTGGGTCTTCCCATCAGTTCCATAAACTATTGTTGTAAGCTTGTCAATTCAACGCTCTGATTATATTCAACTTTACAGTTTGATCTTTGATTATGAATTGACATCTGAATACAGTATATTGTAAAGATATTAGTTTTTCCATCTGTCATCTTTAGATGAAAAACTAATTACAGTAATGAGTTTTTTTTCCAAGTATTAATTATTTAATTTTCTCACATTGGGGAGTCCATTTTCTCGATAAGAGTAGGGAGTTATCCTGGTGTCCAGGCCACTATACGCCCCCCCCGGCCTATACTGTGGCCTCCAAATTGTCCCCATGTATGATTGGCTTGCACTTGCCCTGCGATGGACTGGTGCCCCGTCCAGGGGGTACCCTGCCTTGCGCTCGTCGGTTGCCGGGTAGGCTCCGGCTTCCTGCAGCACTGTATGGTATAAAACAGTTTGGCAAATGACATGATATTGAGTATCTAAAAGAGCACTTAAGTCACAATATGATCGGAATTCAACAGAAGAATCCTGATTAGGTCTCTCACAAGGGTTTACATTACTCCTGTCTTGGAGTGCTTGCACTGGCTTCCTGTCTGGTTTCAAGTTGATTTTAAGTTTAAATTCAAGTTTGATGTACTTTCCCCTATGTAAGCTACACTCAACTGATTCTGGTTTACACTAGATGTGTTCCCACTTCTGGACTGTGTGTGACAGAACCTTGTGTTGCTCTGTCACAAGACTCTGGAAAACCAGCCCAAAGGAAACCAGGGACTCAGCCATACTGTGTACTTTTAAGTCCATCTTCAAAACCTACTTTTTTGAGAGGCTTTTTTGTTATTGTCCAGTCTTCATCTACTTTTTGGTGTTTTCTTCTGCTGTTTTACAGACAGTGCTTTTCACATATTGTAAATATTGCTTTTAAAGGAGCTACATAAAATAGTGGAGCATTGTTCTTTTCTTTATAACTAGGTTCAGCCCTATATTGTAGTGATCTAAAAATTCCTTTTACTTCACAGAAACCTTCCTCTTTTTCTACTCCAGGAAATGTAACATGGAAATGGCCTGTCACTTAATTTAACAAATAAACCAATCCAATGTTTTCTCTCATTATTTGCAGTACCTCCATAACAATGGCATAATCCATAGAGATCTCAAACCAGAAAATGTGCTGCTTTCATCCAATTCTGACGTGTGTCTCATAAAGGTTGGTATAATATTTTTTCCATCTCGTAGTCCTCAAAAAGGCACTTTAATGTTTCAGTTATGCTGATAATCACATGTAAGATCCCATCTGCTTTGCATGTATTTTTTTTTACTTTTGTTCATTGCAGTTTTATTTGTCTAATCTTTCCCTGTGTTATAATCATCTCTGGGACAAAGTCTGTGCAATTTTTGCAAAAACAGAACAAGGTCTACTTCTCAGCGTCTTTTAATGTAAGCACTAATCGGTATGTATGACACTCTGTATGTTAGCCCCTGTCTTCTGTCATTAGATCACAGATTTCAACCAGTCGAAAATTTTAGAGGAGGCGTCCCTGATGAAGACCTTGTGTGGCACACCTACCTACCTTGCCCCTGAAGTTTTCACCCATGCAGAGACAGTGGGCTACAGCCGGGCTGTGGACTGCTGGAGTCTGGGAGTCCTGTTGTTTGTTTGGTAAGTGAGGTTACCACTTTCCAATGACTTACTTTAGACAAAAGAGTCATTGGTATTGGGATGGTTTACTCCTAGAGAACTGGGCAAAGGAACCTCGGAGTGCTCTGCATAGTGTGAAAAATGTTTTATCTGTTGTCTGTACAGCTTGAGTGGGTACCCACCATTCCATACTCATCAGGGAATCAACTTAAGTATCAAGGAACAAATCACCCAGGGGTTATACAGCTTCCTCCCATCTATCTGGAATAAGATTTCAGAACAAGGTAAGGTCTGAACTACTGCTTATACTGTGCAGTTGATGTATTGTTTTAGACCCTTTACTAACCTGAGATTTAAAAAGGTTTTTTTGAGATATTTTGGGAAATTATTTTTTTTCCATTGCAAGGGGTCCTGCTTTTATTTCCTCGATTCAATGATTTATGACTGCTTATTCACTTAGTTTGCTTAAGGCATAAATTATTTCTTATTTTCAACATTTCAGCCAAGGATCTTGTGAAGAAGCTACTTGTTGTAGACCCAGAGAAAAGACTCTCAGTCCAACAAGCACTGCAACATCCTTGGCTCCAGGTCAGTTCCTCAATTATCCAGTATTATATTATATAATTAATTGCATTGAATGAAGGTATCAGTCAAATGAGCTAATAACGTCCATGATCCTGTTATGAAACACTGCATATTGTAACTAAAACTCCCATGGTGTAAATTTTAAACTTCCAGTTACTGTTACTAGCTCAAAAAATGCAGATGGCATAGTCACATCACTTTGTAATTCAACACAACATAGATGAGTCTGCAGGTTTCAAGGTTTAAGACGTGGATTTTAAAAGGAGCAAGTTGCAATACTGAAGAGTAACTGGAGTTAAAAAAAAACAAAGCATTACATTAAATTCTTAAGCAGAAGTGGCACAGGGTATAAGAAAAATGTTCTCCAGACAACCTCCTCCTTCATCAACACCTGTAATCAGGTGAGAAACGTGTGATGTTTCATACAGTCTGTATTTTATTTCTAGATGGAAATGTCATCTACATGAACTGGGTAAGGTGCTTCACTTAAGTGATAGAGGAAAATTAAAACTGTCCAAGGAACACTCATCATTGATTATTGTGGAGAGAGTAAGAACTTGCAGTATAACCTGCCAATAGCTTCATTCCCTTGTGTTCAAATTATATTACTTTCTTTTCAGGATGAAGATATGAGGGCAACGGCAAAGAAATTAATGTATCCAGAAAGTGTAACTGGCGAGGATCAGGTACTGTTTTTCTAATCTATGATACCTTAAGACATTCAGCATATAATAGTTTCTGCTATTCCATTTTTAATTAAATGTCCAAGCGTTTAATATCATTTTATTATATACAACAAAAATACTAGTCATTAGCCACAGTCCCGATAAATAAATCCTGTATTAGTGATAACTGGGGTTCTTGAGACCTGTGGAAGATGTATAACGTTAACTATTAAGTTAGCTTTGCCAGGTCAGATCAGGTGACGAAAACAAAAATATCTTCCTGTCTGGTTCCTGTTTAGTGATAACTAATATGTATATAATTATTTTAGCCATCTTCCAGTAGAAAGCGACCACTGCAGGAAAATGTGGATGAACAACCGAGCAAAAGAATGTCAAGTGGACCATCCACTTAAAACCAGACGGCGTGAGTTATTTTACACAGTGCACATTTTAAAGACTTTCACAGACGGCTGGTTCGCAATCCTTTCTATTGTTATTTAAAAGTTCCTCTGCACCGTTGTGTGGAAACACATTTTAGACTGTGATCGTACTGTCTGAAGAACAATCTTGTGTTCAATAAACTTTGAACACTTTCAGGGAAAGAAAAACACCCGTTTTCTTCAGAAACTTTGTGTGGTATTAACTTTACAGAAGGATGACGATTTCAAATGGTCCAAGTTCCTTGGATGCTTTCCTCCTTATTAAAACTGAATCAGGTTTTCTGACTTTTTTACTTGATTTAAATTTTCTTTAAAGAATGACAGGCTTAATTTGATTTTTTTAATGTTGACTCTTTTTTGTGACAGCAGTGTATTCAGGACGTTCATATACATGTCTTTGTAAAGAATGACGCCAAGACACCAACACGTTTAATTTGATAAATTATTAGCTTTGTAAAAAAAACTCTTTATTTTTTAAGAAAACATTTTTATAGCTTTTTTATGCAGGACATGTGACATAGGTGTATCTGATTATCCTGTACTGTTTTATTTTTGTTTTCCCTGTTTTACTTGGTTTTTGTTAAAGTGACAGCTTTCTAATAAAAAGCAACTGTAAAAAGCTTTTATAGTAGTCTCAAATGAGAGTTCTTTTAATTTTCTAATGAATTATATTTTCACCCACTTTGGATTAGTACTTCATTGCAGTTCTTTTCATTACCAGTACATCCATTGTTAGCCTATAAAAGAAAAAATCTGCCAAAGGTAATACTGCATAAAATCTCAAGAGAAGCCCTGCCTATTACTCTATGTTTGTAACTTAATTATACAAGATTGTAGAATTGTGATTATCGTGCATAAGCAATCACATTACTGCTGCCCTGGTGTCATTGCACTGTCTTCCTGTCAGGTTTTAAGGATTCTATATCATTTGCACGGTTCAGTGCCCCAATATGTTTCCTTCATTATGTCTGTGATCACCTCCGGTTTAAACTTTTATACACACTTTTGCTGTAGTTTCCTTTCATTGTATTTCATGCAATGTGCTTTTTAGGGCTTGTAAAGTCATTTGCAATTTTAAAGGTGCAACTGTACTTTTCACACTCGAGCACAAAGAGTTGAGTTTATTTGGAAAAATATTCTCATCCATCATAAGAAAGACACTTGTTCCTGGTGAGGGGTCATGGCAACCTGGAGCCTATTTCAGAATCACAGGGTGGAAGGCAGTACAACATCATGGACACAAAACTAGTCCATCACAGGGCACACATACAACACATACTGTAGGTAATAGCCAGCATGTGTTTGGGAGGAGGAAATGGAGCACTCAGAGTAAACCTATGTGAACAATGGGAGAGCATGCAGACTTCAAATGGAAGATGCCCTAGACTGGACTTCATCTCAGAACCAAAGAGCTGTGAGTTAGCTGAGCTATCTGCCACACCCCACTGTATTAAACAAATTATTATGGGGCTTCATATGTGCATTTCACAAAACATTTTCACCGTGGGATCCAGTAGTCATTCGAAAACAATGACATTTCTTCATCCTTTACATAAAGAATGGACCTTTTTATAATCTAGATCTAGATTTGTCCTGGAGGCGATACAGTATTTCATGAACCTCATCAAAAGTGTTTTTCAGCGCCGCCTGTACTCTGCTCCTCCAAGACAGCAGTTTGGGACGATCTTTCAGTACATCACGGCCTGCACCTAGAGGCTGCAGAAAACAAATTACATCAGACCCAAACATGGTGTGTTTGTAGGAAGACAAACTTCAACACTTTAAGTTAAACATTAACCCATCAAACCTGCATAAGTTCACAGATGGACAATAAGTCTGCCACAGAGATGTCATCCCCGCACAGAAAGGGCTGTCTTTTCAAAAACATAGACTCCAGTTTGTCCAGTGTCTCATCCAGCTCTGTCAGAGCTCTTTCCAGCTTTGATGGGTCAGGAGCTTGCCCTGTCATTCGAGGTAGTAACACCTGGAATCAGATATTGCAAATTCTTTAGTACTATAATGGCGTCCCATCCAGCGTATACCCTGCCTTGCACCCATTGCTTGCTGGGATAGGCTCCGACTCCCCCACAACCCTGTATTAGATGAAGCGGTTAGAAAATGGATCTAAGTATGAATGGACAGTACAGTATATTTGAGTACATAACAGTTGAGAGGCTACTTGTGAGTCCACTTGTGAATACCCCTACAGCAGTCATTCATCTCCCTGTCAGCTTTGAGAAAAGGATGTATGGTAGTAAATAGCACATTGGAGGGTTGTATATTAATACATATGTTTTGGTAAGTGCCATTACAAACGAATTTGATGAAAGGCAATAAATTAAATAAAACAGGGAAACAGAGGCAACCACTACACCGCCTTCTCAAATTCAAAGTGCCTCATGAAGTATTTAAGCAATGTTCTGAAATACCACACAAATGTCAGTCAACACCTACTGTAAAAATGTCTATGAATATAGACATGTCTTTGAGTATTTTTAATCACTCATCATATCTCAAAATTACAGGTACCTGCGTCCTTTACCTGCTGTGAGGGTGGTGAATTGTCCGAGCTATTTTAAATCCAATCAGACAGACGTTTAGTGTTTTGAACTCAGTGAGACCTTTCAAATAAAGAGCAGACATTTCCTACCTCCAGCATGAAAACCTTGGCCGCTCGTGGTCTTGTGTTGGTGTGGTGCCAGGCAGTGTATTCGTCCACTCGAGCTCTCCTTTCAGGATCCTGGGGGTACCAGTGTGCAGCTGTTTTATACTGGGTCGCCAAATACTTTAGGATAGCATCACTGCAATACAAATAATAACTGCCGTTATACCCCTGTAGTTATTAATTTTCCTACTGGGTTTAAATGTTGCAGGTCAAAGTGGATTATTACAGATCACAAACAGAGCTAAGAAAAAATGTATAGTGACAAGGAAGTCTAGAATTTTGTATTGTTAACTTATGCACTCGGGTCCCCAAGCTATAAGGAATGTCAATGTAGTAAAAGTTACTTTTTCACCGCAATATTAAATAATACAAATACAAAAAAAACAAAATTTAATTGAACACTTGAGTCAATGGGGCTGAAACATTATTATATGAATGCATCTCACACATCATACTTTAAAAAAATGATTATTTGTATGCATGTAATTAAAAAATATATATTATAAGACAATTGTCTTAAAGTGTATTCAGAATCAGAATATTCAACAGGGGAATATTCAGCTCTTGTCATCTAAGTCCTACTGTCTGCAAATACAGTCATCCAACTATGAAAACATTTATTAAGTTATTTTCCTATCAAAGGAAGTATTCCTACAATAAATTCAAAGAAAAATTACACAAAGAAATCAAGCCATAAAGGGTTAAGTGCTTTTACTTTCACTAGCTTACCTTTCAGTCAGAACAAAGCCATGATCTACTATTACTGGCACCTTCTGCATAGGGTTTAGCTTGGTAAACTCGGGAGTTCTGTTATCGCCTGAATTGGAAAGAATGTTTTTAATATCATGTAACATGTTTGTTAGAGCTGTGTTAATATATATATATATTTGAAAGGAAATGGCATGCCTGTTTCTTGCTTGTATTCACTATTTTAATACCATGCTAGGAACAATTTGTAGCTATCACAAACATTTAAAGGTTAAAAACAAGTAAGAATACAATTGTGTATATATATAGTAAGACATACTGCATCAAAATGCAGTGCATACTGCATCAAAATGCAAAATATGAGAAAAAGTTAAGTTTCTTAATAGTAGACGTCCGATAATATTTTCCTTGCAGTTACACGGTTCTTCCACAAGATGGGTACAGGTATCTAGGAATTAGTGTGCACTTTCGTGGCTTTTAAAATACTACACTGTATAATGGAAAGGCATTAAAAAAACAATAGAAAAGAAACAAAGTCACATGCATTTCCATGAATACATATATACTGTATATTAATTTGCAATAAATCCGTTTGTGGTTAGTTCAGAATGGAAAGCAATTTAACGGCCAAGGTTCAAAGTCCAGACCAAATGGATTTCACATTATTTAGCCTATGAATACATAATTATTTATAGTCAGATTAATCGGTTCTGTTTCCTCTGGGCCATTTTATTTAGTAGATCGTGTTTTTCATTATGATCATCATTTGAATTCAATAACTGATTTCAGATCGAAACTACGTTCCGATGTTTACACTGCATATTTCACATCTGATGAAAGTACTAATGAATACTTTGGAAAAGTGGTACGAAGACGAAAACAAATAGCTTGCAGGCAAGTGATTTTTTTATTATCTAAAATTATTTAGAATTTGCAGTGTGTCGTTATATATACACAAACTGCCGATAATTTTAGATTGAAAGCAAACTACACACTCGTCTCACCTTTTCGTATAGCAACAGTTTTCACCGTGTGCGGTATATTATTGTGTTTTAGGAAAATAAGCACAGCCCTGCAAGGCTGTGACAGCAAATCCAGGTACACTTCTAGTGCTTTTCCTGCAGCCATAACTGTATCCTTTGCAGAAGATATAATCGCCCTCAGAGTAAGCGATAGAGGGCACGTTTCTCTCAGGTCACGCATGCGTCCTATAGGCTTTAACGGTATCCTATCCGGCCTCGCCACTCCGAGCAGGACTGTTGACTGTTCTGTCATGTTAAGATTCGGTGCTCAAATGAAGCAGCTTAAATAAACCATAAATTATTAAATAAATTGTTTGCTTAAAAATGAACTGTTTATACAATGCAACTGTGGAACTGTGTCTAAATCCTCAGCAATGCCCGGGTCTATTCTGGTTGTTGTCTCACTGAGTTTGGTATACTTTTTGAATAATAACCACTTGGTCTTCTGAATAACCGCGTCCTGAAAAGTTGCCGTACAGAAATAGTGTCCCATGTGAATGCTGTGATTTGCTGTATGAGATGATTCGTGCACAAAACCAGCTCAAGAAAATCAACAACAGGCCGCAAGGCAGGATACAACTTGGATGGAACGCCAGTCCATCACAGTACTTATTGTATAATGTCATGATAACATGAAGCCACATATTGTAAACCCATATACCCGTATTGTCAGGAAATACTGATATTGTTTTATTTATATATATCATAGTGTATCGTTATCTCATGATTTTATGAATACATTCTTTAAGCTCAGTATGTAGTTAAAACAGTTTTTACTTACAGATATTCAATATTAATTGTAAAGAAGAATCCCTAAATTAAAAGAATATTTTGCTGCTGTTTTAAAGCATTTGTTTTCTACATATCAGTATATACACTGTGCCTTCATGATTTCAAGAAATAATTTCACAATACAGAAAATCAAAAGCAAATTGCTATTTTTTCTACATAATGTCTCTGTAATGGTATTAGACATGTGCAGTCCATAGCTACAGAGACTGAAATAGATTTGGTACATACATAGTTTTACTGAGCATAACACATCAATCTGAAATCTTTTTAAAGGCTGTTTTACTTTTTTAACCAAAGCTGGTAAGTTTCTTGAGGGTATCCACCAAGAGGTTTGGCTAAAAGCTAAAAGTTTTTCCTTTTTTGTTTCACTTTTGAGCTTAGAGTTAACCTCTGCTTGTTTTGTTTGTTTGTTTGTTTGTTTGTTTGTTTGTTTGTTTGTTTGTTTGTTTGTTAGCAGAAAGGTTATGAAGTGGCAGAGTTGGTCTCATAAAACTAAAGATATTTATTTTATCAGGTTAAGGATCATGTGTGTTGGGCATAGGCCAATTCAATCGTTGGGCAATTGAAATTGGGTGCCAACAGCATAAATATAATTGCTTTGCTGCACTGGTTATAAGATTTTTCTTCATGGGGTCCAAAGATAAAAAAAAATAGCATTACAGTATTTTAGCAAATGAACAAAAATATTGTTGCAAGGAAATGTAATTTGTTTAACCAATTTATCTTTATTTAAGCTTTCCTCACTCCCATATCCTCTCATGCACAGTGAGATACTTTGAAAAATAAAGCCAAAGTCTGTTGATCTTCACAAGAAAACAAGTTTATTACATAAAATATAGAAAAGGTGTGAATAACTTAAAACAGAAAGTTAACCACAGCATGTTTTCTGAGTATAAGTCACAACAGTTTATGTATTTATCTCACCAGACAACTCTTGATTTATATATGCACATTTCTACATTATTTATAATTCATTAAGAGAATAAGAAATACTGTATATAAGATGCATACAGTATACATCATTAAGTACCTTAAGCAGTTGTTTAAGTTATGTATATTCAATTCCGAACATCCAGACATGCATCGTTGCTTCTGTTAAGGATACACAGAATAACAATTTGGCATGTTATGGTCTCAAAATCTTGAAAATGAACGCTGAGGATTTTGGTTCTATTACTATCGGTTCTCTCTTTGTCAGTCATTACTATCCTTATGGTGATGCATGGGGCAAAAGGCTCATATACTGTATATGATCATGATATAATATTTCGATATATGAGCACAGAATCCATTAACTCTTTTCTTCCAAGGTTTTCTATTCTAACCAACATCCCTTCCCATGTCAAACACTGAATACAATTATACTACTTGACATTGTTACCCTTTTCCTCAGATCCACAGCTGAGAACCGCGAACAGATTATGTGATGTGTTTATTATCATATCTATATAATTCCAATAACTCAGTTCTACAGTAGGTAGTTTTTTTCACAGTGGTGGTGAAAGCAGTATGTCCCCATTGCTTTCAATGCTCTCTCTTTTGCAGAGTTTTATTCTGCTGTGAGAGTCAAATTCCTCTTGAATTTCAAGAAAGGTTTTGTTTTTGGTTTCTGGAACTATGAAGAATATGTACAGTGCTACTAGGGAACATATAACCAGGAACACCAGGAAGCAATACTGCTGCAGGCCATTCTGAAGAAGAATACAAAAGAACAGTATCTGAGTTAGAGAACAAAAAGGTCTTGATCATCAAAAAAGAAATATGCAAATGAAATTCTTAATATGGTGGTTTACAGTTATTATGCATCATTTTCACATCAAACAATTTGGAATATTGTTCTGAGTGGGAGACACAGATGACTAAGTTTTATATTCCAATTTCTGGCAGCTGGTAAATGAGGTATTCTGGGAACTGTTAGTTAAATAAGCTAAGTGAAAGCAGATTTAAACCTCTTCTTAAAGTGAGGTGCAAATATGTTCTTGAAATACAGTTAAAAATAAATACCTCCTTGAATATATTGATGCAACACAGAGGTCTACTGGACATAAACAGATATCAGATTCAGAAATAATTAAAAACATACAATTTAAAGAATCATGTTACAGACTGGGTGTGAAATGTGTCGTGCTGTCAACCTAAAAACATTACCCAGTTAGTATTGGGTGTAAACTCGCTATGGATTAGCATAATCCAGTCGACCCACAGACCTGAGCAGCCGCTGTACAGACTGCTGTGGGATGACAACCAAAGTTAAAAATCATAGCATTTGTTTTGGGTTTGATGATATTGTATATTTCCTGTTAATAACACGCCCACTTACGAAAATAAAAAATAAAATAAAAACATACCACAATGAATGGAAATATCATTCCTATCAAGAAAAAACTCATCCAGTTAACAGATCCCGCAATCATGTATGCTGCAGGCCGTGCTGTCTGCGTAAACATCTCTGTGGTTAAAATGTTGGTCACACCACCTGATAAGAGTGAATACAGCAACATGGAAGACACAATTTCCTCAATGCAGTTTAATATTGCTAAATAATTACATTATTTATAAGACCAATCTGTTGCAGACACTACAATTTCAATAGCAGTCATCTACTTGAAGCAGGTCTCATTACTCCAGAATGGGAAATGGGTTCAGTACTGATTGCTGCAAATTTTACATTTCATTCTTTCTACAATATTAAAGTTAACAAAACAGCAGTCATGTTTTTGATTTTGAGACAACAAAAAAAACCCAGCTCGTTTTTACATACCACCAGCTACTGTATATCTGGCTGACAGTTTTAATCCATTCTCAGTTGCATTGATTATTGATTCTAGATACAGAATGTTTAGAACGTTTAAAGAATTCATCTTCTAAATGTAAAATGCTTGTTAGTTGGCCTATTCAAGGCAGCTCTATCAGAAAACTGCACTTTGAAGGACTGAAATGTGGAGCACATACTGTACAAAAGGGACCACAGGGAGCATCTTTCCCTGGGGGGGGGCCACTAATGTCACAGTGTACATTAGCAGTGTATGGTTGTTTCAATAGGCCAGTGACCTCCACAGGCATAATCAAGTACTGTACATGCTTAAAACACAGAACTTTCCACTGAACTGAAACAAGTAGTGCGTTTGAAATAATATACCTGGTCCTAAGCCGAAGCTCAAGATAAAAGCAAAGACACACATCATGCTCAGGTAAGGTACCCATGGACTGGCTTCCTGCAATTACAGACAATAGAATAGAATAACTTAAATATTATAAATAACTGTGTTTCTTTTGAGAAAAAATAGGGAAATTTAAAATAAATCAATAATTCGAAGACATACGTATATACAGTACAGTATATAATAGCAGAACATTGTGTCTGTCTTGACAGTTATACATGGAAGCAGAACATTGCTTCTGTGTTTAGAGATATAAGTTTACCGACTTTGTATCTAACATTTTACAAATGACGTGTGACATCTTACTTGAAAGGTGAGAGACACTGTTATGCAAATACACCAAAGAGTCATCAGGGAATATCCCCCGATGATAAGCACCCTTCTTCCCAGGCAGTCAATCAACATGCCCTGAAAAATAGAACATTCCGATTCTACCATGCGCACACAGCACACAGGCAAGAAAGCCAAAATGTTGGTTTTCACATAACATGTGTGGCCACACTAAAGTAAATATTTCACAATGTTATTCTGATTAATAAGCTTTTAACTTTCAAATTGTTTTTTCTTTTGGTGGTTCTAAGTCAAGTTACCTAATTGTCTTTGTCAAGTTACCTAAGCCCTTTCGATATTAATCCTTAACTCTGCACTGATGTTTGTTTGGGGAAATTCAAGTTCACAACTTCAGCCCAGTTTATGTACCGACCTATTTTTTTTTTAGAATAGTTTTCAAATCAGCTCTATATTTTTTGCAGGAAAACTTACAGATAGATAGGATATACAGTATGATAGATAGGATAAGGGACAGCTAGATTCCAACAGTAAGTATTTGGTAAATATACTGTAAATAGTAATTGCTCTCATCCTCAGCCTTTATTGTACAGATGCAGTGTAAAGAAAACATAGTATTGTCAATTTATATTATATTCCTTGTTACTCCATAAAGAATCTTGCAGAACAGTGGAAGAAAATACACAGTAAGGCAAGTTGGTGTTTTAAACATTCCTTGTACAGTGATAAATGTTCACAAATCAGCATGATCGAAATGATCTTACTTACACAGGTCAAGGCCGTAAGGCATTCACAGGCTCCAGTGCCAATTGTGACATAGGGAATTGTGGCATCTGGGATCCCAGCTCGAGTAAATACGTAACTTGCATAAAAATATATCTATCATGGAAGATACATGAAACAAGCGGTTATAAATATAGATTCTTATAGATGTTCCAAGAGTGTGCACACTGAAGCTCATGCGATTCAAATGTAACTTCAAAATTTCACAGACATCAGACACAAAGCAAAATATGAGCTCAAGCAGATTCAACTTGACCATTGTGAGCAAAAGGGCTTTAACTGGGGCCTCGTTATTAATAACAGAAAAACATTCAAATGCCAAGAAAAAACATTTAAAAACTTCAATAGACCCATCTTGAGTGGAGTGAGAAAATCTCCTGAATACGCTCATTGACACATTCTCGTTTTTTGGGAAATACACATGATGATAAGGTGTTGGAAAACTGGAAGAACAGAATGAAAAAAGCAGTGATTTGTAAGCATAAAATTTGCCATCAGCACCCCATTTGCCTGATTTGTTTCCAGACAAGTTAGATCAAGCAAATGAATCCAAATGGGTTTTTGTTCACTCGGGTGGAATAAAGATAATTTGGGAAATAAACATCAGAAAAGATCAAACAGGAGGCTCAGCTCGTCCCATCATTACGTCACATCAGGATTTGAAGTAAGAAAGCAGCTTCAATCACTGGAGAAGCGCTCCTAACAGAAGTGAGACATGAGAAGCCACCAGAAACCCACACACATATGTATTATCTGAAGTGCTGCTTCAACCTTAATTCTTTCAGATGTAGTCAAACAGGTCCAGATGATTTCTTTTAAAATGTATTACAGAAGAAAGAGTGCTCAATTTTTGTTTTCTTTTCATTTCCTGAATACAGACTGAACAAAAACATCTCGGTTTTTACTTCATTCACATTCAGTTCATTTACAGGAAAACAAGGAATGCAGCACTGCCCAGATACTGGCTGTAGACTTTGCATTCACATGCTGGATTGTACAGAGCCATTAATACAGTTACACCTCACTTACAGCATTGATGCCGTTGAGCTGTTGGGCTGAGTTCAAGAGAATGACTGTAATGACCTGCAAACGCAGGTTTTTGTCCATGAAGAGCTCCCAGGGCTTTTTTGACTGCGTCCCAAGGGCTGTTAGCCTCTCTTTCTCCATGTCCTCTCTCTCATCATGGTAGTTTTCAGACCCATGTAGTCTCTTCAGAGCTGTTGGAAAAGTATGAAATTCTTTATAAAACCATTATTACACTAGTGCTGCATCACCAGTCAGTTTGTCTCAATTACTCGTGTCTCCTTTTAATCTAAGTTAATCCACTGCCAAAGTACATGTGCTGTATAAACCCAGGCAAGCTATTAATTATCTATGTTTCTTTGATGTTCTGACATACTCTTTCTCCCATTAGCTTTTACCATTAGCAAACATGCTGTGTGATTGGAATCAGTGAATTTACAAGGTGTATTAAAGAACTGATTTTCACAGGTAATTGCCTGTTTTATCATATATTTAATTAGATTTCTGAGCTTTGTACTCTTGCATAGAAGATCATCCAGGAATATACAATATAAAGGAATATTACTTGAAAAGTGCCCATTCTGCACATACCTTTATTGCATGCAAGATCATTCCCCCTGTCAATCAGTAGGTACCTCGGACTCTCAGGAAACCAGGGCAGTATAATTAACTGCAGAACTGCAGGAATGCAGCTGGTGGACAGTAATATTGGCCAGTACTGTTCTCCACCCAGCAGCTCTCTGAAATGTAAAATATTACATTGAGTAATTGAGTTGAGTAATTTGTATCATCCCTGAAAGCTTTTTTACAGTGAATCGAACACTACATGATTGTAGCAATTTATGTCAAATTCAGCCAAAAAAGAAATCCCCTTATCTAAGATCAACTGCTTTTTACAAATTGTCATTCCCAAGGCAAACTAACTGTGTTTTTGTTTTGTTTTGTTTTTAGCAATTTTCCAATAACTGACATTTGGATTCTGTTTGGTACTTACTTCAGCCCTATCACCTGTCCCGTTAGAATGCCACCCGTGATAAACACAGATGTGCCCATTGCCATTGCTCCACGTAGGCGTCTGGGTGCAATTTCTCCCAGGTACAGAGGCTGAACACAAATGCCAATGCCTTTCAAGGGGAAATAAAGAACAAGATTAATATATATGTTCTGCATTGTCATAATAAGCAAATCCATCCACCTTGCGCTCTTTTTCAATGAAATGTTAGGAATTAATTGCAGTTTCATAAAACCGAGATAAGAATTGATATATTACTCTTTCACCAGCTGCTATTGTGTTTTTGTGCTTCAGGTAATTTATTTGCTGTTGATTTTTTTCTAAATGACCTTCGAAGGAGTGGCATCAAATAATTTTAAGTGTTAAAGACATGATTTTAATGTTCTAATTTTAAAGTTCCAGTTTTAGAGCCATTCACTAAAACGTTTTGCGTTTTCTCCTAGAAAATACTGCACTAATAACCCTGTTAAATAGTAAGGAATAGCCACCCATTCTAAATGAATTATGCGACAAAGCCTTTAAAAGTGGATTACATTTATAAATTCTCTCAAGAATGGTGACAAATCCAGCTTGGTCACTCGTAGCAGAATATTCAGAATATATCAATCTTTATAATCAGCTCTACAGAAAAGAAGGTTCTTCACTTTTTGGTCTGTTGCTAATAGAGCTCTTCATAGAACAATTCACGAAAAGTGAGAAAAATAGTGTTTACCTGCATTTAACCCGATAAGAAAACGTCCAGCAATTAAAAGCTCAAACAATCCAGTGGGGTGGCTCAGACCCATTAACAGAGAGGCTAATAAAGCAAATATGTTGTTTACCAGTAGAGTCCCTTTTCTGAAGGAAAGAAAACAAGTTATAATTCTTTAAATTATATACTGTACAACGCCAGCATAGCAGCAAACTCTCTCCTTGGGTCATGAGAGAAGAGCCCCGTATAACAATGATCACCGTTAATAAGACTCAGAAGGATAATTTCCAGATTCAATCTGGAGAAGATTAAATTAAAAGTGTAGAGCTGATTTATAGTAATGCATTAAGAAAGAAGAGTATAACATACAATTCTGTAATTATTCTATTATTCTCTGAAAGACATTCCAAATCCCCATAGTTACTTAGCTGACATTTATAAATTACATTTTTAACTTTAGGTATTCTCCAGTTGACTGAATCAAAAAGAAGTGGAAATACTCACCTCCCATACCTAATTGCCAGAGCTCCACCAGTAGAAGCTCCAATAAAACCACCAAGAGTGAAAATAGACACAGTCGAAGACCAGAGAAGTGTTAAGATTTCTTTGCTTACATAGGTGTTGTACCGTTGCAGCCAGGTCTCATTGATAAAATTCTGTATAGGCTTGAAAAAATAAGCAAATTTAACATAAAGTATTCAAAAGGTTGCGAGTTTACTTTTCCACTTTTCCATTCAATTAATGATTTATTAATTAATATAATTTTTTAATGCAGGATAAAAGTCAAGCTTTAAAAAATTGTTGCTGCAAGGAAGACTTTCAACAAAGTTTCATGTCTTGTTTAAACAGTGAAGGTTGTTGTCTTTCAGGATCTACTAGATAATGATCACTCGAACTAATTTAGAACGAAGCTTTTGTGCTATACTTACATCCTTAAATGCTGTTTTTGCTTAATGTAGGTTAACGACTTAATTACTGTATGTCTCAAGCAATATTACATAAACTGTGAATGGCATGCAACTACAGTATCTCTAAGGGGGTCAATATAAATAAATGCTCTTCCAGGGTAACATAATGACTGTGATTTCAAGATAAATGTCTCCAAATAACTGTAATTCTTTTGTGTTCACTATTCATGTGACTGGCAAACTGTGCGAAAGTGATTCTAAAGAGAGTTAGAGTTAAATGTATCTGATGATCACAAGGTGTTTGATATAAAGTATCCACCAAAGGCTGCATTGTTCTTACTTATTAAACTATTAATTATTTTATGCAATGATGTGCATGCTTGTTTTTTTCTACCTAAAAATAAACAACTGAAACAGTAAGACTATTCATTTATAATGAATGTGTAAACAGTTATTGTTTATACTTCAAATACCTAATTGTACATGGCCAGTAATATGTCCATTTGCCAGACATTGAGATAAAGAGACTGCAAAAATGCTCAATTCATATGTACAAAAACAGCACAACAGTCCCCAATCCTCCATGCTCACAATCCAATGCACTCATGAATATCTGTGAATGGGCACTCACCTTAGTGGGGGAATTAATGATCGATATATTGTATCCATACTGAAAGGTCCCTCCAATGCAAGCTGCACAAACAGCCAGTAGAAGTGTTTTATTAGGAAACTGCAACCAATAATATGCAATAAGTGTGTTAATCTTCAACAAAGTAATTCATGTCATTCATAGCTTCTGCTTTCAGATTTCAAATCTTTTCAAATGGCAAATTCATTTCCTAACGTATAACAGCCTCTTAAATACCCCCTTACTTTCCTGGGTTAATGATTCACCAATGAGGCTTCTCCACCATGAGTTTGATCTTAAAGGATAAACGTAAAATAGTTGTGTACACGCGACAAGCAGCGGATTTTAGTTTGGGCTTGAAATTAATTAGTCAGACAACGGTTAGTGTTACAGAAGGCAAAAGTGGGCATTTGGGCACCTGCTGTCCAGGACTATTATAACATGAAGTCTTCATAGAATGGCCAGTGTCTCCATGAGGGACCTAAATTCATCTCTTCTTGTTCTGGGGCTTTACATTAAAGCCCCTTGTGCAGATACTCTTAAATTACCACACAGTTCAGAAGGAACATGCGAGGTTGCAAGACAGGCCGACCCGGGCCTCAGACAGAGAGAGGGGCTCTAGAATAGGGTTCAGTACATCTGGCCATCTGTATACCATCCTGCAGTTGATCAAGGAGCCCTGACCCGCTAGATTTACTCAAACCCAAGACATCAAAGGGACACTTCCCCAAGAAAACAGGTCCTGAGCCACGGTGAGGGGAGAGTTCAAAAGCCCCGCTGACAGAGCACCCAGACAGAGCAGAAGCTGGAGGAAACATGGTTTGCGCCACAGCAACCACGGGAGGATTCGGATACCAGCACTGTCATCCTCCCCTGGACTCAGAGTGAACTCAGTGATGGGAGGGGCATCAGCGACCACAATGTTCAGGACAGCCATGAGTGAAGAGGACACCTAAATCTACAGTTTCTTCACTGTGGCGGAAAGAGGCCAATTCAGCCACCGGAGCTGTATTCGGGGGAATAACACTGCTGGGCCTTTCCTTTTGGACTTTGCTTTTGGTAACTGGGGTCCATAGGGTTCCTGTACGTTCTGTGAGGGAGGGTCTCTGCTGGATAAGTTATGTGTTCTGAGTGTTGGATAGTCAGTTACAGAAACTGCGTTCAGAGGATGCTTTATGCAACAGGCAGATTCATAGACTGTAATACAAGGGGGAAATATGTTAGAAAACTGTCTTGTCTGGTCTGTGGGTGCTGTGGTGGTTCCGGGAGATAAAAAGCTGTTTTGGGAGAAAAAAAAAGGGTCCTAGCAGCCTCTAAAACTACTGCTGTAGGTGGCATAGTGGGTGACAAAGCAAAAGTGCATTTGGGGATCAGCATCAGTGACATTTACTCTTATGAAATGATGAAATGTTGCTTTTAAGCAAATCATTAACAGAATGAGTTTGTACCTGTTAGGTTAATTCTGTAACCAAAAATGTCATACACAGTATTGTCCAAAAATAAGTGTCTGCAACTTAAAAATGAGTAACCTATTGGACTTAAATTATTGGGCTGTCCAATTCTAATATCTGTTAATGGCTAGTGAAACCATTATATCTTTTGAAAGCGCTAAGCCTCAAGAGCACGATTCATCTTAAATTGCTCGGTAAAAACCAGGCCAGATATTTTTCATGCACATCATCAGTAAAGGATAATGTCAGCATTACAAATACTGTATTTGTACTGTATTGCACAAAACAAAAATATCAAACCCTAACGTGGAGACTTATACAACTACAATAAAATCGCGACAATTGTTCTTAGATTCCCAATGTACTGTAAATTGATGCAGGAGTTGATTATGCCATTCTCGGTTGTAGTTATTATATACAGTATTTCATTTTAGTATGTTCCGACGTACTTCGAATATTATTCAATGAGAGATAACAGAACTAGAAAAAAAAAGTTATTTTTGTGTCGCATGATGATTTATGTCTACAATCTCTCAACAGAACTGTCAAAAACAAAAACGTTACATGTAACCCATTTAATAAATTAAAATAACATTTTACGTTTTTTAAACCAAAAACAGTAAAATAGAGATGATGTTTTAACCTCCTCAGAACAAAATCATCTCATTCCAAATGTTTTAGGTTTTAAATAATAATAATTTGCTAAAAATAAACTCTTCCCTCCAATTATAGGTTTAATTTGTAAGAATATTGTTGTTTTTTATTTACTTACCCGGAACTTCTTTCGGGTTTTAAGCTCTTTAAGCAAAGGCTCGTATTCCGTTTCACTTCTGTCTTTGTTCATTCTGTAATTTTTAAACCTCCAACACAGTATGGGTATGCTTATTTCTTAGAACTTGAATCAACCTCGAATATCTGAATCGATGTTCTTAAAGCCATAGAGGTTGTCCGTAGCGAATAAACTGCTCTCAGCAGCAGGCAAAGGAACCTCTTTTCAAACAGAGGACATGTCTTCAAGATATACCGAAGCGGAGCACAATTACCCAGCTGTAGTTCAAGGGAAGATCCTCGTGTGCTGCAGAAAATCAATTTGAACTATGATACAGTATACTGTATATAAGAAAATGAATGACCTACCAGAAAATGAAAGTGTTACAGATACTAACTGCAGCGTAGTAAATGCATTATTCTTCCGCTATGCCCACAATTTCCTGCAGAGTTCACAAAATCATTCATTTAAAAGAGGTGAATTTCATGGTAGTGAAAATCTGCATTTACCTCTTTCTTTATTTGTGTAGCATTGGCACTTTCATCGGATCTATCCATGTTAAATGTGCAGTCTTTAAAGTAGCGTGTCAAGTACTGTACAAGAGTTTTGAAAGTTTTATAACTCCACCTTTTTCTGTATTTGCGGATGATTGACCTGTTGAATGTTCATGTGTACAATGCGCCTTTGATATTTTTCAACTTCTTAGTGAGGGGAGGGGGTGGTAGAGTCTATAACAATGTAAGAAGGGCATTCTTGTAGGGGATAGCTGTTTGCTCTAGTGTAACTAGCTGTAGTTGCTTTTCATAGCCTGCACCAAGAACTGAAAAGTTCAACAACAGTATCAATGTCACCGCAAAACTACGGTACCTAGAATGTGATTTAGTGACCCACGTGTTTAACACCCATCCATAATACGCACGTGTTGACTTTCTTGGGTTAATTGGATTAGTCCAGGGACATTTGCATCGTTACCAGGTCGCTAGTTGAAACGGTGACTCCTTTTCAGTGTCCGTAACGTCGCATTTCTTGGTGTAAATGATGTATCTATAGATAAGATTTATCAAGTGAACCGTATTTGATCAACCAAATATTTTCTGTCACATCCTGTTTAAAGTGATCACGGGTGCTTTTGATCTAAATTGCTTTTTAAAGCTTTTCCAAACACCAGAGAATTTTTATTTTCTAAGCTTTTACATTCGGCCACAAAGAACTCATTGTCGGATAGTCAAGTGACTGCCGCGATTCTAATTTTAGAGTTTATGTTTCAACTAATCATCGCCGAGTTGCACAATCAATTTTATTTTCAGGGAAAAGTGTTAATTATTACTTGAGTTCTTTACAATCCCTTAAAATCTGTTGAATTCCCACTGATGATGCCTTCACGTCTGACCCCAAAGAATGCAGAAAGGTGAAATGTTTGTCCCTAGAAGACATAGCTTTTTGTTATTTCTACCCTGATGATGAAAAATTATAATCTGATACATATACCAATATCTGGTACCAATGACTATGCTTATTGTGTGCCATCTCTAATTCAATCTCTAAGAATGCTAAAGTCAGTCTTAGGTTATATACAGTACTTCTTATTTGTTTTTTCTGCTGTTTAGTATGCATTGTTGTTTGTAAACGTACAGTAGTAATCAAAATTAAATTTAAATGTAAAAGATATATTGATCCGTTTATGTTCTGTCCTTTTCCCTGGTCAGGGTTTCAACTGTCACATGTCAAATAGGGACATCCAGACATTTTTGGACTGTGCAGCAGACTTTAGCCCTGTCTGGGGAAAATCCTAAGCATTCCCAGGTCTGCTGACAGAAAGACCCTTCAGTGTATCCTGGGTGGATCCTGAGCTCTCTACCCAGTAAGAGGAACAAGGTTCTTAAACCTCCTCTTCATCTGGAGGACAAGCAGTCCTACACTGTGGCTCTTCCACATAGCCAAGATCCTTGCTCTGCCATGGAGAATAAGCCCACAAGGTCTGTGAAGAAGCCTTCATTTCTGCTGCTTGTGTGTGACCTTGTGTCCTCACCAGAGTTAATGGCCATATATGAGGACAGTGACAGATCACCCTGCAAACTGACAACTTCGTACAAGAATTCAGCTCTTGGTCAATGATACAGACTGACACAGCTGATCCCAGCTGCCATCATGACCCCAATTGTCTTCATACCAGAACAAAGCCACAGGGTTTCTGAACTCCTCCACCAAGAGCAGATGCTCCTAGCTCCCTTGGAAATAACAGCCCACACTTTTCTGGGAGAGAAACAATACTCCAGACTTGGAGATGTCGATTCTCATTCCAACCTCTTGGCTCTTGGCAGGGAAACATTCTAATGAGAAATAAGGGCAACATCATCTGTAAACAGTTAAGTAAACCCCCAAACCAGACATTCCTCCATACACAGGCATGACATGACAAATGACATTGTGTCCTTGAAAACCATGAACACAGGTGCAGACAAGATGCACTCTTGGTGGAGTTCAACTCCTGCCTTGTATGGACTCGATGTACTGAAAAGAATACCTCACACAAGGAACACATGATATGCCACCTGGAGAAGGCATATGAACACAAGAACAAGAACAAGAATAAGAATACCTCAGGAGTTTCATTTTGCCTTTCCTGTGGGTATGGATTGCATATCCCTATCTGTTGAAACAGCTCTCTGTAAGCTCTTTTTCAACGAATGATGCTGTATGCCCATTATTTATCCTTGTGTAAAATCTGTGTGGAAAGAAATCACTTGATCACCCGCAAAATCACATGCACCGCGGTTCGAATTCCTTCGAGCACCAGACACGTGAATAATTGGGTCAAAAGAATACAAGACGTTAGCCCATATGCCCTACTAAATAGGTTCTTTCTGCTCGCTGCTTAGTACAGTTGAATTTACTTAATTATTTATTTAGAATCAATTACTTGTATGAGTTATAAATGCAGTCCAACGTAAATCTTAAGCAATGAAAGCTTTTGGAATCAACAATTAATATATTTGAGGGGTTTAAACATTTACAGGACACTATAAATACTACAAACCCGTGCAGTCAGGGATGGTGCGCACGATGTCATCTTCGTCGAAAGTAATACTTTCTTTAAAGACAGTTATTGATTAATTTATTGTGGTACAGTTCGCAACAGTTAGACAACCGAGCGCTTTGCAGAATTAAACAGCAGCAGACAACACCCTACAGTAATAGCTGAACATCTAGGCACGGAGGAGAGGAAAATGAAAATTCGCAGTTGGAGAAAATGAATCTCTGTGGGCCCCCCAGGCAATAAGCTTGTGGTACAGTAATGACATTGAACGTCTGACAACCTCCGCAACCTCAATGATCCCACATCATAGTTACGAGTTTTTGGTCTGGAATCCGAAGATACTTTACGTATATTTCTTATTTAAATATGGATTTCCCCCTTAACTAGACCGTTTATGCAATCGTGTTATCTTGTGTTTTACAACAGGCCTGAACATTTAAAGGGCTGAATTAATTTAAGGTGTTTCGTGCCGCAGAATTAAGATCTTCAGGCAGTGATGCAGGGTATCACGTGAGCTTCTGGTTTGGATATAACGACTGCTCTTGACAAGGTACACACCCGCAGCCCATGGCATATTTCGCAAATTATGTGATCCAATCCAGCTGTTAAGGTAATAGTACTTATAAAGAACGGTGGAAAAATTAAATCGTCAAAACACACTGGTGTTCTATGAAACTTCAAACGCGAGAATTGCACTACAGTGCTGCAACTTGCAAAGTTGCATTCTGTATTCATTCCGTGGGGGGGCACTGCAAGCCCATCTCAACTCTGGTTTGATCGCTTTCAAATGCACGGCTGGGTGAGGTTTGGTGGGTGCAACATTGTATTCAGTTCCTGTTGCTGTTGCTTCTGCTATATTCTGGTTCTGGGCTACTTTGCATCATGTTCGGCGGTAGAGCTAAACCTAAGCCTAGGTCGGTGGCGAATCCACTGGATTCAGCTTCATCTTCACCCGGCGAGCGAATTTTGAAAGAATGTCACAGTCTGTATACCGACGCCGAGAACGGTAAAACAAAAAGAGCCTAGTTTGTTTAACGGGCGTAACAGTAGCCTGCCAGTATCCGATTCTCACGGTCAAATTGGTTATGCAATGAACTGTTAGACAACAAGTGCAGTACTATTACTTTACTGTAAACGTCACGATGCAACGTAAAACGATTCAGTATTCTGATCAATAAAATGCTGAGGATTAGTCGCGTTTAGCTGTATACAAAAGTCGTCCGTGGCCTTGATGAACAGATAGCTGTTTCTGTCTGTCATCCTTGTCTCTAGCTTTGAACACACCAGGAGCAATGTTTTCCTGACTTCTTAAACAGGTCATTGATGACTGTTCAGTGAGGTTGTTTTTTTTTTTCCACAACAAAGAATTACAGTTTTGAGAAATTCCAACGTGTGCTTATTAAACCGCGAGACATGAACTCCTAAAGCAAAGCCTGTTATTGAGAAAATGTGGTGCTTTATGTTTTATTTCTGTTTACGACATTGTGTTTTTCGGGGCGACATCGCTGGACTAGCGAGCGGTTATCAGTTCCTAGCAGTTATTACTCATGCGTTTTAAAGTTAGATAGACGAAAAGTATGGCTTGCAAATACTCTTGCACATCTGACGTAACCTCTCTTGCTCCTGGAAATTAAATTTGTTCTGACAGGAATTTTACTATATCATATAATATACAGATCTTCTGAATGACTCATTCCTCGGTGAAAAGAACTCACTTAATTGAACAAATTACTTGCTTAATTGATCAATACTTTACAAATGTTCTCAGTGTTTAGCAAGTTGTATTTAATGGTGACTGAAAATGTGCTGCACCTCTAGACCAATGTTGGAGATCCCTGACTCTGGTATTTTTTATGCAGTGTGAAAGTTGACTTTGACCTAAGTGATCTAGCGGTTTCTCTGAAGCCTAAGTTCAGGCTCGTTCACGTGATTCAGTATCTCTCTGAAGATACTGATCACCTAAAGGAAAAAGACTTCCCAACTCTCTTAAATTTGCAGTGCACTAAGCTTTCCTTCATGCTTGTATGGAAATGTGGATGTGTATTTAGCATCGTATGAAGCTTTTTTTACAATATTAGTGTTACCAGGAGAACAACTGTGCAAAAACATCAAAATGTTTTTGCAGTATTCTAAGATGTAATGATTATGGGGCAGTATTGTACAGTAAGTAGTAATTAAGAATGATATATTCCACGATATCAAAATTAGTCTGTCTATTGTGGCACACAGTGTACTTCTGAGATTAGACCTATGTAAACATTGTACACTTATACAGTGCTTTGCTGGACACTCCACTCAAAGCACTTTACAGGTAATGGGGATCCCCTCCACCACCAGTGTGCAATCCCACCTGGATGATGTGACGGCAGCCATAGTGCGTCGGTACGCTCCACACACACCAGCTACTAGTGGGAAGGAGAACAGAGTAATGAAGCCAATTCATAGATGGGGATTATTAGGAGGTCATGATTGGTAAGAGGCAATGGGAAGTTTGGCCAGGACACTGGGGGTAACACCCCTACTCTTTTCTACAAATACCCTGGGATTTTTAATGACCACAGAGTCAGGATCATGGTTTTACATCTCATCTGAAGGAAGGCGCCTTTTTACAGTGTAGTATCCCCGTCACTATACTGGGGCATTAGGACCCACACAGACCACAGGGTGAGTGTCCACTGCTGGCCCCACTAACACCTCTGAGATGCAAGGTTATATGGCTGCTGGCCATATATTTTAACCATATAAACCAGGTTATTCAGTCAGAGAGTAAAAACATTCTAATCAATGCATAGTAACTCTGCACCATATTCTAGGAAGTGTTTGAATGACTTATTTTTATTAACAGATAGTTTTGAATGGAGGGTAGAATAGATTTAATTGTCCATTTAAGGTTCCAAATATGCATAGATTATTTGAATTAATCCTACAGTTTTTTTTCTCCGGAGACCAGAAGGAAGCACATCCTTTGTATCTCACAAAGAGTAGACTGGATTTACAAAACAACAGACAAAGCAGGAGCAGAAGTAAAGAGCAGGCTGTTCAAGTAGATTACCTTGTTATTTGTAGCTCATTGGATCACCTGCGCTTCAATGGAAACAAAATGTGCTTAAACCTTTTAATGCAACTTGTATATGAGTGACTTGTGTGACTAAGTATAGTATTTTAATCTGATATTAAACTTGTAGATGGAAACTCTTATCCGGAAGTTGAGATTGTAAATGTACTCTGTGACCTGAGGAATTAGGCAAAGTGTGTTTTGAGATGGAAGGAATAACTTGGCTCAGGTTGGTAAGAGGAGTATCTTTTAAAAGCAGTTCTAGGCTCTTTTGGGGGAAAAAAAATTAAAGGTTTTGTTTTACCTTTTTAAGAAAAGAATAAAGAATGAGGTTAAACTGAATTTGTTAAACCTAAACAGATATATTTTTTTGTTTTAATTTTGAGCTGTGACACACACTTGTTCCCATACAATAGCCAAAACATTACAAATGTGGGCTGTAGAATGATACACAAGAATTGGGATGTTCTTTCCTTTTTTGTAAGATGAGACTGATACAATTATTGGATCTTTGTTGGTCATTTTATTTATCAAATAATTTGTCAGTACCATTTTCCTTTTTTGTATCTTGTTCTGAAACTGGAGTTAAAGGATTACAAGTGAAAGAGACAAGTGCCCTTTTGCGGGTTTTCTCTGAGCCTAGGAGAAAGACTTTGCAGATCAAGCCTTAAAAAGGCTATACTTTTTTGTGGGGGCCCTCAGTGTGTATTTAAATTCCCAGAAGCGTCCTTCTTTTGGGCTGTATTGTATTCTCCGGTCCTAGTATCTTAGTTATAACTGAGGGACAAGGGGACTCAACAGTTCACAGTGACGTTTCAGTCAAAAACTGATGCCTTCTTTAAATTAGAAACCCAGGCTTGATCAAAAATAAATCTTGCCTCAATGGCTCAATGGTTATGAGAGCCTAGAAAATCAGTTTCCTTGAAAGGTCATCACAGCCTCTGGTTCAGACATTTGGTGTCTGTGCTTGGCTGAGGAGACCATGTTGGGAGGCCACCATCTGTGAGATGATGATCAGACGTTGTTAGACCCAACATTATGAAGTCCGAACTGATGTGGAGTCCCCCTACTGAACCTACTAGAGTCTAGCAGCACATTTGTCAGGACAAGACAAGGGTAGATCTAGGAAGATCCCATTCAACGTGGAGGAGTGGTCAGACATCTCCTCTATGAGAAGTTTAACTCTTTATTGCCTCGGTTGTGCTCACACTACAAAGATTTATAGTGAATAGGATGTACAGGTTCCAACAAGTCTCTGGGGGTGTTACATGTAGACATGTTGAATATTTTGTTATAAGGTTGTCAAATTCTATGAAAGGTGTGTATGTATTAAATTGTGAAATTATCATTTTTTCAACCACGATGAGTGAAATAAGTTGAATAATGATTTCGCTACAAAATGACTCAAAAAGTTAAAGAAAAACTGCGTAATGGAGCTGCGTAAAGAAAAGCACTTCTTTTTTCATTCCTACAAAGAAAACCTTGCAGACTGTGCACTTTGAATGAGATGGATTCAATTGCTAAGTGCAATACACAATGTTCAGTTTTAAGTTTATTTGTATTGATGAATATTGAATATGTTCCCATATTTCCATGCTAAATCATCTTTTTGTCATGGGTCATCAAGCTCATGGATAAATGTGGGGGCTACTACATGTTTTTGTTCAGTGGTTTCAGAATCTGCACAACACTCCTTGCCATGATTTCACAAATTCCATATAATGTTATTGTTCAAATTAGTTACCTTTTGTGTTTCTAACTTGTTTCATGGCTGTTGTTTTTAACATTAACAGGACTAATAAAGATTGCAAGCAGTCTTGGCCTCCGGTTGCTGCCTCCCCGCAAGAAAATCACTGTGATGATTATGGGAAACCACTCTGCTGGGAAAAGCTCCTTTATTAACTGGTAATCAAACCTTTTTTCTAGAGTTTCAGGCATCAATAGCACATTCCCCTAGAGTTGTTACCACATAGAAACATTAAAACAAATGCTCAAAATGCACAATGAAATCTTAAGCTTTCTTTTAAGTGACTCAATCGTGAAGCTTGCTTCACTAATTGAACCAAAGTCCAGACTATTTGATCATTACAGTTCTTGTCTCGCTTTTAGGAAGAGTAGACAAGAAGCCCAGTATCCTGGCTAAATTCCACACTGGGCTTGCACAGTCTTGCATCTCTATATTTTCTACTTCAATTGGAGAAGTATTTTTCTCTACTTCCACCTGTTCTGTTGTTGACTCATAATGGCTGACAAACATCACCCAGGTGGAGTGCAGCTGTACTTCAGTGATGGCTGAAGTGGGTGTGCTCCTATTTGTATGAAAGTTCCTTTGGAATGAAAAGAACAATATAAATGTGAACAACAATATTACAGTCCTAACAAAAGGTCAGGAGGCGATCCAAACCTCATCACTCCCACTTTTGCTTAATTATGTATAAAATTCGTCTCTCCATTCCATCTTCACCATTTCAGAAGCTCTCTGGCTGATCCCTCGCTAAAGGGATTTGGGGGGTCCAACAGCCCCATCCTTTTGAATGGGTTGTCATTCTCTACAGCCAAGTGAGTTACACAAATAAAACTCAATATTTAAATTATTCCTCTTCTTCACCTTAATTAGAGTCGGACCGAACTACTGAAACAAGAGTTATGTTTAACAGTGGATCTGAAGGTTTGAAAGACAAATTAGTAGAATTCCATATTCTTAAAATTAAAAGTCTAACTTCCTTTATCTTTTGGAAGAACATATGTTAAATTAAGGCTGTTTTTCAAAGGCTTGAGGAGGGTTTGGAATCTCACTAGCCCCCAGACTGTAGATATGATTAGCTTACTGAACCATAGAAAGATATGCTTCATCTCTCTCATGACTTGGTCATGCAGATTGATGTTAACGCCATTTTAGCAGTCACAGGCCAGCTAAATAGATTTTTCTTGGTTATCCATGGAAAGCAAAGGATGCCAGAATGTATGTGGATTTTCAGAAAAAAGAAAATGTTTCAAATTCTAATTTATATAGAGCAAGAATGTGCACAATGTATTCTGTCTGTGATCCTTTTATAAATCACTCAATATTCTCCTGTGTTTCCTTCCTCAGCGTACTAGTTGGGGGGAAAAAATATACCGATTAAAATTATCAGCTGTAGTACAGAACAACCTAAAAATAATAAAAGTTTGAATGATATTGTCCTGAAACTTAATTTAGACCTTTCCTTATGGACTTCATTGTGGATGCTGACTCACTGTAGCATTGGTGTCTAATTCCATACATCAATAATTTCTTGTTTAGCAAGGAACTGCTTTCTTTTCTCAGGGCTTCACTGACTTGATTTCCTTTTGAGTCTCATGGCTTAAATAGTATCTTGAGTGTGACCTTTTTCCCTCCTATTGCAGATTTTCTATGCAAGGGGTTATTGTGCAGTATATTGCATCAGGAAACTGCTCTGTAAGCAGCGGTCCAGATTCTGGTTCGTTATTGTGACGTGCACTGTAGTTCGCATCACAGCTTCTGAAATGGCTATAATTACAGGTATGTGGAAGAGCACATTCAGACGACAGGAGTTGCGATTGAAACTCAAGGTTTCACTTTGGTCACAAGCGGTCGAAAACGAGAATCGCTCACGGTAAGTCTTCATTTCCTTGAGTGGGGTATGGTATCTCAGAATGAACTAAAGAAGGTTCAGGCTTAGTTTCATACAGCTTTTAACTTGGTTTGTTTTTCTTTTTATACCTTACCAGTTCATAAACACCAGTTGTTAAATACACTTGGTTCACTTCTGCAATTCCAGCACCAGTCTGTCAGGGCTATTGGATACTCCACTCTGCAAGCGCTACAGTGCTACTTCAGAAGGAGTATTAACGCGAGAAGTGATGCAGAACTTGCTGACAGCACTGCTAGCCCACAGGGAAGCGTTCAGTTCCAGGGGTGACCCAGCTGTGCTCGACAACCCCCACCACATCATTTAAGGGGTCTCTATTACAATCACTGAGCCTATGCTTGAACCAGCAATGTGTGAATTAAGGAGTCCATCTGTCCATTTTCTGCACTCTTCATCCAGTTCAGGGTTGGGGTCGGGGTGGGGGAGGAGCCGGAAATCTATCCCAGCAAGCAACGGCCGCAAGGAAGGATACACCCCTGGCCAAGCCCCAGCACTGTGAGGCTGCAATGCTAGCCACTGCACCACTGTGCTGCTCTTAAAGGGTTCAAATCTCTCTATAAACAGGTAGCTATATTGGTTGCCAGCCCTTTTCTGGAGAGAAGATTTTACAACTGTAATAAGATAATGCACAAAGAGTACAAAAAGGCAGCTGTGCTCATCTTTCAGGAGCTGTACCTTAATATATTCTAATTCTTCCGAATTCCACATTTCCTGGAGGATGGAGTGTCCCGTTCCCTGTGCTCTGGCTCCTCTCTGCACCACGTTTAGCTTTGAGCATGAGGTTTATGTACAGCACTTATTTCCTTGTCAGTATTTCTGAGTACAGTTCTGTAAAGCATGGCATATAACTGCCCTCTGTATTATCCCTTGTATAATTTCCCCCCTCAAGTTCAGATATACTGAGTTATTCAAAACAATTTATTGGATTACAGAGGTTAAAAAAGTGTTGTTGTGTTTATTCATTTTAGTTTGTTGTCGAGAACAGAGTGCTTTTAATATAAATGTTGGTAGTTACACATACTGTACAGTAATTGGCATTCATCCTTTATTTCAGTGATGTTGATCATCCATTTGTCTTTATCTCTGCTTGCCCTCTATGAGTCATAAATTACCATGAACTCATGACGTTTTGGATGACTTCATTTGAGAGAGTTCTCTATACCATCAATTTATGACATACAGTCAAACAACGATTTACTGGAATCAACAGAACTAAAGTAGTGCAGGGAAAAGTCATGCCTAAGATTCCTTGAATGAGGCTGGAGAGCTCTTTTCTGCCAACTATACCTTTATTGCTTATAGAAGCAATATACTGTAACTATTCTAATGGCACACACTCCCTGAGTGGTTGTTGCTAAGCTTGCATCATATTTTAGAGGAGCTTTATAGCGAAGGGTAAGGCGTTGGCTGCTGTCTGCAGCAGATCCAGTCAGACAGTTTGTTGAGGCACGAGTAAAGGAGATGAAGATGAATAATGTAATTACACCCAGGACCCGGACCGAGAGGATTATCTTCTATATACAGGGACTGCTTAGCTGGCCGGCACAGCTTAGCTCCACTGCTAAAAATCCAGACATAGATTTCAAGCATGCCTGCCAGGTTACAGAAAAGAGAGTAGACTATTTGGTGACTCTCTTAAATCCTTAACGTACATTTTTTACAGTGTTTTTCCTGTTTTACTGTCTCTGTCCAGGGCAATGCAACGCTTCATCTCTACCCTCATTTCCGACCTCTTCTGGAGTTTGAAGGTAGGTAGTTTTTTAGGAAGCCAGTCATAAGAAATAGCTGTCTTTCTACCATTGCTGTAGGTTTTCCCTTCTGGCTATACATGTACAGTATATATATTTTTTCGGTTTTCTTAGATACTTGGTAATAATATAGAGTTAATCATGCTCCTAATGTCTTAATATTTAATATAGTGGTTTTACTTAATTAAATTATCCCTATCTGACTCAGCCAACTATGCAAATGTTCTAAGAGGAGATTTCCTACAAAGGCCAGATCAATGAGTGACGTAAATTCAAATTACTTTACAGGAAAGTCACAAATCTTGAGACTTAGGTTAGATTTAGTGAAATTACAGCAGAGATTAAAAACCTAAATCTTTTCAACCCAATTTTTTGGGGAAATGCAAAAAGGTTTGGAAATAACTAAAAATATCTAGCGGATGTATACAAAAATGTAAATGTTATCTTTTTTTGTTTAAAAGCATTATATAATAATCTGCAGTTGATGTAAGGTGTTCTGCTGTGTGCCCAAATCTACAAAATTAAAATGGAATTGGAAAAGAACACCATATAAGCTATCATGTCTAGAGCACTGTCTGTTCATAGCTCACATTTTGTGTGCACAAAATGAATATTTGCATTCCTGTGTACCTGCAGCAGTCTTATTTGTATTTGAGCTATGACAGTTCATGCCAACGATGAAAGCAATTCTGTGAGTCACAGCTTGTCATTCTCTAGGTAAAAGCTTGAAAATCCAGACCTTTTAATGAACATGAATTATCCGTCTCACATTGTCTGGTAATATTTATTTCTTTCACTTTTTCTCACCGAAAACAAATAATGGGCAGTGTTGTCTTACAACTGTTTCAGTTTTGAATTTCGAGATTCTTTTCAACTATAGTAAGCTGTTATATGCTTAAGAATGCCTGAAGCAATAGCAGAAGGTGTAGTTTTTGCCCCTGCTTTGCTGTAGAACTGTTGGCACTCTTTCTTATCAGACTGAATGCAAATAATTCTAAATGCTTTGTTTAACAGTAGTAGGTTTTGTACCTTTTCCGGAAAACTCAGAGCTTTTTATGCGATTATCTAGAAGTTGGGAACTATTATTCCTCATGACAAAGCTTTTTCATGGTCTGTAAGATGCCTGGGATCCTTCAGTACAGATATGTTAGCGTGTGAGTCACTCACACAAGTAATAAAAGGTGGGAGTTGAGAAAAATGCTGGAGAGGGCTGGAGTTTCTCTATAGACATTGCTCTGAAATGACACCTCGGTTCGAAAGATGTGGACCTGGTCCACAAAGTATTTGGCGTATTAGGTGGTGATAATGAACTGGGAAGGAGTTAAAATCTGACAGAAAACTACTCTTAAATATGTATTAATCTTATTAGGTCACCTTGCTACCTCCTTGAGTCAAGCCTTTTTTACTTCTGATGATATGTGTATATACAGTATTTATCAATGCAAGGCTTTTTGCTTTGTAGTGGCGTTTTTCATACATGGATTATGCATGTATTACCTATAGTGATCTGATGTCATTTTTTCACAGTGTTGACAATACAGAGTTAATGGAGCACAAAAGGATGACGCAAATAAAAGCTTTTATAAACAGAATGTGAATCTGAAAGGAAGGCGATTATGACTCAGCACACTGCTTATTTTTTTTAAATGTCTATACGTCATTACTTTAATTCTGATATTAAATATCCAACAAATATGAATTTGCTGAAGGATGAATTCGGGTCAGAATATCTTATTTGAACAATGGAAGCATCCTAGAATAAGATTAATACCTAAAAAGCCGATGAATGATCTGTCTCAAAAGATTAGACAAAAACGGATGTCAAAAGGGTCTTTCTATGAAGTACAGGTAAAAAACAAAAAAGACCTTAAGCAAAATTACAATTTTGTGTCAAGTCCAAATTCTTTATTGAAGCAGTTTGTATTTGGGGTTGACCGACTTTCACTTTGGTAGACTCAGGAGACAGGAAGTGAGTTAATGCTCATTTACTTAAAGGCAGCCATGTGGAGTAGTACTGCAGTTAGGGTTCTGGACTCATACATGGTTCAAATCCCAGGCAAGAAACTGTAGTTGTACTGCACCTCTTCACTTGAATTGTTCCAGTTAAATAGTCAGCTGTATAATTGTATGAAAATGTAAATTGCTTTAGGTAAAAGTAGGAGCCAATTTGAATTAGTAAGTACAACTTCAAGGCTGTGTCATGCTTAGATCTTCATTTAGTTTATTGTCAGTATCTCTGTCCTGCAAAAGATCCAACTTGATATGGCATTTTCCTGAAAAAACACCTTCTTTAATCCACCATTGACCATTTGCATTTTTTAAGCCACTGCCATCCCAGATATCTTTCTAGAAAAGGGGAGCTGATGCCCCAATTTCTCAGACCAGTAATTAAATGACAGTAACAAAATAAATTCATTGACAGTAAAGAAAAAAAATTCCGAATTCCAAATTAAGCGCAAAATCGTGAACTTTGTGAAAGTACTGTAAATCACTGTGTTGTTGCCAACCTCTGGTCTCGCCATGGGTGACAATGACAGTTCCCACGAACCGCAACATGAAGTAGCTCTTCCTGCTCACTCGTCCTGACCATAATGACTAATGTAATGTGATGTACCGTACAAGTGAATACGTAGAGGTTGTGTAGCAGACATTTCACCTTTCAGAAATTCCAACATGATCTGCATGCAGAGTTAACAAGTAAGTAGTATTTGTTGGAAAAAGTCTTGAAATTGTTAGCAATGTTTCTATTGGATTAAGAGATGTATTCACAAGCTTACTTCTTTACAATGAAATAAAGCTGTGTCACGTCACTGGAAGTTTTATTGCCTCTTTCTGAGTCACAGAACATGGTGCTGGGCTTACCTGGAAATCTAGTCTGTTATGTGATGTAAATTGGAGGCTTTGCAAGTCACTGAGCATATTTTACTTTTATTGGAATTTTAAATTGCACTCATCACTGCTGATTCTTTCTAACCCTAAAACATAAAAATAGCCTTGCAGTTCACCCTTGAAATGAGCCAGGTGCTTGGACTGGCAGGAGAAGAGTTAATGTCCTCTACCCAAGTGTAATGGCAGTAAATCTCTGAGCATGAGTTTGAAGCGGATATTAAATTTTGTTTGGTAACCTTGCTGGGAGGGTCTAGACATATTAAACCATTCATTTGATTCAGAGATTGGTGACAGAAATGTGTTGGGTGCTTTTGTATCAGAGAAATTGATGATGCAGTTCAACAGCTGATAGTCTTTTCAAGAAGGGCTCACTGTGACAATAAAAGGAGTGCCTGTAATCAATATCAATGCCTGTGAACAGCTGCAGTCAAAGGGTTTGAGTATATTAAACATGTGTGGGTTACAAAAATGAAAAAATGTTTAAAGAAATCAGTGTCATTCCAAAACTCTTACTTTTTGTTCTATTTATTGGAGCCGTTGTACTCATGATTGTATGTGATGGAGAGTTACTCCACAGTCGTTCTTCACTGGCTAGCTTTATTTTTCTGTCCATGTAAAGCTGCCAGTTGAAGAGCTGTTGTGGGTGACCATGACAACAGAACTGGTGCAAAGACTGACAGTTCCTCTGAGCTGGATGTCTGTACGGTGTATTGTAGAGGCAACTGTTTTGAACTGAACAGTTTTTTTAATTAGAAGCTGTCACCAGCTAAATTAACAATGCCCTTTTATGCTGGTGAATAGAAATCCTAGAGCATTCCAATTCCAAACATGCAGTTTGAAAAGGACAAGAAGCACCTAGCATTGTTCCCTTAGAATATTCATATTATGGCAACCATTGGGGAAAAAGATGAGCATAATACACACAAACAGGACACGTTGCCTTAAAGTGTGGTAAATATGTACCGTGTTTAGTGGAGACCATCCGATGTCAAACCTGCGGCACATGCAAACCACACTTTTATGTATGCATGCAGTTTATATATCTTCTAGGTGTCTCCGATTACCTCTCTGCTGAGATCTCCACTTCCAAGCAGAAGAAATTTAGCTTGGTGACGTTTGTTGACACTCCAGGCTTGGTGGATGGTGATATGAAGTACCCCTTTGATGTGAACAGTGCCATGATATGGTTTGGTAAGTCTTGCTGTCCTTTAAAATGTTGGTTTAATAAGCAGTTGTTGGGAAGTTATATAGCCACAATATTCCAACTTTAGGAAATGCAGGGCACAGCACTTGTTTTCAGTTTCATTGTTGTTGCTTTTGAGATGTGCACTATATCGGAAGATGCCCAAAATATTGTTAAAGAAAACATTATTCTAAAAAAAGAATACAATACTTAATCGGAACTGTCTAGAGATTTCAAATAAGATTAAAAAACATTTAAGAAAATGGAATATCCTGTGTGATGCATTATTTGTCTTTTGTATAGGGGAGCAAGCTGACCTCATCTTCGTTTTCTTTGACCCAATGGGTCAGGCCCTGTGCAAGCGCACTCTGAATATCGTGGAGAAGCTCAACGAGAGCTGTGGGGATAAATTGCGATTCTACCTCAGTAAAGCTGATGAGGCTGGCCATGAGACAGACAGGCAGGTAAGGCAATCCTGAATGGTGAAGCTGGCTTCCTTATTGGCTTCTAGTTTTTCTTGTTTTCCTCTTTTTCTTTTTTTGGCCATGCTGTGGCTATGAAAATAGACAAGTTACAATTGTGTATATCCAGATTATCTTGCCTTGAAATTTTCCGCTGTGGTGTCTCTGAGAATATGAAAGTTCTGCACAGTCACATTACAGGGAAATTTTCCTTCCATTGTGCGTTGAATTACACATTATCCTAAACAACTGTGAAACTGAGCCATTTCTGCTTGTGTATTAACAGGAAATATCTTATACCCTCTGATTAGAAATTGCTCTTCTCCGTTTCCTTACAGAGAGTCATGATGCAGATAGTTCAGGAGCTTTGCCGGAGACCTGGTTTAAACAAATGTGGATTTGAAATGTCCACAATCTACATACCCAATCCACAGAGGGTAAGTCGTTTCACATTGAGAGAGTGTAGTGAGTGGTTAGGCTGTATTTCTTTATTTGGATTTTCGATAAGGGTTTTTCTTTTTTTGTTTGCCTGGTTCAATGTACACTAAACTACCTCCTATCTGGGAGAAATGGGGGGGAGGGGTTCTGGGTACAAGGCTTTTTCGGATAGATGACATGAAAGCAAACTGATATGTAATGACACCTAGCCAAAAGCAAAGTGAGTAGGACAATGCCACAATGATAAAGAAAAACTGAAATGAAGTCATGTACAGTAATATAGTAATGTAATCCAAATATGGTAAAAAAGTACAAAAAAATTATGGCGCTTGCCACCCCCTAACGAAGCATCACCAGCATAATAAAATAATCCTGGATGCTTAACTATCACTTCACTTAAACTTTTTACATCTGACATGAAAGTTAAAGCAACATAACAGTCCTTAACACTACACTTTTGCACATTTATACTTACCCACACTCAGGTTTTGCCTTGTCAGGGTTGTGAACGGATGGCGAGCATGATGGCAGAGGTGAGACACATCCAGCAGGGGGTGCTACAGGAGGAGGAGGAGGATGACTTGAGGTTGAGAGAACAGGACCAATTACTGTACTGTTGCTAATCAAAACACTGCTATACTTGCAGGACTCAAAATATTTTTCTAAGTGCTCATTTTCTATTTTTTTTTTCAGTTGCTTGAGGTTTCCAAATGCATGATTATCAGATACAAGAGAGTTTGCTGTATTTTGTTTGAATCTCTGTACATTCCACAAAACAACTCCAGTCGGCCAGCACAGTTTGTTCTCTCTTTCGTTCTCTATACATCTTCCTTTAGAGCTCTGCAGTCAGTGATATCTTGATATATTAGGGTACAGTCTGTGGGGTGGTGAGAGGTGGCTTTATTAGGAGAGCCAGCTGGAATGTGGAAAAATCTGTACAATAATAATAATAATAATAATTAATAATTGCTTACACTTATATAGCACTTTTCTGGACACTCCACTCAAAGCGCTTTACAGCGCTTTACACTATGGTAGATGGTAGAGTGAGGTGCATAAGGTCAGATTAAATTATAATGTTGATTCAGTCAGCTCGTTTCCCGGACAGTGTGAAGTTTCACCTGAGGTTAACAACTGAATGGAGATTAACCTGAGCCCTAGAATTTTTCCAGTGTATTATTTAGGGCTCCCATTCAGTTGGACAGCCTACTCATTTGCTGTCTAAAAGCTTGTTTTAGTCCAAAAATAAATTAATAACAATAGACGAATGTAGCTGGCCGTGCTAGGGATTCAGCTGAATTGTTTGGTTTTGTCGACTCCTTCCAGTCCACCCGGTGTGCGAACCATATTGATGGAATGTGCCAAACAATTGAGAAGACCATTAACCAGGCTGTCCAGAAAACCCTGGACCAACTGGAGAAGGACTGTGACCTGATATCCAACACAATTAGCAATAAATTTGTACAAGACAGGTATGCTAGACTTTTAAATTAATCTTGTTTGTGTATCCCTGATCATTTTTTTTTCTCTTAACCTTCTCTCTTTTAGGTATTTTATTTTTTGTACCATCTTCAGTTTAAAAGACCTCACCAACAATGCTGGCTATTGTGCTTCGTATTGTTTTTCTCTTCTTTCCAGAGAACTCGAGAGCTACAATAAAAGAGCTTGCCTTCACTCTCTCCTGTTTGGCACACTGGGGGTTCTGTTACCTTTGTTGTTCATCTTCAGCTTTGTGCTGAACATTTTGGCCAGAGAGGCTATAGAGGCAGTGATTGGTGAGGGTATGGCCAGCATTCTCTCCATAAGTACGGTATGTGTCTCACAAACAGGTTACAGTATAATTGGAAATGTCAAATTCTGTTGGCTTTTGATTGGGCATTATAACGCCAGCTGCAGTAGTGAACAAAATGTTGTTTCTTATGGTATTTATTTTTCTCCGTTCTGCTTTTTACCATGTTCTCTCTTGTCCTTCTTTGTCATTAACTCAAAATCCAATAAAGCTTTTATTACCAAAGCAAGAATATGGCTAAGTCCCTGCTTACAATCTAACATCTAGTGTGATATCCGAGTTGCCATGTTTTTATTACTGTAACTTAATTTCCTTGCTTATCAGTTATCTCCCATATAAAGTAACATCAGTTTAACAAGCACTGACAACATTCATTAATTAAGAATGCTTTGTTCCCTTTCTTTTGTATTATTCTGCTTTCACAGTCTGGGGGGATATGAACTGTAACAGCAGATAAAAATGGACATGCAGTTAGATTTTGAAAATTCCTTGGAGAAATATGCTTTTGTTTTCTGAAACAAGTATTTTATAGCTAAGAAGAAATGGGTCATACAGAGAATTCAGAAGACTGTCAGTGCTACAGGTTCATTTCATTTAGTTCAAGTCTTCAGTTTGAAAAATCTGTGTGTTATTTTTTCAGTAGATGAATATCTGACTTCATTTTAAATATTTTAATGAGGCAGGAGTCAGTTACATTTGTAATACGTAATCTAAAATTAACATGGTGTGTTTATTTAAAAAAATACTTGTCTGTTTTTAAATAATTCATTGCTTTTGAGTGGAGAATGTCCTGTTAAGAAGCTCTTTTCTGTCTGTATCAATAGGGCTTGATGTTGACTCTGTGGGACTGGATACCAGAAGAGAGACAGATTTTATGTATATTAATATTAGGAGCCTTCTCTTACCTTTGTATTTACTTGGCAAAATATCATGCAGGGTAAGCAAACGTTTTTCTGTCTATAATGCAGTTTGATGAGTGAGGTCTGTTTTTGCTTGGGAGCAAGAATCTCATGTACTGTAATCTGTTGTGTGGCTGCCCCTTCACAGCAAGGCAAACCGAACCCTCACGAAGAGAGAGAAGAGGTGCCTTCTAGACTATAGTACTTACCTACAGGATGTCGTGAAGCAGAAGAAGGTAATTTTTACTGACATTATTCATCATCTGATCCTGTATGGCCTTAACAAAATGTATTACAGTATGTATAAAGCTTGAACGTAGGCCAAATGAAAAGTCAAGAGGTCACATGTATCATCTGAAGGGTTGAATTTCCAGGAGGTGTTGGTACAGTACGTGGTTAGGGATTGGGCGGTCTCGATGTCCACTGGTAGTGTGTCCCTCCAATGAGGTGTGAGTGTGGACAAGCAGCAGACTCAGATGAAGATAAATCGACTCAGCAGAGATGGCTAATCGACTAATAACAGAGAACAGCGGAAGGGTTGTGGATGATCAAGAGATGAATATGCAATGATATTCAGTGTCTCTAACACTGAGGATCTAAAATAAAAGTTTTCATACATGAACTACATTTTAATGTGTATTACTTATGAAGTGTAGAAAAATAACTGGACCATACAGATAAAAAACGAAGTGCATGTTCCTGCAGAGCATATTAATTATTCTGTCTCAAAGCTTATAGTCTGTGTTTGCTGCTGCATAACCACATTCATACAAATACCTAAGCTAAAATTGCTGAACAACTTGTTCAGATTTGCCAAAATTGTCTGTTCTTGGACCCTGCGTGCTTAAACAACAATGCTTAATCTTCCCCACTGCTGGTTTTCGCTGCTCTCATTTTTTTTTAAACAGAAGCAGCTTTATGGCGAGTATCTGCGTCAGTGTGCTGCAGATTATGACCTGGGCTAGACATGCACCTCAGCCAACTCCTGAAGAGGATGATCAAAAAGCACTTGAGCTCTACAGATGAACAAGCAAGTAATTATTTTTATGTGAAATCAAATGTAGCATTTTAGTATGATATAGATTTTTTTTATCTTGGGTTTAAATTGTTAAATAATGTAAGCTATATAAGAGATAAGATCACTTTATTGGCCACATTTCTTCTATTAGGAATTTGTCTTTTCACATACCCCAGCTTGCTCTCCTTGAGACGCACAGACAGGGAGAGAAGCTTGGGGTCAGAGCGCAGGGTCAGCCATTTCTACAGCGGTCCTGGAGCAGTTGGGGTTAAGGGCCTTGCTCAGGGGCCCAACAGAGTAGGATTCCTCTGCCGGCTGTGGGATCCGAACCAGCAACCTTCCAGCCACAGGCGCAGATCGTTAGCCTTGGAGCCACCACACCGCCCTAATAGAGATTCGATTTACCTCTATATAAAAATACACTGAATCCACAGGATGCCAAGTCTTGAGGCTACAGTGGACAGCTGCCTGGAAGTTGTGATTATTCCTGGAATTTCCTCAATGTGGAAATCTTAATACACCTACTCTAGGCTGGGCTGCTGTTTAATGGACAACACACACATTGTTTTGTTAAAATAAGCTTTGGAATTTCCCTGCTTTGCAAATAACACTATTCATTCCAAAGAACAAACAGAAAAACATGAATTAATAATATACAGGGTACCTATTTGTTATAGGTATATGTTCTCAGTAAAAATAGTGAGATACCGAAGTGCCTTATGGATGGATGGAAGTCAACAATTATTAGTAAAGGCTTGGCATAGTTTCTTACGAGGTGTGACTTCCAAACTAACAATAAGCATGTGAAACTGAATGAGAGAAACAGTAATATGATAATAAAAAACTGTTCAGGAGATGATGAACAAAATGAGACTACTAGAAACTAGAAACCTGACTACTAAAGAAAAAGAAAGGAGTTTCAGGTTTTTTTAAAACAAAAATGAAAGCAAGCATTGCAAACTCAAAATGAATTAATGGATTTAATTAATTCAAGACAGTCTGTGGTCTTTTTTCAGTTTACTCTTGAATGCATCAGCCAGTTTGAATGATTGCACTGTACCTCATTTCTCTCATCTCTCCTCATTGCGCTACAGTATGGAGACGAGCAAGATGTGCTTCTGGGCATTCTTAAAATGACCTTTGTGAAACTTTCATGTGATGTAGCATTTATGTTGACTGTGATTTATTGAATAGCTATAATCTTTGATTTAGTTGGAGTGTATATTTTGATGTTTCCTGCTATGTTGTGAAAGTATACTAACCTAAAGCATGAAACCTGAGGTTCATAAAACAGAGTCATTGATACCCTGAGATCCTGCCTTTTAACTGAGCAGCTTTTTTTCTTTGAAATGCCTTTTGTGTGGTTTTGATTTTAAATGTAGGGAAAGCTTGCAAGAGCTTTTGCATAGATCCAGTCCTGACCACTAATTAGATCTACGGTGTTTAGGTAGTTCCAGTAGGGAGCTGCGTCAGCATGCGTAGGCTGCAAAGGAACAAGTAAAGGTTTATTCCATATTGAAAGGAGAAGTAAGGAAACAACGTGGCAATGGAGACTTCTGGTGTTTAGCTCTACCTTCTCTGTCATCCAGACAAGTCTATATAAATCTTTCTAGAATTTGTATAACTTTGTATTATTTTGATCTGGTTCTTTATTTTCATCAGAAGGAATCAAGACTGCAGCTACTGTATAGGAAAACACTGCAACATTGTTTCTCAGTGGCCAGTACTTTTTTCCACAGTGCAGACAAACATTTATTTTTTCTCATGCAAAAATATCTAATTCAATTCAGGGTTTTATACAGGATTTTACAAGTCTTTATTTAATTAAACAGGTTTTCCATTACAGCGGGACTTACTTACAGTAAACTCAGGCGCTCTGTGTTGCTCATCCTCCAGTTTGGACCAGTCTGTTATGTGTCCTACTATCTCAGTTGCCATCTTCAAATCAGGTTTCTTTCATTAACATCATGGGGAGTTTGTTGTGCCAGAAAAGCAGGATACAAAACCATACAATGACATTGTATGTTATGAGGCTTTTGTATGAATAAACTACTAGTTAAAAAAAACCCACAAATTTTGCCACAATCCTTTCTAGGAATAAGTATTGATTATCATGATGGTCACTTGAATGGACACATTTTTATCACAAAAAAAAGACATTTACATCCCTTAAGAGTTCAAAGGATATAAATGTCTCAGTGTTACCAGACACTGTTCGAGAACCCTCCTGTCATTTTATTTTTTCCCAAGAGTCAGTGCATTGTTTTGACTTTTTCCAACTGAAGCGTTGCTCATGACGGCTTGGACTTGCAGAAGAAAAGTTTTTTTTTTCTCACAATGTCGGTTTTCCATGAAGTGTGCGGTAATAATGTGTCCGGAGTAACCAACATGGGAGTATTTTGACTTGGCCTTTTTAAAGAATTACCTCTTTCGTGGCTGTGTGATATATTCCCTGTTTCCATTTGTTGTCAATCTAAAGCCTTTAATGGTGTACACTTACTATGTTTACAATAGTGTTCAAGTGTCCAAGAGCCAGATGAGTCACAGCAAACAACTTTTAATGCAGTATGTCCATGAACCTGTAATTGTCTTGAAACTTACCATTTACTATATCAAGGGGTTTTGCTGTTTTGTTCTCAAAAGTTATGTCTGCTAGATGGGAACTATTTGAATAATGTATTTATTTGTTTAACGTTATTTTAAATTACTTATATAAATTCTGATTTTAATGATTGTTGCCTGAACATTAAAGATCTGCCTAGTGATTAGAAGACCAGTCATTGATGAAGTGGTTGGTTATAGGATAGTTTGCTTTTTTGTTTAAAGTTACATTTGCTTTTATAACTTTCTATGGTTATATATGTTTGTATACATTTTTCAGACTTTTATAATAAATCTTTTGAAATCTTTGGCATTTTCACAGATCTAGGCTGTCTTTCTCGCAGTTGCTAATATTGGAATGCTGTGTTACAACATTTACTTGTACCATTGTTGCCTTTGTCTTTCCAATCTAATTGCACTTTTTGCTTCTATCATTTCACATTGGCCCTTTCTTTTCCAAAATTTAAAAGGAAACCTTTTGCCTAGTTTTACTTGTATTCTCAAATATCAGGTTATTAAACTTAAATTTGTATCCTTTGGCTCTCTATGCACTTTGTTCTATTTAAAAGCACACTTGGGTTTTGCAAAACATGTTTTAAACCTTGAACAGCAGTCATTTTCTTTATTATTCAGGTGAATTCCCACAGCATCATGGAGGAACAGTGAGGTGCAATTGAAATCTTTCATGTTGAAAGCAGAGCTGAATCAAGTAACACCCAGTATTATTGTATTGCGGTTTTTAGTTTTTGAAGTGTGCATTTTTATTATGTGAACCACTGACATGGTAAAACAGGAAATTCCTTTGACAATAAACAAAAATTGCCGTGCTTTAGTGTAGTTGTCTTACACAGCATGACATAAAACTAATATTTTGGAACGGCAATTGGTTGTTTTGTTCTGCATAAAATTTAATCTGGTCAATAGTGTAGAGCAGTGATATGAGTCTAGACTCCTGAGTAGACTGTAGTGGGTTCAAATTCGGAGTGGAGGTGCTCATCTATCATACTATACCTTTGAGCAAGTTACTGCCCTCAAATCTGTCCAGGCAATACCAGAAAAGCCTGGACAGCCTGTGTAATTGGGTCTCCGGACTGTTGTTGATGTAAATGAGACTTAATTTTTAATTGACATACCAGGTGTAATCAGTTGCACAGCATTGTGGTAGGAAAATAAAAGCAACAAATTTATTTTTGGAGGAACAAATCCAAAATAGCCAGACATCTAAAACGTTTGCTCCCTGAGTTAGTAACACGGTTTCATAAAGAAGCCACATCTACCAAAGTATCTGTTTTTTTAGAGCAATTATTTCATCAATGGAAGTTTCTTTACATGTTTGTTTCCTATCATAAAATGCAAACCTATGCTGTGCATTACATTATTTTTAAATATAGAATTTATGCAGTCTACAAGCAGGTCTACCAAATCATTTAATTGCAGTAAGTCATTTATATTCATTTTAAAAAGTGAATGTGCTACGGTCTCTTAGCATACAAGACAAACTAGGTTTGGACTCTGTAACCATGCTCTAATATCGGAGAGAAAATGAGTATACACCTGGGAAGTTTGTTTTCAGTTACACAGATCTTGCATTGTTTTGCACAATCTAAGCTTTACATAGTTTTAAAAGAAAAGTGTTTTTCACATTCACAGTAATATTTCTATAACACTGCTGTGAGATATTTTCATTCTAGTGGAATGTGTCATTATGGCTTCTAAAGATGTTGGCACTGGATGTCTAGTCCAGAATGCAAAATACATTTGAGACAAGTACAAAACAAAGATATAAATACACCTTTAAACAAAGCCAGTCCTAAATCCAGGAAGCCTGATCTCCATTCAAGCTATTATGTATTTAATCAGGCAAGGATCTTTGTGAGTTTTACATTCCGGTTAGGTGAGAGTGCAGATGAGAATAATGTCCAAAGCTGCACTTAATAAAAGGGACCACTCCCCCTATTCACCCCTGTACACAAAATGTACAGATGGGTACATCATGCACAAACTCGGGGATTGCGTCCAGTTTTGCTTGTTAATTCAGCCCAAAGTGCAAAATAAACAGGTCTTCCACTAGATAAGCAATAATTACATGGTAACTGTTAAAAATGTTTTGGTTCATTTATACAAGTTTTTACAATATGTACAATTTTGTCACAGTTGACACCCATGTTGAATAAGAAGTGGGCAGCTGCGAGCCTGCCCTGGTGAAAATCATTCGACCTTCCAAAATGTAACAGGTCAGAAAGGTCTTGTCGGTGGATCGAAATACAGTGAGCTGGAGCACACAGCAGAGCTTCCACGAAGACTTCGAAAACTGCTTAGCTGCCATTCCCTCTCAACACCATTCGGTGGTGAACAGGCGAACAGGATGTGAGACACGTTCTACTGTGTTCCCTTCCCAATTAGCCAAGACATATCCCCTGTCCTGCAATGAACCAAAGCTGTATTAATGACAAATTTCCAATAGCCAAGCCACACGAAGAGATGCTTTGCTACAGTAGAGGGACGGAGGAGGGAAATCCCAACTATATTTTTCTGATCGTGCTTTCACAGCGGGGTGCTGTTCAAAGCAAGTATGCCATTGTGAGCTCATATACTCAAACGTTATTTATTTCCATCACCATTTTTCTGCATCTGTCATTTCTGCGGGTAAACCACGAGGTTTTCTGTACATTACAACAGACTATGAATGTCATAGACGTCTGAAGGAGTAAGTGCAGTAGCTACAGCACTGGTAGCCTTATTTTAATGGAGATATTGGAGCATGTCATGGGTTCAAGAGTAATGGAGTTTGTCAGCAGTCCACCCATGCACAAAGTGTCGTGTGCTGACCAGTAAGATTCACACTGCCGGTTTAGGCTGATTTGTTTTGCAAAAAGTCTTGCAGAAGCAAGAGTGGATCATAACAGAACACAGTTTTCTACCCTCTTGATATCATCCAACACAGGTACTGTATATAGCATTTTGCCATATTTGGATATGGTTTGGATGTTATTTGGGTAATGGATGTGATTTTTTCTCAATCAAATGCAGGGTGGTAATGACAATGAGACCCCCTCACACACTCAAGATCAAGATAGCAAGGGAACTGTTAAATATTATGTGATGTATGTTGATATATAGATAAACCTAAGGGAATATTATTAAAATATTCATGTTTACATACTTGCCATGCCGTGCAAACATCCTTCATTATGTGTGCATTAAGTAGGAAACAAAAATAGTTATTTATAGTAAAATAGGTAATTGCAGTTATTGAACCAAATTTTACATAGACATTATTCGTTTTTTTTTTAAATTTAAAATCTTATATTGCAAACATTCCATATAGTATATTGTATATTTCAACCTCATTTTAGCTAAATACAGTGACGTAACTACAATGGCCACTAATATTTTCTGGAAGGTATTGCAAACTTCAGAACTGGAAGAATTCTGTAAGCGGATTGTATTAGCATTGACCGGACATTCGGGTGATCAAGTAGAAAAGGACTTACTCCACATCTCGTTTTCTTATAGCCTTGCCCGATTTAAAGACCTCCGCTACTTTGGATACGATAGGATCGCAGTTCATACTCGCAACCGCAACGACCTCTTCACTCCTACAGCACAGAGAGGTTACAAGAAGAATAATGAGAGATCCCAGTACTGCTGTATTGTAGAAGGTAGGACAGTCGAGCAATTGGGGACTGGTAATCATCCTTTTTGGTTTCTGTTGGTGGCACAATACCCTATTTACAGAAGTCATTAAAATTTAAAAATGCAAGCTTATACGAATTCAGAAGCAATGTTTTTATCTCTATAAATTAGATGCACTTTGAAATGAAATGTTAGCATCAAACCTTTTCTTTTACTGTCTATGAAAAAGACTCAGTGGATATAAAAAGCCCAAAGCAATAGACTCAGAGGCCGTGCTTTTTCTGTGCAGGTTACCCTTTACAGGGGGTGCATAATGAAGTGCTATGGCTCAGCAAAAATAAGTTATAGATTATACTGTAGCACTCCCATAATGCTCTTCATTGGTGATTATATACTTACTGTGCTTTTAGATGCATAATCACAAGTAAAAGTACATTGGCTGTGTATTTAGTTTAACACCAGTGCAACGTTGTACATCTCTACTGAATACAATAACAATTTATTCTACACTTGTACATTAGTCCCATTAAGCATGTCCACATCTTCATACAATTATCCCTGGGGGCATACTGTATATGCAACAAATGGGAGGCATTCAAAAGGTGTTTGACCCATTTGAAAAAGAAAATCTCAGCTTGGGTCTCAAAAGGTTAAATATATAACCATCACCTATATTTCTGGCCACAGTCAGACCATGCAATGGAAACAGAAATATTTACTTCTCTTAACTCTCACAATGAAATCCTCTGTTAGTAATACAGGACAGTGAATAACAGCACCACCTTAGCCACTGTGCAGGAAGGTGAATAGTAGCACAACCACCGCCATTAGGATTGCGTGCATTGAACACAAAAGGATAGCATGCCTTTTAAAGATATTTGGTTCAGTCCGCAGCAGTAAGATTATAAAGATAGCATGCCCAACCAGGAAACCTGAGAAGAGCTTCACATCATCTTTTACCTCCATGGTTGAATGCAGCACAGTACTTTATTGCTACAGAGAGAAAGCTTCGCTGTAGCCTTCCTAAATTGTGACAAAGGGCCATCGTTTTAATTACAGGGTGGATTGGATGAAAGATAATTGGATAAGATGTCCAGGATAATTGGAAAAGTAAATTAGTCATATTTAGTTGTGAAACTTCAACACTTTTGCATTAAAGGATATTTTGTTTCACTGATACTGTTATAAAAATAGTTTAAAATATTTAGACATAAATAAGATTGTACATATTTTTCACATATTTACATATTGATATTATATTTAAGTATCTATATCTATAAGGGCATATAGAAAATCATATTCTGGGGGCTTGGCAGAGGAGGTACTATCCAATCTTTCTTTGGGTTTTCATATTTGTCCACAGTGCACTGCCTAACAAGAGAAATGTGTAGGATTCATTGTTTCTGTGGTTTTATTGGGAAGATCACGGACAGCTAATCAAACAGAAGATCAAGTTTAAGTTTGAAAATGCAGCAAGCTAATGGGAATGTACTCACTTTGTGTAGAATGCTACAAATTTAAGTTCATCTAAATCTCCTTGGATAATCACGTCATCAAATCCCTCTCCATGACCTGGCAGTAAAATTAAACATATTTTGATTAGAAATGTTAAGGTCTCATAAATTATTTTTTACTTTCTTCATTTCATGCTAGTAAGGTACTGGTATTGAAAATACAAAATTAGAACAAATTCAGTTACAGGGTTTTGCCAAAAATGTATTTTTGCATTCAAGTGGCAGTAGAGTCTGTCTTGCACTTTCACATTGAAAATGTGATTTTGCAGACACTTAAAATTAACTTTGTCTCATCATATTCCCCAGTGTGCATTAACCAGCACAAACTAGTTCAGTATAGTCATGTTTGGGGGCAATTCAGCAATCTTAATATTAAACTTATTTACAAGATGAAATTACTATAATGTGCCAATATGGGACCATTTCTGAAGTAGCAGCTGACAGTTGCAATATTTAAATATTGCAATAAAGTTTACCCAGATTATGACCAATGTATTTGGCTGATGCTTTTATCCAAAGTGACTTCAATGTGCACCATTTATAGAGGCCGGGTGTTTTACTAGAACATTTTGGACGAGGTACAATACTGTATCTTACTCAAGGGTACAACTGCTTTGTGTCCCAAATGGAATTTGAACCCATAACCTTTCAGCTACAGCTCCATAACCCTGACCACTGCTACAAACTAATGTCATATTAGTTTAATATAGGATTTGAATAACAAACTGTACTCATTGTATTTTGTGTTTCCATGATCTCGATTCAGGAAATTATAACAATGGGCAGCACTATTTTTACCTGCGTATCTTATACTTTTCCCAAACATGGCTGTCCAGAAGTAAGGCACGGTGTTGATCTCCAATGGACACCCAAGTATGCTGAGAGCAGCTATCCGCCCTTTTGATGAAAAAAAGTGAAAATGCCATGTCAAGTATTTTGGCTGAGGGCTGCAAGAAGGGACTGGCAATTTCTGCTACATCTCTTGGAGATGAAAAAGAGCCTCTCACCGTGCATGTGGGCCATCTGCCAGTGGGGCACATTGACTTTTTTGTTGTTACGGAGAAACAGGGGGAAAGTGACCACATCTCCTCCAGCAAAGACCCCAGGTACATTGGTCTGCATTAACTAAGAAGCAAACAATTAAGGTGTGTAATGGAATATGTCTCAGTCCACCAACTTGCCCAGATTGAATGCCAGCTTTTACTTCCCTTTCAGTGTCTCTGCTCCTGATAACACACTTAAAGCAGGGAGAACCTCATGCTTTCATTTTTGTTTATGGATCCCTACTACCTGAAGGAGCAATATACCACTTAGATCTGCATTTAAACCCGATAGCTCTCCCTTTGGCTTTATTTAATTGTGCTATCTTCTTTTCTCCACTTAAGATGGTCCCCAAGACCTTGCCTATAATTTCTGTAAGCCTATAAAAGCACTCACTGTTCTAGACTGTTATCTTTGTAATTTAGACAGCTGTTATCTTTGCAAATTAAGAAAGCAAAGAAAATGAAGTTTTAGTCTGAACATAATGAGAATATCCCACTCCTCTTTCTGTGTGGTGAATACAGTTTCCTGAACCGTTGATGAGCATATACATACATTACTAGAGTCGGTAACTTGTCCCTACAATGACCAGTAAGGCATTGATGTATTTATTACCACCGTGAGAAACCAGCCCAGAACTAACCCTACCTTGTTCACTGTGATGAAGCCTTTGGAGTCCATGTGTATACCACTGTGTTTCAAGAAAGATGTTGCTGGTACTGACCCTATATCAGAGGAAAAGTAAAGTGCTTAAAAGTGACAATTTAGAAAAACGTTCTAACTGTTATTTATGTAGACACTGACTCACCTGCACCAATTACACAAACATCTGCTCTCAGGACCTTTCCGCTATTCAGAACAACTTCCTTTAACTTGCAAAAGAAGAAAGGATAGAAGCTTGCTCAATAGAGTATAGTGTTTTTAGTTTATTTATTTGACTGATGTTTTTATCCAACATTGCTTAGATTTGTATCCATTCATAGAACTGGATATTTTAGAGAAACAATCTGAGTAAAGTACTAGTAATAGTCCTAATAAAAGTAACAGTAATGCCCTACCTAGGATTTGAACCTGTAACCTTTTGAGACAAAGTCCTAACCACATCTTCAAAGGACTACCCTGTATTCAAATCTCCCTTACAGTGAGCAAACTTTTACCTTGCCAAGATGTCCTCTTAGTTCGGCTACTTCATTCAGCATGTAGAACTTAACACGGTTATTTTCAAACATCTGTGGAGAGAGAAATGAAATTGACATCTTTGAACTGCTTACTTCCCAGATGGTTGAACAGGTTTTATGTTCAGAAATGTGCAGTTTCAACTCCGCTGTGATTTTTTGGAATACATTTTTTCTGATCTACAGCATAGGAAAACGGTGATTTTGTGTCAGTGTAAAAAATAATAGTTGCATGTCCAATCTGTGGAATTAAAAGTGCAAAAAAATATTTAGCACTGGATGTGTCTTCCGTAATGAACAGAGATTATAAAACGCCTGAGGAAAGTTGCCTGGTTATGTGAGTTAGCACAAAGCCTAATTTTGGTTTACAAAGGGAGACGCTTTAGAAAAACATGAACACCCACACAGAGATCTGGTTAGCAAAAACCTCATTCAGAGAAATGTAGGGTTCATTGTTGCAGAGTGTGGGCTACTCTGTTTTCTCCTGCACCCAGCAGGTGGGGATAAAGACATATATACAGAGCAAGCTGAAACAGATAGATTGACACAGACACCTCTGGAAGTGCTGAGGTATTTGTCTCTTCTTTGACATTAAAGCTAGAAAGTCACTGGTCAGTCATTAGCCTTGTCAGTAGTCTTACATTTGGTGTGGTCATCTCATTCTACGATTTTTTAATTTAAGTCTGGGCCAGTTTAGTCACTAGAATGACAGGGGCTACGTAGCTAGGACCACCACTGCATGACTGTTACCTCCAAATTGCTGTTATTTAAAAACAAATATTTCTGAGGTCAATTACAGAGCCCAGCATGAGTTCCACTGGGCTTAAGCCTATTTTCCAAAGTTTTCCCTAATAACTAGAGCTCTGAGAGAGGGTACCTGTGCCCACAATGCACCAGCGAGTTTTAATAAAGTGTTAGGACCTTTGCTACAGGTGCACCACAAGAGGCACGGGGGTGTTGTGATTGGAATTCCTATCATTTCAAAGAATAGGAGCCATTGATGCAGTGTATGACTCAGCACTGCTTCACATGACATTCAGTCAGCTGTAATTGCTTTGGGAGCATGCTTTCTCAGTAAAAAAAAATCCCTGTTTGAGCTTTTCAGACATTTGCTTGGAAAGAGGTTAATGGATCCACTGATAGCAGCAGGAGCTCTCTGAGCACTGTCAGTTTGTCAGTTTGAGCGGAGGAATCGCGACAGTGCTGGGGGCAATGGCACCCTGGCATTTCTTGTCCATCCATTAGTTAGGTTTAAAGAACTTGAAAGAAAAAAAGAGGCCCTTCACTTTAGCAAAAGGTGAGATAATTGTGAAGACCTGAGGTGTTGTATGCTTGTGGCTAACAACCTGCGGCATTTCAAACTCCATTCTTCCAATACCAATTCATAAGGATTTTTAAATCGTTGTATAAATACTTGCGGTTAATCATGACTCCAAATTCCAATGCAGAAGCACTGCAGCACACATAATAATTCGTACAATATTTGTTTTGTGTACTGTATGGTTATAACAAAATGCATGCCAGACATGATAAGGTGAGACAGGGAATGGATTTCACTGCCTCTTCTTGTTTACCTTCATTATAGCTTTTCCAACTTTCTCTCCCAGAGCCTTTCGAAACGGGACAGCCTCCAGTCCAATCACTGAGACCGAGTGGGCATTCTCAGCAAGGTAGGCAGCCACCTCCATTCCTGAGACAAGCATGAGCCAGCACACTGTGGTTTACCATGTACATTCCCATCGAAAAAATAAAAGGCCAGGAATCAAACTACATTGTCCAAAAAGACTGAGAAAAGAACCAGGCCTGGGCTACAAAATTTTGCACTGAATATTCAGTAAATATCTAGCAAAATATAATGAATAGACTATGGACAATACGGTAAATTGCAAATGAAAACTACCTTTGAGGATTATTTCAAATGAAAAACAATGTTCTTACTGGCTGGATCCAAGGCCTGAATAACTTAATAACTTGTAATTAAAGTGCAATGAAAGATGGGCATTCAACGATACCAACCCACATATGATGCTCCAACTACGACAGCATTCTTGTTGCTTGCCAGTTTGGCTATGTGGTTGGCGTCTTCTGGGGTTCTGAGGTAAAATACGTTTTCCACGTCTTTTCCTTTGCAGTTCAAAAGCTTGGGTCTGATAAAGAACACAGAAATACTGGTAATGCTTGCATATTAAATAATAATAATAATAATAATAAAAATAATAATAATAATAATAATCGTGTATGTCTATGTGAAGTGGGAAGCTATCACCCGTTACTGTGAAGCTCTCCAACTTATACAGCTAACATTAGCTGTGAACTGGTAAAAGTTCTGTTTTTTCCACTATTTAGCTCCAGGGAATTTGATGTCAACCAGAGCTTAATATCACACAAAACAGAGATGGGTGACGGAGGAGGGAGATCGGAAGGGAAAAGTTTAAACGAACATCTGAGTATCATCTGCATAACAATGAAAGTGAAGACCATGTTGTCTTATAATCTGAATTAGAGGAAGTATATAAATAGTAAAAAGTAAAGGGCCCAAGACTGCACCCTGTGGCACACCACTATTGACCAGAGTCATGGGGCATTTATGATGACCAAGGAAAACAAAATGCTGCATACTTAAGTACATTGTGAATTAAGTACAGTTTCTTTACTTGACACCACTATGCCCAACCACTGACAAACATGGGTTCAAAATGCGACCACAGCTTCCATTTTACAAAAAAACAGTATAGCTCTGCTTACTTGCTACCCGTGGCGACGAGCAGGTTGCTGTATTCCATTTTCAGTCCATCTTGGAATGTGACGGTTTTTATCTTAACATCCACTGACACTACCTGGAATACATATTCATCCGTTACAAAAAGCAAAACTTAAATGTTTTTACACACAACAACATCCCTGCCAACAGCACCTCACCTCCTTTTCTTTGAGTAACTCTATATCATGTGTCTGGAAGAATTCCAGGGATCGGAGTTTGAGCTGCTCTGCAGTGCTCTCCAGAGACTGGAAAAGAACATTGTAAAATTCTGTGTTATCTGTAAGCATCAGTACATTGTGTCTTGCTTTTATCAATTTGGTTAAGTAATCATTTGAGAACAAGAGATATCCTAAAACACACCAGGGATGACATTTACAGACTGTTTTATATAATCAGACAAGTAAAGGGACAGACTGCATAGAAACATATTTATTATCCAACCAGTTTAACCAACTTTCATCTTTTAAAGTATTTAATCTTTTCAGCAAAAAGTAAAATTCATTATATTTTTTTAAGGGTTTTGTACAAACCTTACTCAATTTAGGCTTGTCATAGGGCAGATGCTTGTCTGCAGTGCACATCACAATACGGTCTGAAAAACCTTCCTGCCTCAATGTCTCAGCACACATCAGACCAACTGGACCTGAAATACACAGCCAGCAATGCTGAGGAAACGCATGACAGAAATACTGAGAAACAATTGTAAAAGAACACTGGGACTCTGATCTTGAACAGGTGACAGACCCTTTTAAACAAGGTCTTGCACTCTGAACATCTTACCTGCTCCAATGATGAGGACATTGCTGAAGCCAGTGCTATAGTTGCTCAGTGCAGTACATTTTGTCATGACCTTTGTCCTTTTTTGTGACTGGAGAGCCTAGGGGATTAGAAAGATTTGATAGCTTTTTACAGTGAGGTCAAACATCACTGAGGTGATTCTTGTCAGGTGGCCTTCCTTTCCAAATCCATTAGAAAAACAATGTCAGTAAGGTTCTTCACACTAAGGTCTTAGAGTAGTATTTTTTCCATTTAGATCAACGAATATCAAAGCTTTTACTTAAATCTGCTTTTTGGATTTTTATTTCATTTACTCAAGCTGGTGCACAGAAATTATTAGATGAGCTTGCTTCAATGTTTTGTACACCATGTCTCATTTTTTTGTGAGTAATTGCTAATAACAGACAACAAGCGATAGCTTCATGTTGGAACCAAAAACATAAGATAGTTACAGTTTTATTTAATGATACATATTCTTGTCGTTTGATTACTCAAATCTCCAGAAGTAAATAATACATCATTTTAATTGAACTTACCTGCTTGCTTGCTCGAACATACACCTTGTCTTTTTCCACTCTAACCTGAAACAAGCAGAAACGTTGTCAATACAAAATCATATATCCATACATATTTTGTCATTTATGCTCTTGACAGAATTTGTGTTCTGTCATTTATCATCATATATATGGATATTAAAGGGCTTGTTCTATTTTTAAGCATGATATATATCTGTGACACTGCCAGAATTCGATTCTGCCCTCCTGCCCTCCACCTTCGTCTTAAAGCAGGTCAATGTCTCTCACATCTCAGTTTGTTATGATAGCAGATAAGGGTGCTTTCTGTGCTTCAGGTAGAGCACTGATAGTAACTCCTGGTCCTGGAGGTACTGTATGCTGTCCACCAGGGTTTATAGGTAACCTATAATCTTCAATGACTGGAAAGGTCTGGAAACACCGGTGATACAGAAAAATTAAGTGAACAATCGGTGAAAAATAAAGACTCCAAGGTGGAATGGAAACAAGAAGATGTGGCAGGACTCTAGGATCGGTAGTGAATATCAGTTATCTAGAGTGTGATTAGTTTCTATCTTTTCTTTTAGGCCTCCTTGAGGGAGAGTCTATTCAGTATTTAGAAATTACAGGAGCTAAAATATATTGAAGACTCTGTAGTTCTGCATCCATGTAAATCAGTGCAATGGTCTGAAGGGAGCACCCGAATATTCTGTTACTGAAACCTCTGGTCCAGGTTACAGTTTCTTCAGCAGAGGCTCATGTGAGAGTTTACCTGAAACTTCGGCAAGCTGTCCAGCCCTGGGAAGTCTTCTATGTCTCCAGTCGCAGTACTGAAGCAGGCGCCATGCCAGGGGCAGCGCACACGGCCCTTCGACAGAACACCTGGAAACAGGAAGGCATCCTCAGTGTTGTGCAGCCCCTCAATCCCTCATCTAACCTGTCCTGATGGACACTTGAAGAGCACAATCTTGTCTTTTTTAAACAAAGTCTTTAACAGTAAAAAAACTATCATGCGGAGGGAAAGAAAAGAGAAGGTGTGTGATTTTCAATGAATGTGTAGCGCTGCTGGTTTCATGCAATGTTCTCACCTTTTACCAGCGGCGCTCCATAGTGTGGGCATTTGTGCCCAATGGCACAGTACTCGCCACGTTCTTTTATCAGCAGAGCCTTTCCGCAGCCCAAATCCACTTCTCGCATCCTGCCAGGAAACAAACACCGCTGAGGAATATGCAACACATTTTTAGAAGAAGTTATAGTGACTGCCAACATCATTTAAGACTGCATTATTTGTACATATTTACTGCAGTGCTTTTAGTGTTGGTGTGTCTAAATGGAAACATAGTGAATTGAAAAAGAAACCATTAACTGCATTTATTCATCAAAGGGGTGCTAAACGTAGGTGAAATTAGGCTTAAATCTCATTAATGTTGTCCTGTCATACAACTGTGTATAAGTATTGACAACTAACCCCCCTGTTTAAGCAGAAGCCCCAGTTACTCTCAATGAGAGTTGGTATAGGCCCAGATTAGTATTAATTCCTGCCAGAAAGCTGAAAAAATTCTCCTTGGGGGCAAGTCAGGTGGACCACAGGCATATCTTCCTTAGGAAAACAAATCATTACATTGATTTGGAGCTACATGTTTGAGCCCAGGTAGTTATCGCTCACAAAAGCAGAGTGTACGCCTTCACGATATCTGCCCAGACTGTGTCAAGAGATACACAAACCATTTACACAGCATTGGAACAAAATATATCATTGCAGTGCAAATTTTAATCACATCACCTCATGTTTATTAGATTTGTAACAACAGGGTAGTTCATCAGAATTTAGTAGGGAAACAAAACTGCAAAAATATACCATGTTTCCACTGAATTAACTCAGAATTAACTTAACTTCCTGCAAACAGGAATTAACACTAAAAGAGATCTTCTTGGAGCTTTAAGTAATTTAGCTTTGAGTAAACTGGAATCTCTGCAGCTGGAAGGCTGTAAAGTAAACAGAAGTCTGACAAAACGAACAGCCTGATATTTCAAATCAGTAATCCTTACTGTCCATTCTCCAAGTCCTTGACGTGACAAACAGCTGCCTCCACAAAGTCCCTGGGGTTTTGGTATGGACTCAAGGTGATGGACTTGTCATCATCATGGAAGTGTTTGGCTGTCCCATTCGGCCTGCAGTTTGCCAATGGACTGGCCTTGCCGTTGGGAGACATTTTTTCGGTTTCCTTTTCTTTATCGGGGACCACAACTTCAACCTTAACCTCGACTGTGAGAGATAGAATAGCAATGTAGGCAAAACAAAAATGTGCTCTCATTTCTGGAGGGGTCATAGGGTAAAAACTACGAATGACAGGAAAAGACAGTAATCTCGTAAAACATTCAGGATGTTCAAAATACCTTTGTGACACGCCATTGCAATCAGGCTTTAAAGAAATCATTTAAATCATTCTTTTGTAAGAATATAAGAATGACAACTAACAAGAGGTCATTTAACCTATTTAGTAGTTAGTACTGTAAGTAATTAATCCAAGGATCTCATCCAGTCATTTCTTGAAATATGTCAGAATATTGTTTTCAACTGGGTAGCTTGTTCCATACTCTCACAATCCTTTAGGTAAAGAATTGCTTCTGTTTTCGGTTTTAAGATGTAAGCCGGTCTTCTAAGCAGTGATGCCACAATTTGTCAGACATTAGAACATTTAACCCCCTTTAAATGTCTGACTGTGGCTCTCTTAATATCCCTAAATATTGTTTTTCTATTTGGCAACTATGGCAACTACTGTACATCATACTGCTTTGCTTGGAAGAACTATACCTGACCAGGCATAAATAAGAAAATTGTTCAGTTGAAGCTCTAAGAAGAAGCTGTATTTTCTATCTTTCTATCTTATTACTCAAACATGGTGTTTATTTTGTATGAAAAGTTAGTTGTGTAACCTTTTATTACAACCAACTGAGAGCCAGCTTTATCTCTTCAACTGGAAAAATTTGCTGACCCCTGTTAAGTCTTAATCTCCCTGGAATTCTTACCTGCTGAGCTATACTTTAATTAAAATCAATGGAAAATCATAAATGTTACTTCAGTTGTGGGAAAGAAAGGACTCTTAATCAGTTTTTCTGTTTGGCGTGTTTTAGTTTTTAAAAAGGATGTATTTCTCAAAGTTGACTTGACTTCATTAAAAAAGTAGAAAACATTACATTAATCCTTAAAACGTAATCAATTTGGTTATAAGGAAAATGTTTACTGTCGCAGTTAAAGCCCTCCAGAAAAGTATTTTCTTTGATCAGTTCTGTTTGTGGTTGGCAGTGTTGAATTTTAATATGCTTAAATGTATCTTGCCATGCTTTACAATTTTAGAATTAAGCTGAACATTTACACAGCAAACTTTCTGTGGAAAAGGAAAAATCTCCATTCAAGATGCTAATTCATGTGACTCAATTTTTGTCCTAACAGTCATTTGCTTATTAAAACATTTGTGTTTCAAATCTCTGGAATGCTTTGAAATATATATGTTTTGGAATATGTCTTATAATTATTATGAGAACAATAAATCCCCCTTCAAAAACAAAACAAAATCTTTTAAACCAGAATAATTCTTAGCTTTGAAAGCTAATAATACGTGTGCACAGATTTGGGAGTTTGGAGTGTTCTTCAAACACTTTCTAAATTCAAAGTTAATTAACTAAGTAAACAGTAGAAGATTGGATTGAACCAAACTCTACCTTAATATAATCAAAACTAACATTTGATACACTATTTTGTTTTTACACTAAAGATATATATTTATTCTCCAAATTATTCTGGGTCATCGAAAATGATGTAGATAAAACTTTTAGAAGACTGTTTAATTGACAGTTTTGATGATTAACCATGTATGACACAATTAATACTTAAAAAACTAGACTGACATAATTTAAGATGTTTAAAAAAACCTCTATGTTTCTGTATTTTTCTTGTCTTCATTTTAATAGAGATCATTCATGTCTAAAGGTATTAATTATGCAATTTTGCATGGGACCTCAATCTTGCATGAGTGCTCTGCTGTTCATATTTGTACTGGCAGAAATGCTTGATTAGTACAGCGTTAATAAAACTTTTCAGAGGCTTAAACAAGTCTTACTTAATTATCATTTTCAATACTGGCTTTTTCAGTCTTTCCCTCAAATTAACTTTTAGTATATTTATTCAAACACTGTTGGGTTTATGATACTCTATTATAAATGTACTGCCCAGGATCAGACTCCCTCTAGCTAGCTGACAGAGGAAGGATGTTTCTGCTGTGCCATTTAAATTATGCAGTGAGACATCTGCCTCTTGATGATTCAGAACAGACTGGGAAAGGGTTGTAAATGCATTACCACTTGTAAAAGTTAACTGAATTACACAGTCAATCTGTATATTATAGTTGAATATTAATGAGGTTTTTGTAAGCTTTTTGCTCAAGAGGAGATTTTCCACATTTGGTGATTTTGCAAGTAATAACACACCCACCAAGCTAGAGGGGATATACAGTATTTGTGAAGCAACAAAAAAACACAAGTTGAAATGCTTTCACTTAAGCATTTGAGAATCGATGGGAAATTATTAATAATCATTTTTACTATAGTTCTGGAATTTTAAAAGGGTGCTCTGTTTGTGAAAACACTACACCGATACAAAGCACTTTGAAAAGTGCCAAGTAAATGTATGCTAATGACATTCATGCCATGTTTAAAACTTTTGTTTTTTATTTTAGATTTCTAACCAGTTTAGTAACAGAGCAGCGAAACACCATATCATTGGAGCTTATTAATACTTTCATACAGTTATAAATTAAGCTAATGTTCACATTTTGCATTCATTTGAATGCAGCTTTTGCATCTTGCTAGTTGCGAACTTTTGGGAGAAATGTACCACTATACAGTGCTTATATTCACCTCATTTTGCAACAGCAGAGGAAGTGATCCTGAAGAGCTTGCTTGCTGTTTTTCAAAAGATGGATTGTCTAGTGAAAATTACATTGCCTATAACAATGCTATTAAGCGAAGTCATGTTTTAGTGAAAGTTTTGTCTCGACTTTACATTCCATCACACTTGTGATGCATTGTACGATGGTAAACCAAACTCATATTTCATTATAATCCGCTTGGATCAGTGCAACTCAGAGAATTAAAATTCCTCCTGAACCACAACTCTACAAAGCACAGTAGTGAGTAGCATATGACCTATATATAGGGGGGAACAAGTGCCAATTATTATGGGATTTGAACCAGTCACCTGGTTTGGGTTTGGAGAAACATCCTCCCATGATGGGCAAAGATTACTGCGAAGAAACAAGTACCCTGGAGACTTCTACAAGTGAGAGATCAGTCACTCCTAGCAAGCCAGAGGGTGCCGGGGGAATCACAGTGCTTGCAGGTTCTTCCTGAAAACTGCAGGTCTGGGCCAGCCATCTTAGACATCAGATTTTCTTCATAGCCTACAATTAGACCAAACACACTTCATGTCATTGGCAATTGAAAGTCTTGGTTACAGCCAATTAAACCCCTTAAATCCCCACCAGAACTTAACATCACGGGAATACATTGCAGCCACTACTTGAAAAGGCTAAATTGAATGTTGATTGCAGCACTATTGTGCCATTTAAATATATCACACGATAATGCAAAACATTATTTCTGCTTTGTGTACTACAGGTACTTTCTAAAGACAAAGTTAATTTATTCAGCAATACAAAAGCCTGCATCTGTCATAAAGTACAGAGAAGTGGCAGAAATGCTTGATTGGCACACGTATTTAAGGACTTCAATGTGCCTAGGAATGTATTGAAATTCATAATGGATTTAATAGGTAAGAATAAATCATTTTAAAAGGAAGGAGCCACTGGAATTTGTCTTTAGACTTAGAGCCTAGGGATGCATAGGACTTGGAGATGAAGGTATGAATTATGAGATGAATGTTTCAATTCTGGTGGTGCTATTCTTGTCCAGTTTCACTGTGCCTTCTCAGGAGTCAAAGTGTTCAGAAGGACAGATATTGTCCTTGACCTCACTTTAGTCTGTGAAGTATGCATTTAATTTGTGTAGTTTACTATTCAGTGGATTGGTCATTGATCCAAGTGCCCTGTCTCTGTCAAAGGGATGGTTTACGGTGAATGCATTTATGGTCAGGCAGACAGAGCTGAAATTGAACAAGTGTCACAGTGGGTGTGGCTGAGCCTAACCCAGGGATATTTGACAGACTCTATCCTACACTGAACTTCATCTGGTTGAGCTATGTAGTTTAAAAAAAATTGGTAAGGAGAAATTCTGTGTAGATATTCAAGAAAATCTAAACTGTACTCCTTTTTCTAAACAAACCATTAAATTCAAAGTATGGAGAGCCCTTTTTCACGTTTCGGCCTTCAGACGAGACACATACTCCAACAACAGCAGCCACCTCCGGTTGACTTGTATCATGCACAAAAATTGGCACAAATGTCCAGCGCTAGCTCTCTGATGTTTGCTGCTGGAAAGAGGCTTTGAAAACTTTAGTATCTCTCTCCTTTTCAGGCAAAAAAGTATCTCACTGTTATTGCTGATATAACAAAAAGCACAGTAACAAGCTACAAATAATTCCTGCTCTATAATTATACAAAAGCAGGATAATGCTGGCTACTAGTTTTCCTATAAAATTACTCTGCTCAAAGACAAGATGTAAGAGATCATAAAAAATCAGGAGTATATTATGAGTAAGCTTTATATCCAATTAACAATGAAAAAGCCATAGTGAAGGTATAATTTCTGAGCATATAAAAAAATCAATTAGATCAATAAGTGACCATTTCCTGGAATCATTTTGATCATCATGCAAAGACAATATAAATCCCAAGTACAATGTAGGGGTGAGCAGAGATCACAGTGGTTAAACTTTCTTTATCCATCTAGAGCATTGTGCCAGCTGGGATATCCTCTGCACAATCACATGAAGGTTTTCTCGACACTGACTAATTTTAAGCATTTTAGTCCTCATAAAGGGGTAAACATTAATGCCATTAAGGACCCAACAGCCTTCCTGTGGCTCTGCTTCTATGAGCTATGTATGTGCAGCTCATATAACAGGCTTCTCGCCTGCCCCCAGCACTGTGCTGACAAGGGAGCTTGTGGAATTTTGCTCTGGTGCTTCAGCTGCAGCAGCATTGTTCCAGGGTTGAGGTGAAAGGGAAGAGAGCAGAGACACGCGATCTGAATGGAGGGCTCTTCAAAGGCACGGTGACTGGTGCAACGCTCAAAGAAAAGACATATAGTTTATTTGCCAATAAACCTCTTCAGGAAAGCATTTAATATTCAAAGCACATCCCAACTGCAGTGGAACAAAATACCTCTGCAGCTAACAGGTCAGGGAATGGTCAGTGCTCTTAAGTTCCTCCCAGCCTGAAATCCGTTTCAAAATGTGCCTTTATGTTTAGGTTTCTAAACTGTTTTTTTTTTTCTATTTACAGGTACCTGTATTTTTTTTCACATTGTGTTTATGGGTTTCATTATTTATTTATTTATCTCTGGAATTAGAATTTAACTATTTGATTTTTGTCATTGCTTTTTCAGGAGCATAGTTTTGGATTAACATTGTATATGTGAAGCTAAACTGATCTACAGTGATCACAGTGGACAGTGGGTAGAAATCAGAGCAACCAGAAGAAACCCGAGTGAACAAGGGGAGACCATACAAAATCCACACACATAGCATCCTAGGTCTGGCTTGAATCCAGGGCTCAAGAACTGCAACACTATCCTCTGCACCATACCCCTATTGGAATCTATCGTATCTAATCCTTAATCTATTTATAGAAATGTTACAGCGAAATTGCTAACATTGCAAATAAATGGGTGGAATCAAACTGATAACTTCTTGATCCTTCGGGATCAATAAAGTCTTATCTATGAAGCTAGCTAAAGACTGAATGTTCATTTATTGAGCTGTATGTTTCTTGCCAGAATGTTATTTTTAGTCATGTTCAAGGGATTAAAGGAAATGAGGCTTTAAACTTAATTTGGAGAATGTGTCTTCATCAACATAAACCCTGTGTTCTTTCTTTTGCAAGTCAGCTTTGCAAAATCCTGTTCTCAAGTGTGTGAGCACCTACACATCTCCTGTACAATGGATGGCTTGCACAACCACCCTGAAATGCATTGTGACAACCTGCCAACACCTGTTGTTCAGGTGTGTTAACCTTCAGCCTTTCAGAATCTTCCAAACTTGTGATTCAAACCAGATAAGCAGCAGGAATTCCAGCGTGCAATGCAATCAGGCTGAGTTAACATTTCACTTGTAGGTTTCAAAGGATCTGTGTAATCTGTCTCTTTAAGTTTGTGAACCCCAGGTAAGATGAGTAATTGCCAGCTTGTGATACTTTATCTTGCTCTTCCATAATTGTACAATAAAGTTTAAAAGAGAATGGAGCAACTGAGGATATTTTAACTGAACTAACCAGTGCTAACATTAGCATGCAATTTATCATTGGGATTCAATTTGATGCTCTATATTCTACACTGCTGACAAACTGCATCGTTCATTATAAGGAACAAGTAATAGGTTTATTCCATGCTAAAAGGAGAAGAAAGATAACACAACGTTTTGGCAATGGAGCCTTCTTCAGGTGTGAGCTGAAGAAGCTTACATGGTTTTGCAAAATAACTTATAGGAATAACTCAGAATGGAATAATCATAAATTGAAAAACATAACATTTGAGAAAGAAGAAGCTTCTGTGCCTACCATATATTTTGAGGAGAAAAGAATATTTCCGAATTTTAGAAAATGCAGTTTTTAAAATTGCATCTTAATACATTCCCTGCCATTGTAACATTAAAGAAAAAATATTTAAAAAAATTGGCTCATAACAATGACTAGGGACCAAGTCAGCGTAAACTGTGATGACCTCTACTACTGTGTGAACATGATACATTTATGAGTGTACAATATTTTTCAAAAGATAAGTAGTGCTATATATATTTATGAATTGATCATTGCTTAATCCAATTGGCTCATAGTGGCTAGTGGTTTTGATACAGCAATCTGAGGAATCCTGGACTCAGTTTGCCAAGATTATGTTGGAAAGGTTTTTCATAAAACAGTACAACAGTGTAAGAGGAGCTGAGTTTTTATATTTTAACAAATGCAATATAGCAATATGCAGCAAAATCTAATGACTTATGACCTCGATTTTACTTGTGACACAACTTCTTGTAGGCCTTTACCACCCTGAGCGGTCTTATGACTTTTCTTGCAAGACAAAAGAACCCATGTGCTGTTTTTCTGTGTCACAAAATGGGACCTTTGACATTTCCTAAAGTTCAGATGCAAAACTATCTTAAAACAACATATTAGGTGCAAATAGTGTCAGTTTAGGGACATGTTTCAGATAATAAATGGATTAAGTGCAATAATAATAATCCTTATTTATATAGAAGTTGCTTTACAAGCAACTTCCCAAAGTTCTTAACTGAAAAGACAGATGGGTTACAGAAGAACACAAGTTTCAAACAAAATGAGGGTATTCTTCTCATCTAACCCAGTTTTCTAAGCTTCTAACTGATCCATCGATCTCAACCAGCCACTTCTTGAAAGAGGTCACAATACTGACTTTCATGCTCCCACAACCTTTGAGTAGAGAAGTACGTCATGTTCTTAGTATTATATATGCTACCACATAGAATATGTAGTTTCTATAGCACTATCTGTGCTCTCTAAAGTGTTGTGTTGTCCAGATTTGTATTTGATATTTAGGAGAGATCAAACAATTATATGATCTTAAAGAGAGGCCATATAACACAAGAAAGCCATTTTTTATACAAATATGGGTTCCTATATGTGTTCCATAGTAAATGTAACTTAATTTGTACTCTTTAAAGAACTCATAAGACAGCTTTGCATTTGAGTTCAAAGGTTACAGTCAAGGATGTTCCGATCAGCTAAATTTAGTTGTGGATATTATATCAGATAGACCTCTACGACTGTGAAGATTTATGAGTCTACTGCATTCTATCATAGATATAATTTTGCAGCATTTGTAGATATAAACAGAATAACCATAACTGAAATTTGGTTTCTGGATGTTTCATGTAGTTTTCTTGACTCCAGCAAACATGATAAATAACTGCCAATATAATAATACATTTTATTTATAAAGTGCCTTTCCAAACTCAAGAACGTTGAATATTATGTGTGCAAAATTCAGCTTCATCTGGCATTCTGGTTTCAGATAAAATGTTTCAGTACTTTTAATGAGCCCAATATGGCTACCAGATTCAAGAACCAATTGGTTTCTCTGGATGAAACCTACATCCTGGGCAGAAAGGTAGACCATATGACTCTGCCAGAAGACATTTTGGAAAAGATTTTCAAAAATCAAAAACTGCCACCAGAAACTGTGACCTATAATCTTAATCTTTATGCTCCTTTATCTTTCCATAGGATATAATCAAGCAAGGTTCCATGGTGTTTTATCCAGTGTTTTTTACAGACATTCATATACTGTTTGATAAATTCATAGGTATTGAAGATTGAATTTATAGACCATAACAATAGGATACTGGCAACTTTATTGCTTGTACCCCTAATAATAATACTATTTCATGTGGTCAGTGGATACTTTTAGCCTGACCAGTTCTAGTTTGTCAAGGCCTTTATCCTGTTACATGTTGACTTGCCATGGAAATGCAGTCTAGACACAGGATTAAGGCTAAATAAGATTCAAATTAACTGGCTGTTAAATATTAAATAAATACACTTAGGAATCTGTACCACCCAGATCATTAGTATAGCACTCCGCATTTTTCTCTTCTAACTTTAAGAACATTTATCTACAATGAGTGTTGCTGGATGCAAGTTTAAATCTTGTAACCAAAAACGGGGGCTTTTATTTTTAAAGGCCCATGAAGATGCTTGCATAGTCAAACACAGCTTGCTTTTGAGCTGACACACTTGAGTTAGTTAAAATACCACCACAGAGTGGTCGCACATTCTTTTCGCTTAATAACTTTCTTAGTGGTTTTTAAAATTACTTTAAAGCAGCACTTAAAATTAAAATATTTAAGTGACCTTAAATTAGAATATTGTACAGGGTAGTTCAATGGAAAATTTGTGCAGCCTTGCAACACTCTCAATCAAACCTTATAGGAATACCCCATAGTTGCTATCCCATACAACCCTGGGGATTCCCTCTAAAGAGGTACTTCTTGCACTCCAGAGAAGTGAAGTGAAGAGGTGATTTCCTCTGTCGTATTAACTGCCTGATTAGTAGATCTGTTGTGTGTATTTGTCAGTAAAATGTTTCTTTGCCTGCTCAATAAGACATCACTTTTAAAACAAGTATGGTTTTAAAAGGGATATATTTAAAAACCATCATATTTGTATACTGCAGAGACTGCATAACTCCTATTAGTCAATAAAAAATCACAGCTCCCTAATTAAAGAAGTCACATTTGATAGGTGTGATGGAAGAAAACACCATCAATCAGTCAATGAATCACTATAACAATAACTTTTCCAGCTCAGTTGATCTCAGTTGTTAACCTAACATTACAGCATCAACACTTTCTTTTTGAACTTTTTGAACTAAAATTCTAAAAAGGGAAATAATAGCTAAGCAGATAGGTCCAGCCAGACACATCTGATAAGATCACCAGATGTTTTTAATCATGTGTGCAATGTCTGGAGAGAATGTGTTGAAAAGCATATTACCTCAAATGAATGTGCTTCATGTGACACTTGAAATCAACCCAAATTCCATACAGTATGTAGGTATTTAAATGACCACTGCAGCATGTAGTCTGAGCAGATATTTCTAATGATAAAATAATGCAAGAAACAAGACCCGTAAATAATGAAAATGTTTTTAAAACTGAACAAATAACCTTCCTATAAAATGTTTGCTATACAAACTTTTAAATTCTTGATTATATAGCTTGAAACATATGTAACCTGAGGACGTTTTTATGAAAAATAGCTATTTACAACCTAAATATCTATGTACATATACCTGTCCTGAAGCTTCTCTGTCTCATGTGGTCAGGGAACCCAAACAATTTCATGTTTTATTCTTTCTTTATGTCTTCCTAGATTTACTCAAACCTTAAACAAACTTTCTTAGCTTTAACAGTAAAAAAACAAGTAACCATTTTTTAACTTATTTTCCTACAGTTTTGAATTTTAATATTGGAATTCAGTAACTGAAATGTCAATGAATAGCTGCCATGTAATTATGTATTCATATGCACTCCCATATGCAATATACATATACCATACAATTTCATATGTACTTCATCCTTCAGTAGATTTATGTCAGAACTGAAGAAGTGATCTTTGTCTTCCACAAAGCAAAAAATGTAAAGATAAAAGACAATTACAGGGTCATGTCCGAGGAGAAAAACACTCTTTTTTAGGTTAAACAACACTTTCTTGACTTGAAATATGTTGACACTCATTAACATAAGCAATATGTCAGCACCATTTATGTACAGTGTCTGTACTGACATGAAAACATGCCCACAAAAGTTTTAAGATACCTATAGCATGAATAAAATCCATTTTTAATTATTGTGTTGAGGAAAATGTGAAATGGATGGAATTTCTTTATTGTGTTAAATTCTTCAAAGCCCCAGGCAATTCCAAGAGCAAAAAGGTAAAGATACCAGCTAAGGTGAAATCTAATCATTTTCATTCATTCGTGTGTGACTTTATTGATATGTTGCCCTCCTGGTCCCTGCTCTGGACAAAATGCTCTCTTAAAATGAGAACGTGAAGGTACTCTGTACCCCTATGCTTTATATACTCAAGCAACTTTCATGTTTTGTTACCCATCTGAGTCGAAAATACTTTGCACTTGCTTGGCAATCACATAATACTTTCATTCATGATCCATTTCAATAGCCCATTAAGATCATAACATCTTGCAAGAGAATAATGCAGCTTACCCATGCGTATTAGGAGCAGGTGCATTAAGATCCGTTTAACCTTTCCAGTGCTCAGCCTGTCCCACTGAGGATGTTAGCGTGCTAGTATAGGTTCCCCCAGATCTCTCGTCCCTGACTGAGCAAGATGTCCCGAGTTCTTTTTTTTTTTTTGCTCTTCTTTACTTCTTTTTCTTCTTCTTATTGCAGTCGTACAGCTCACACCCGCACATACATCCTCCAAGTAAAAAAACACAGGGCTGCTCGCTGGCAATCAGTCCCAGGATTGCAGCAGGGATCCTTGCCAGTTCTTCGCTGCATGCAGTATTGATGAAGTTGCTCAGGATGCAAACACAGCAAGAATTCACAAAACACCCCTTTCAGCTCCTGTCAGCTCCGGCTCCAGATACCAAACGGCTGACTCGCCTGTTAAGCACCTTAAAGACACGATCTGGTTTTGCATTCCCTGCCTGACTGTTTGCCTGCCTGCTCCAGTGTGCAGTCAGAGTTGTTACTGTTGGGACTCAAACGTGGTGCAAGCCAGGGAGCATATGAGCTTATCTTTATTGCAAGGTCTGCTATACCTTGAGGAGCTGCAGAGGGGAAAATGCAGCAGAACCTGCCTTGTTACTGCCAAGCAGCACCAGAGACTGGAAGGTGTGCAGAAAGAATGGGATGTGGACCAGCTCTGTTCCTTCTGCAGGGGAAATAAAATGTCGTGAATCCCATGATATTACCCTGCAATACAAATGCGCACCTCTGACACTTGCCAGCATGTACAGTATTTTGGATCCCTTTAGAAGCGAGAAAGTGTACAGCAGAGCAGATGCTCTATTACTTAAATGGGCTCGCTTTGGCTGGGTTCATGATGTTTTGTGCCAGAGCACAGCTGTGGGTCCACTGTCCTCGGAGAGCTTTATAAATGCAAAGTGGCACCACAAATATTCTAAAAGCAACAGTCTGAGCTATAGGTGCTGGCATGATTCATTTAAGATGTGAGATCCTTAGGTGCAGGTAAACTGCACTAGTGCAGAGATTTGTATTTGCTCTGTCTAGTCCCTCGGGCATCTAAATTTAACTCTTTAGAGGACGGCCATTCAAACTTCCAGGAAGATTGTAAAATACTTTCTCTGAAACATCATCAGACAGATCATTATTGTTGTTGCTGTTGCTGTTGTTGTTGTTGTTGTTACAGAGATGGTCCTCACTAGATCATATTTTAGGTCTATTTCTGCAGATTATTCTTCAGATCACTTGGACACAGTGGGATTTGCCTACTTTTTATGAAATGTATAGCTACAGCAGGGATTCTTTGATCTCGCTGCTCAGATTCCATACCGACTCGTGTGACAGCAGTGCAGTGTCTTGCTTCCCTTGGTTTCCCCAAGCTGCATAACCTGAATTGTTGAAGCCCTGAGTGCACCTCAGTCCCTCTTTCCCTTTACCTTGCATTCATTGCTGCCGTGAAGCTGAGTGAGCAACTGAATAGAAAAAGGCCTGCCATAGGCATTAACCATCAAAAAACATAAGTACTCTGCCAGCCCCGAATGTTAAGAACCTCTTGCAGTTGGTGTGCTCACAACAAGTAATATATAAACACAATATTTTAAAATGATTTTACTCGTGCTTCTGTATAATTCGTGTATTAAAGCACGTCTGTGAAAAGGGTATATCTAATACGGGTATGACATAGGTTTGAAATTCACAAATATTAATGGTCAACCTACAGGAGAAGGTCAGTTGCTTCCAATGGATCTTGGAAGTGTGTATGCTTTAGCGCATTTTATACATATACAGTACACACATATTGAGTTCAAGTAGGTAGCTACGTCAGCATGCGTAGGCTGCAAAGGAACAAATAAAGGTTTATTCCATGCTGAAAATACATCTATACATTTGCCACACATGAAATAAAGAGGTGGTGTATTTATGATGAAAAGGCACGGGAGCATTGACTGTGTCAATTGCATTATATTTAAAAGACAAAAGATCCAGAAAGCATATACTGCATAGTATATTTAATTTGTTCATATATAATAGTGTGTTTTGGGGCTGAAAAATGTCATTCGTGATTTAGCAGACATTCACCAATAATGGACCCTGTTTGCCAATTAAATGGTGGGTTTACTGTACGTGTGCAGTAAATATCAGAAACATTGGCAGGTGTGGAATTTTGATTACATTAATGGCATTTAATATCTTAGAAAACAATGGAAGACCCTACCTATTAAAAGTTTTAATAAGTAATTAATCATCTTTTTTTCAATTCAGCTGATACCTTATTTAGATGCAATAATTATAATATTATTAAAATTATTTATACATCCTATGAAAGTGAACGTCGGTGTGAAAAGGTGTGTACATTCACTGTAAGAAAGTGATTACTTGTCTGTTACTTTGTAAGATCAGTTATTAATTGAATTTCTATCACTTTTCAATGTTACTGGAGGTACATGAGGAGAACGTCTTGTTATGTACTGACTGATTAAAGGAAAGCTGCATTTTCTATTCAAGAGTGCAGAAACGAATTTAGCAGTGTGACTTATTTAGCATTTTTTGCATTGAACTCTGTTTTAGTTCAATGACTAATTTGTCTTAACAAAGTGGTCTGTTTCTGTGAATACTCACAGAAGGAGGGTTGGAATTTACAATCATGTGGCTTGATCTTTCAAAACTGACTTTGTGGCAGTTGTGTAGAACTTGTGGTGAAGCACTGAGGCTTATATAGATATACTTTTCAAAATATTTTAGCTATGTACAGTATATCGATCTTGTAACTGATTAATGAAGTTAGTTTAAGATTGTCTCGGTTTCATATTTACCTTCCTCTTACAAAGTGAAAATTTGCTTGTGCTACTATACCAATGAGCTAAAAACATGTACAGGTTAACACTTTAATTTTCATAATGTGTTGCTTCAAGATTGAGAATAATTTCTTATCTGACGAAAAGGTTAAAACTTTTTAACAATGACCAACTGAGACATACTGTTTTTTGAGTGCGTTATTAAAGAGATATTTCAGTACTTACGTTTTTGCTTTTTGCGTCACATTAAATTCCACAGTGAGAAATTGAATTCGAAAAAAATGCAAGCAGTATCTACAATCATATCAGACTAAATCCAAATGTTGTTTGAATCCCATTGTTGTTCCAAATGTTGGTAGAGCAATCTGTCCTTCGTGTTAACTGGAGAGATAAGAGTATTTTACAAATACTCTGGGGGAACATGAAAGCTCTTAAGCAGAAAGCAGCTGAAAACTGTAGGCCTCATTTAATGATTATATATGGAACAATAAAACTGTTATTTTATGCCATTAGTTCCTGGAACATTTGATCACATTCATTGGCGTAAAAAGGCTTTCATCACGCAGGATTAAAGAAATTACACAAATGCCAAAGTCAAACTAAAGTCACACCTCAGAAATAAATCAGCTCCTTTTAGTTCTTCAGTCGTTTCTTAAATCTAATTTGGAAATTGCTTTTTAAGGTCTATTTTTGGCTCCAAGTTCTTTGCCCATGAGGTGCTTTTGTCTCTTGAGTTAACTGCGTGTTTTCCATCTGTGCAGGATCTTGCACTCTTCCTGAGCAATTCCCTGCACAGTCACGTACGAAAGGCTTCCTACAGTGCATGCTTTTGTGTGTAATTCATTTCTGTTGAAGATTAAACAAGCATCAGCCACTACAGTCATTCTGCTGAAATATTTTCCCTACTTTTTTGGAGGACACTTCTTATTACCATTTAAAGAGTTGGTCATTACCATTAATGGCTGGACCCTAACTTGCCCACTGTTATCTAAAGGTACATTCTAACAGGTCAGTGAGTGACCTTTTACATCTCAAATATTTGGACTGAGCTACTGGAGTCGGTTTTTCAGGTCATCTTAGCTTTTCCTTATCTGAAACCTTTATGTTAGCTTTTGGATTTGCAGAGCTAACAATTGTGAATTACAGAAAAGATATAAATGGGCAGAGGCATGATATACAATTAGTTAGCACAGTCCGCTTGGCACACTAATCCACTGATTGAAAAGAAATAGCTTTGAAGTATCTACTGATGTTTTTGTAACACCACAATATTAAGCTGTCTTCATGAATATGTTATCCAGGGTAGCAGGAAAAAAAAATCAGTACTTTTTAAAGTAAAATTTGGAAAAGTGTACTGTTTAAATGACATAATTAAAAAAATAACAGTTTTGAAAGAAGTGAGGATATACTATTCCAACTGTAACACACAGATGCTCAGAAGGCTAATAAAGTAAATACAAGGTGTGGGTCAGGATCATAAAGTACCCAGAGATCAACATAATTGAGTAGTTTGATTTAAAAATAAAAGGTCTAAATGCTGCTGCATATTATTTCAATTATCATTTTTTTTCATCCTGGTAATGTAATTCTTTAAAGATTAAAGAAATTGTGGTTTTAATTGAATAAAAGATGTTGCATATACCTTATCCGAGTTGAATTGGCATTCTGACATTTAATGCTTTTTTGTTTAGATTTTTTTATGTTTTGTGTTTTTGTGCAAACCAGAAATTGAATAGAGTGTTTTCATTTAAACGACCACAATGAACAATAAGCTGGGTTGGCGTAGGAGGAGCCCAGCAGTTTTCTGGCATTCCTTTTCTTGGTCTTATAAACCGGTTTGTCAACAATCAGTGAGAAATCTTGCTTTTCCCAGAGGTGGACAGAGCTGAGAGCATCGTTACCCAGTGTTTGCCATATGAAACGGACATTGTGGTGATCAGTCCTGTAGATATACTAAGATAACATAATTCCCATCACAATGATCTTTGCTATTTTGAAATCTCTGACTGGAAAATTGTTTAGTCAACCATATTCTGTGCCTATAATTTCACCAGAGGTACACAGTACTTCCAGTACTCTCTTTCATTTGTACAGTCACAAACTCAAACTCAAAGACACAGCATGCCAGTATTGAGATTAAAGTATTGCTCAAAGTGCGGCAGTGGTTGCTGTGATCATTAATTACTCTTGACACCAGTTTGTCACCTTTTGAGTAATACAGCCAACCTTAACGAGTTTTTTTTTCAAAGTCCTTTAATCTTTTATTTATCTAATCATGATAAGGATAGTGGAGGTGTTATAAAACCTCCTCGTTAGTAGGTTTCCTAAATCCATCTCATAAAGTCCTGAAAATGTCTAAACACTGTATATCAAGAACAAAGAGCTCTGGGGAAAGTGCTGACAATAAGTTACAACTCCCTTCTTCTGCCTGCTTCAGTAAAGTTTGTCTAGATAAATAGATAAAGCACAGACTTTACATTGAACACTTGTGAAAAACTGAGTGTGCAGACTCCATGCGTGTCAGTTCAAAGATTCCTCCAGCTGCAGTGAGTGCTGCTGTAGGAAGGCCTGATCAGAGGTCTAGTGTGCAGAGAGGCAGAGATTGAGTTTCCCATTAATTGAGCTTGTTGGTGCAGAAGAGCAGCCTTTCAAAGGCCGAGTCAGATCACGAAAGAAGCGAAAGAGGACGAGCTGAAGGTTTCCACTTAACTGGGATAAAAATCCCCCCAAAATCTAACTGCAGATTTCTGGATCATACCTCTTGCCCTGCCACAACCTTGTTAGTAAGTCCTCATTTCCATCCGAAGGGGCACACCCAGATAACCCCAGAGGCTGGTTTAGGGTAGGTTCCTAAAGAATGAGCTAAGCCCAGAAAGGCTGACCTTATGTGTTAAACTTTCATTTGGACTTCCATGTTACCAGCAAAAGGATTTAGTTAAAAATGTCTTTGATTCTCAAATACTAATAAACTAATAATCATCTATGGAAATATGAAAAATTATCCAAATTATTTATTTTACCAATTTGTGTATTGACTCCATTTCTACAGCTTTTAACAAAAGTCACACTTCACAAGTAAGTAAACATTTTATGTAGAAGTGAAGAAGCTAAGATTAAACTTTGCTTTCATGGCATAATGCTTTTAACTTGAAATTAATTCTTTGTCAATTGGCCAGTAACAACAAGAGCGTATACAGTGACGTTGACTCCTCTGCACTATGTATAAGGTTCACACATGACACGTATAGCCTTGGTAGTCAGCAAAAGGGTTAATAAAAAACTTTCGTTTTATTGTGTGGCTGAAAGGTCTACGAGATGACAGATCATATCTCTCCAAGGACTTTGGCAGGGGGGAGGGAGTCAGGTAGCACAAATTACATCATTCATAAATCACTCATTTAAATTTAATTAGGGACTTACAAAGTTGCAGATGTTTCAGCTAAATATCTTTCCCCTAAAATACAGATCCCTTTTTGTGTTCCAATTTTAATCAGCAATATTAAGGAAAATATAGATAGCACAGTATAAAATATTTCAACTGCCCTTCCAAAGCAATATACTGTAATATGCATAGCCATGTTGCTAAAATCTAAACTCTAACTTGAAACTCTTCAAGGGTCATACTTATATAGCTAGTTTTACATTAGGCCTGAAATGCTTTTAAAATGTTCTCTCTATGCGAAGCACTGTATGTATTTCACTCCATCATAATGTACTCCTTCACTGGATTTTGTGACAATGTGTGCAAGGCTTTGAAAATTTCAAAGTGTTCTCTACTTTTATAAGAGAGTAGTTCAACTGATTAATTAAGAGATAAATAACCATTGTGAGGCCAGAGAATGTTCACTCAAATTCATTTTTTGAGGCTTCATGTTGGAATGGTTTACTATGAAATAAAATGGTTGTTACAATCATTGTTTAACACAGAAATGTGTAAACTATACCACAACCAATGACAACATAAGCAACATGTAAGGAAAATTATCATGTAAACTCTGAACTTTACTACGAGTATATACGTATTTTTCTTCACTGGGGTGTTTCTAATATGCTGCCTGCATTTGTGTAAAATATTTGCACAGAAATAACAAAAAAGCTAGTCATAGACCATTTATTCATTCCACAAACAGGCTGATTTGACATGAAATTTTAATAGTAATTAAAAATAAACTTATTCCACACATTATGGGAAACACACTGAAGACATCTCTGTACATTCCTCTGCTAAGATATTGTTTCATTTGCTTTTTCATATATCTTCAAGTATCAGGCTTCATCATTCTTAAGTAGTGCAGTGTTATTGTGCCAAAACAGGCATTAAGGTTTTAGTATCACACTGTAAAGATCACATTTTCACATTTTTGCATGGAAAGGCAAACATCAACTGAGTACAAAAGCATGATTCTTATTAAAACTGACCATCTATGTCGATTTCTGTCCTTATATTTTATTATCTTTCAGTAACTATGTGCGAGGTATGTTACAGGTATTTGAATCTATTATGGCTTCCAGCAAAAATAAAAATAGGTCTAGGAACCTGAGGAGTGGAGAAAGCTCAACTTGGAAATATGCATTGTCTCATCCTAACAGACCTTTCTCTTGTCTTACAATACACTTTTTGGGATAAATCTGGCATTTTGTTGCAATTGTAACATGTAAGAATACAGATGAAAAGATCAGGTATATCAAAATGTCACAGTCATACTGTTTTTCATGTTTGTGTCTTTTTTTTTAAATGGTACCTCCATGGCCCCTTCAGGGAATCTGAAATACCCAGAGGACATTATTTATCATTTTTGTATAACTGAAAAACTCTGTACTCCCTCTAATAGACTTGTTGTGTGCTGGACAAGACTTGCATTTTTGAAAACAGGACTGCAACAATGGAGTTGCTGAAAATAGGGTTGACATGAATGGAAGTAACATTGTTTAAAAGAATATAAATGAAAAAGCAATGCAGGATACCATCAATATTAAAGGTAAAGATATCTAATCTTTCAGTGCCCTTTGTTATCAAACGTTTAAGTTTAAAATCTAATTAGTTGTTCAAATTGAAAAACTAGTAATACCACTTGAACTGATCACAATACTTCAGGTAAATGGTAAATAATTATTCTTTAGGGCATTGCAATAGCAACCACCGAAACACCTTATTTAGGACTTAGAATGTCTTAGTTTCTCTTTAAACCACTATTTTCCAAAGACAGTCTGCTAAGCAACAGTATATAAGCACATACAAGCATAAGAAAGTCACTAAAAGTCATGTCACAAAATAAGAATTGTGACGTGTTACACACTGAAAAGAGAAAAGGGGTGTCTTGTTGTTTATTGATTGCTTACTTTACCAAAAGTGCATATTCCTTGTGTTAATTTCTATACAATATTTATTTGTTTTAATAATGTAAATGATTAGACCATGCAAACAAAATGAATGCTTTGTGCAATAAACTGTAATTTGTGAAAATGTTAACAGACATGATTTCTATTAACAATAATGTGTTTATTGTGCAGATAGATTCAAAGTAATTCTACCAAGGAAGACATCATAATTTACCTACAGATACTGTCAAAATACTTTATATATCTCACTAAGCACTTGGCTTACTGAGCTGTACAGAGAAATAATGCAATATTAATTATTGATGTGTGAAATGGACTGTTTATTTTTAAAACAACTCTTACAAGTAGTGCATGTTAAATTTTATATCTATGGCTTTAAAACATTTTAAAGTATAACTATCGTATTTGCATATTGATATTAATGAAATTACATGCTAGATTTCTTTCTTTTTCCTGATTTTTTCATCAAAAATTGCAATTGGTTTTAACAATCATCAAGAATACCCTGAATATGATCAAGAACATCACAGTTACGGTTGATGCACATTCAGAATAAAGTCCTAGTTATCATTTACATATTCCAAGTTACAAAATCTTCAAGGGGAATGTAAAAGAACCAATAGCACAAAATGTATAGATGTTTTAAAACTATGGAAATCCTTCCTGGCACATTTCCAGTAAAAAGACTTCGGGAGCACCACACTGGAAATTCAACATTTTGGCTGAAATTAATTTCTTAAACCTAACTAGAAATAGTTGTAAAGAATAAAATAAGACTTCCTGACACATCTTAAACAGATCTGCTTACGTTCTTTTTACTTCCTCTTGATTCCACACACCATTACTTAAATGTTAAGCTAGGTCCCCCTTCCCCTTAAACAGAAATATACGATAAGAGCAGATAATAAAATCCAGACTATAACACCTCTGTCTTTAAGTATTGCGGTTTCTTTTGGGTTGTCATGCTGGATGAGAGCACTTGTGAGTGGATGTTGTTTCTCATGCAGAGCGACACGAACAAGAACGACCCTCCAAGAACAAGAAACAGCCCAGAGAACCATCCTGCAAAAAGAGCCTCCCCAAACTCCCACCGGGGAACGATTTCAGGAACGTTGTCATCCCAGAATTCCACCACAGTCACATAAGCCACCAAGGAGATGGGATAAAGTGTAGTGATCCCCGAAATCCAGGACAGCACCCCTCCAAGGATGAGGAGCTTCTTCTTGACGTGCTCTTTGCCCTCTCCCAGATTTATGCCCTCCAGTCCAAAAAAGGCCACAGAGACACTCAGGAGCCCTGTTCCCATGGAAAAGATCATCAAGACCCTGGAAGCTATGACACCTGAGGGCAGAGACAGAAAGGAGTCAAAGGCTTTGCACTGCAGACCCACTTCGTCTTGGAAAATGCAGGTGTGCCACAGCCCCTCGTACCAGTTCTCCATTTCATTGAGCTCCGCGTTGAGGGTTTTCCAAAGAGGCAGAAAAGTGACCACACAGGTTATGACAAAGCCCACGAAGGAGACAAAAAAAGCCATCCTCTCCACTAGTTTGGAAGTCAACAACACCATTGTCTATCAGTTCAGCTCCAGTCTAGAGAACAGCTTGTGAGCTGCAGCAAGCACAGGCTCTGCAGTGGTAATGACCTGGTAGGGCTCCTAATCAAGTACCTTATAAATACACCTTATAAATGCTGGGTAATCCCTAAGCTTGAGCATAACAACAGACATACTGTTTTGTAAAAGCGATAAATATCATTATAGGGAACAATGAGCACTGTTTTAGATGAAACCAGATATGTCCAAGAGAGAACGGACGGCAGTGCACACACAAGATGTTTTCAAGGCAAAGGAAACATGATCAAGTAAAGAATGGGGAAACTCAAAGAAAGTTGTGGGGAACGAATTGGTCTAAAACGTCAACATATAGGCTGTAAGTCATTTCATGTAGATCTTGTGTTATGAACTAATACTCATTAAAAAGGTTTAATTAGTGAATTAAATGGTATAATGTGTTTTACAGATTATACTGATAGCTACTGCTGAAGGTTCAGATTACAAGCCTTTCTATTAAACAAAAAACTAACGTCTCAGCTGTCCTCTGGATTAATGGTAAAACCTGATACAAAAACTGTGACGCCAAGTACTCCTGATATTTTTTAGATTGTAGTATGCTATTACAGTATGACCTGTAATGTCTCCATTCAGACCACACATTTGCTTTTCGAGCCAAAACTTAGTGCATAATTTTTTGAGGCAAGCTTCCGAAATCAGATACTTTTAAGGATAACTATATCGGCTGCTCATACAATGAAGATTTATTGTACTCATACTATTATTTCGTTCTTCATAATGTCTTCGATTCCCCCCCCTCCCTTCAAAAGAGCGTAATTCTAGGTTTCAATCTTAAACAGCTGGTAAAACACTGTATAGTCTGCCACAATAATAGTCTGTTATCTATGTTCATTGAAACGGTTATACAGGGAAAAAGTTGTCTCTAGCTCCCTCGTATGGCTTTTGGGAGTTTCATTTTTGCCCTTTTTTGCAACTATTTAACTTGTGTTTAATTGCTGTTTCTCTTAGTATTAGATTTTCTTGAGACAGACTTTGGGGTGGAACTGGATAATTAATTTCCAAAGGCTAGATGTCTAGATGTCTCCTGAATTTTATCAGATTTGTTGAGAGTACTTCTTCCCATTCTTCTTAAAACAATTAGATGAGTTCATCCATTTTTTGTTACATTTTCAAGGTTATTACTAAAATTATAATAAGGCATATTACTTTAGCCTTGTACTTAAATGGCAAATTTTCAACTGAGGTTATTTAGTGTAACTTTATCTCACTATGATATATGAGGAAACTGAAGCTGCTGAAAGGCACTGACTAGTTTCTGCTCAGAAAGGTCAAAGATTAATCTAGTCATCTATCTTATTTTAAGCTCTATGATCACTCAGCATGAGGACCATTTTCTCTTAAAATACTTGTTTGCAGATATAAGATCACTTAAGATACGATTACTTTATTGGCCATATGCAATTTCTTGTATTAGGAATTTGTCTTTCCACATACCCCAACTTGCTCTCCATGAGACACACAGACAGAGAGAGAAGCTTGGGGTCAGGGCGCAGGGTCAGCCATTTATACAGCGCCTGTCAGGTGTGCCAAGGGAAAAGGGTAGGAAAATTGACCCTGTGCGGAGGCAGAGAGAGAAAAAACTGGATTCCTTAGGCGAACGTAATCCAAATCGGGAGGCTAGAGCGAGGACAGAGATCAGGAGCAAGGGGTCAGAAATCCAGGTGATCACAAGAACAACGAGAGGTCGGACTAAGTTGCGAATAGGACGTGTAGCTTTGGCTGAGGAAACCTCAATAGTGAGAGAGGACAAGTTGCAGAGTGGGAGTTTAAGTAGCCAAAGATGAGCGAAGTTGATTAGTAATCGGATGCCCGTGGGAATGCAACGATGTCTGTGTGCGGTTTGTGACAGCACCCCTGAAGCACTTGGGGTTAAAGGCCTCGCTCAGGGGCCCAACGGAGTAGGATTCCTCTACTGGCCGTGGGATTCGAACCAGCAACCTTCCAGCCACAAGCACAGATCCTTAGCCACAGAACCACCGCTTTAATATGTTGGTGATTCAGAGCTTGTTTCCAAAGTCATACTTAATCTTGCACTTTGGGATTTGCTATGAAGTGAAGAAGTTGGTAAGGGGTCTGAGACATAAAAGGTCTAGAGGTCTTGCAGATTGTCATTGTTTATAAAAGGTGTCGGTTTGTTGTTGACTACTGTTCTGCATACTGAGCACATCTTCCTAGCACTTTGACATGCAAACCTATGTACAGAGCGTTCATGATGGCCATGATGGCATCTTATTGTCTAGCCTAATCATGCATTAATGTGCAGATTGCCTAGTTTGGTAATGTGCTTCTAGGCTGTTCTCCAAAATTAGCTTGGCAGTCCTGTGTGTCCAAGCATTCTCCTCTCAAAGATCTCATTCTGCATCATTTCGCATTGCATTGACCACACAACTGACCCTGGGAGTAAGGTTGACCTAATAGCACAACATTTTATCAATGTCAGTTAAGACCAACCGCTCTGCCCCTCCATCATTCAAACACGATTTGAGCATCCTTATTTTCATTCATTATTATCAAGTTTTGGTTTGGTTCTTTTTGGTAAATATACTTACTTAATTTTTTTTTTTGGAAAACTATCTTGACATGATCTGCTTAAGTTTTTTATCTCTCCTACCACTGATATTCCCGTGTGAGTGCCTCGTTTCATCCTTGCACACTGTGGTGAGGGGAGTGCTTCCCGGGTTAGACAGCACTAATCTAATTATGCATGTGCAGAACTAGATCGCCTATACTCTTTGAACTCAGGATAAAGATAATGCTGTGCTTCACTCACAAGTTTCTGAGGTTTTCTCTGTGGGAATTACGCTCCTGTCACACTGATCCATGCATGACAAGAAAAAAGCAAAAGCATGACAGCAAAAAACAGATCGGTAACACTATAAACATATTTGCAAAAAAAAATGTATTTACCATCCTGAATAACAAAACAACCATGCGGTGTCAATGCTTTAGAATAGGCAAAAAAGTGTAAGGGGATTGTTCATATCTAAATGGTGGTTTCACATTTTTTTCATTTTTTTTCTTTTGAGTAATTGATTTGCTCTGCCTGTTTATACCGTCTGTGCAATAAGAGCGTCCTTATCTTATAGCGGGAATAAGTACTTGTAACAAAATTATGACTATTACAAGAGGCTCATTATCTTTCCTGTCAATCGTCAGTAACAGTGACTGATACTGGAAGAGAGTTGATTCGTAAAAGATGACTCTTAAAATGACTCTACAGCCTTCATCTGTTCGCTATCTATTTGCCTTCAATGCAAATAGCAATTCTTCAGAGAAACAAATAATTAAGTCTAAATTTAATTTTAAACACATCACACTGAAAATGGTGGATACGTTTTAGCTTCAGCTGTTTTTCTGAAAAAAAAAACAGTATTTTACAGATGGGAGTTGTTTTACTTTTCTACGTATCAACTAGATTTAATGTTTATGTATTCAGCGTTCGATCATTAAACGAAAGCAACCTAATACATTAAGCTCTTCAAGTAGCATCTTCCCTGCAAAAGTAACACGTAAGATGCTACTTGAAGTTTATCAATGACAATTACATGCCTTCTCCGAATTCGACTTGCTCCCAGTGTGCATTGGACTTTGCCAGCTAACCGAATTGATTTCTGGGGTTTGTTGTCGTTTATTGTTTAGTCTACGCATCAATTGCAAATGGAACTTGAGACACATAAACTACAATACCCAGGGATCTCTTTTTCGCAAGAGGTGTGGCGTGGTAGTGTAATGGCTGTTTATTTGGTGTGTGTTGCGTGTTTTTCTTTTCTGCTACATTTGTAACGTTTTTTCCAGTAAAATAATGTAGCGTTTGCTACATTGTTCCGAAGGACTTGCTTCGTTTTTGTATTTACTTTTACCAGTCAAACAAGTTACATTCGTCTTGATTTTCTACTTAAAGTCAGCTTTAATTTTTTTTTTTTGCTTTTTGGTGCAGTGGTGCATCGCAGAAACCACTGTGTCTTGTAGACGTGGTCCCTAAAACTACGTTTATGAAGGGACCTTCGCTAGCACGACAGTAAATCCGTTTTTAATACTGGGGTTTCATTGACTGACCGTGTCGTGTTATGCGGCGGTTGAATGTCATGGTTTCCGGGAACAATGTCTTGCAAGTCTAAAGTCGCCCCGAGTGTTGATTTTGACCACAGCTGCTCGGACAGTGTCGAATACCTGACCCTGAACTTTGGGCCGATTGAGACCGTCCACCGCTGGAGGAGACTCCCACCCTGTGATGAGTTTGTGGGTGCTAGGTAAAACAAAATACAACTTTCTGTAAATCCTGTAGGTGCAGATCTTATTAAATGTCTAACGGTGCGGTTGCACTCTCACGCAGACCTCACAGAGATATGTTCGTAAAAAAAAATGTTTTTTTTAAGTATGGAGATTTGCTTTTGAACTGCAAAACCGTCATGTGCATGTGATTTCCGAAAGCTTCGCGAGTCTTGTTTTACACGGATTTTGATATGTGCATTATGATGTCAGTGGTGTATTTGAACGTACAGTGCTGTAAGATTTTTAAATTATATTCAGAGCTCATATCAGTTTTCTTTACTACATTTTACTGCAATGCTGCACCGCGTCTTAACTGAGTACAGTACCGTGTAATCATTCCGGGCTTTCGCTTCTGAATTTTGACAGGCGCAGTAAGCACACAGTTGTGGCCTACAAGGATGCAATTTACGTGTTCGGAGGAGACAATGGGTGGGTGATATTTAATGTGTCGTAATTTTAGCATGCGACTTGGGTGAAAGCAAGTATGAACATTTGTTTCGTTCCCAACAGAAAGAACATGCTGAATGATCTGTTGCGGTTTGATGTCAAGGACTGCTCCTGGTGCAGGTAATCCCTGCTTCTCCATTCCAGGAGAATGCGTTTATACACCGTTTATGTCAACAGATAACTTTTTTTTTCCCCCCTCCACGATGAACTTTATGACCCATTGTATTTTAAAGTGGCTTTTGGGTCTGCATCTTGGTTTGGTCATTTGTTTTTCTTCTTCTTGCCAGGGCTTTTACGACTGGTTCACCCCCTGCTCCCAGATATCACCATTCAGCTGTAGTACATGGAAGCAGCATGTTTGTTTTTGGTGAGGCAGCTTACCCCTCTATCACAGTTTATATGTTCATGATGCAGTATTGACGAGGCATAATTAAGGCAAAATGTGTTTCATGGGGGATTTAGTGGCACAGTGAGATCAGTTATGGACCTGGGAGGGCTGTCTGCATGATGTTTGTCTGTTCTCTCCCATGTTTGTGTGGGTTTCCTTCCACAATCCAGCAACATACTGGTAGGCTAATTGGCTTCTGAGGAAACTGGCCCCAAGTGCGAGAGTCTTTCTGTCCTGCGATGTCTGTGTCCAGGGTGTCCCCTGCCTTGCTCCTGCTTGCCAGCATTATTGGAAGCAGTTAGAAGATGGATATTTGTTTCATTATTATGGTTGTTAAACAAAAAGCGTTTCCATGTCACACGGCTGTCTTATTAATAAACGTATTTGCCTTTTCTTCTGGTGCTGGTGATGCGTAACCGTACGGTCTCAAATTTCCAGGTGGCTACACTGGGGACATCTACTCCAACTCCAACCTAAAGAATAAAAATGATCTTTTTGAGTACAAGTTTGCTACAGGCCAGTGGACGGAATGGAAGGTAGAGGGAAGGTACAGTAGTACATCAGTTCAAAACTGTTATAAATGGAGCTCAAAATGAGCGTTTGGGAGGGAAGACAACATCGAAGGTCTGTCAACCTCAGCTGTACATCATTTGTAGTCAAACCTGACATCATTTTCTTTCATAAAGACTATAACTATTAGATGTAACCTGTTACTCTGCTTTGCAAACGTTTTTACATCCCCTCTCCACTGCATCTCCACCTGTGTTGCTGCCCCTTGGGGCCCCACTCCTCACTCTGCAAGGGGTTCCAGCTTCCTTGTGGCCAGGAGGTCAGCAAGCCAGGTTAAGCCGAATTGTGATGAAAACACTCTGGAGATGTTTCACACACTTAATTCCTGGGTGTTGTTATTCCTCGTGAATGTATTTTCCGTGCAGTGTTATCAATCATTGTTCTGTTGATGTGTGTTCCCTCAAAGCCAGCTTTTTTTCTTTACATCAGCATAGCATTAAAGCATTCAGAGTTAGATACAAGAATTAAGTAATTGTTACCTTTAATGAGGCATGTAATTCTTGGCCAGATCAAAAAATCATCTTCATAAGAGAGAAAAACAATCGGGTTTTCATACATTGATTTAAGAAAGTAAACTAGTCATGCATTTTTATTTTGCCTTGCATAGAAGCTGAAGAGAGCATAATTCTGTTGTGTTTCTGAAACAGTATCACCTCTCTGGTTTCCTTTCTGCAGGTTGCCTGTTGCCAGATCAGCTCACGGAGCAACAGTGTACAGTGATAAACTCTGGATTTTTGCTGGGTATGATGGTAATGCAAGGTAAATAATTTTCATCTTGTCTTAGACCATTCGCGATAATTCAGTTTATAATATCTTTGTTTTTTTAAGGCATACACTAATTTATTTCTTGTAATACTCCAGGCTAAGTGACATGTGGACGATCAGCCTTCAGGACCGTGAGCAAGCATGCTGGGAAGAGGTTAGTTTGACATAAAGTGCTATTTTTTGTCCAATAATGTGTACAAAAATAAAAAAGTGAAAGTGTAGATTTTGTTCATTACGGTAAAATGCCAGCGATTTAAGAGGAAACAATAAAACTGTTCGTTCTATTGACTCTCTTGGCTCCGTTAAAGATTTTGTAAACTTTTTTTTGTTATCCCTTTCTTAAATAGATGTGCAAAAGTGCTCTTTTAATTAGTTCAAGCAATTCCTTGTTTGTCTGGAGGAAAAATAATTCTGAAGCTTTTCTTCACATGGATCCAAGGGACAGTCCTGTTGTCAAAGTGTTTTAAGTCACTGTCATTTTTGTCCTCTGCCAGTCAGTGCACAGGACTTTGTTCTTGTCTGCTGTTGATTTATGACTTGCATATGCAGCAAAAGGGCCCAGACTTGCTCTTTCTTGAAATGTCTTGCATAAACAGGTATTCTGTGAAAATTCTAAAAAATTCTTGTTTTTCCAGATTGAGCAGAGTGGAGAGATTCCCCCCTCATGCTGCAACTTTCCTGTGGCGGTGTGCCGGGACAAGATGTTCGTTTTCTCTGGTCAGAGTGGAGCGAAGATCACTAACAACCTGTTTCAGTTTGAATTCAAGGACAAAGTGTAAGTTAGAAATCCTCAATAAGCATAAGTGCTGGCCTTAAAGAAGCTACCTCAATATCTTTTAACATTCAGTGTTCATAATTCATTCTTTTCATTGAGCAAAAAATCATCTTACCTCTGACATTTCCAGTGCTTCTTTACCTACTGGTAACAAGTCAGTATTTCCTTTGTACAGCTGATACAGAAGATTTTCTAAAAAAATGTAAATGTAAATCTTTAATTGTTATCGTGTGATTATACAGTAAGCTTTAAATGCTGTGTCGATCTTGTAGATTTTTAGTGTTTTTACAGTATGTGTACTAGTCTGTGTTCAGTAGTTCCAGTATGGGCAGAATGACCGTGTACATTCTTTATACTAGTGTTGCATGACATGTGTCACTTTGTCATTGTTCTGGCAAGCAGATCATGGGAATGGAGTGAGAGTAACTGGTTGTGCTGTGTCATATATTATGAGGCGGGAATCATTTCATTAAGAGGATAGATTTTCTTTATGATCTCTCCCCTGCAGGTGGACCCGCATCCCCACAGAGCATCTGCTTCGGGGTTCCCCGCCACCCCCACAGCGACGCTATGGACACACTATGGTGGCTTTTGATCGGCACTTGTACGTTTTTGGGGGGGCTGCCGATAACACCCTGCCCAACGAGCTGCACTGCTACGATGTGGACTCCCAGACCTGGGAGGTCGTCCAGCCCAGCTCTGACAGTGAGGTATGAAGCGCGGCCCGAGAGCCTCACACTGCAGGCTCCACACTCCTCTCTTGCAAAGATGGCCTCTTGCTTTCCTAAAATTATCTCTTATCCTGCTCTGTTGGGCCCCTGAGCAAGGCCCTTAACCCCAGCTGCTCCAGGGGCGCCGTATAAATGGCTGACCCTGCGCTCTCACCCCAGGCTTCTCTCTCCCCATCTGTGTGCCTGTGTCTCTCATGGAGAGCAAGTTGGGGTATGCGAAAAGACAAATTCCTAATGCAAGAAATTGTATATGGCTAATAAAGTGACCTTATCTTATGAAGTCTTTTTTTTTTATGGCGACACAGTCCCCCTCTTTATTTTTAGCATACTATATTATCTATCTGCTGCGGCGTATCTCTGGCAAATCATACTAATGCTGAGACAAGTACTGCCTTTGTTTCAAAAGCCACGTGGAAAACTAAAACGCATCATTGCGTTTGCTGCAAGACCTGAGTGCCGCAGTTAAATGTTTAACTTTTTTAATTTTGCGATTTTTGCGAACACAGTGCTACGAAGACATTGTGAGAGGTTTTACCCAGCCCTAGGAAAATAGCTGTCCTTCTTTATTGAAGTGTTTTCTGGCATTTATGTAGCTGCAGGGATTATGCATTTTGATTTTAATGTTTCTCCCTCTTCTAATCCTTTAGTAATGAACTTTGTTTCTTATAGCTCAGCTGTGAGTGTAGCTGTAATATGTGCAATGTAAAATTATTGGGGTCCTGTCTAATTGTTCTGAAAGGGGACAAATGCATGACTGTTTATTCACAACACTACCTGTCCTTTTAGGATGTAGTAAGTGCAGACTTTGCTAGCTGCCTGCACCTTCCTGATAGAAGACAAACAGCAGTGTGAATTTATATTGAATGGATCTGGAAAAGAAAGTTAATGGTGTAGCCCAATCTCAATATGCGATGATCCAAATGTTCAGAGATCACAAGAGTGTTTCATGTTAATTATTAACATTTTGCCTCCCCCTCCCGGATTGTTTTTGATGTGTTTTTGTATTTTAAGCACAGCTGCTTTCTGCCTTCCAGGACCCCCTTGACAACGAGATGACTTCATCTCAAGGGTTTATCCTGGTAAAATAACTTTCATAAATAACTGTGTCAACACGAATGAATCGCGTGTTTTCTCACTTTGTTTCATTTTAACAAATGATGCCATTTACATTTTAAAGAGGAGAGCTCGGTACTACATGATGAAAAAGGTTTATTTTTCGCAATAAAAATTATTTACTTATTAAAATAAAAGAAAAATGAAATGTTCCCAGCAAATTCACAGGTTTTCGTTTTTTGAAGTAGTAGATCATTTGAAACCTGAGCTTAGATTTAATTTATTAGATATTAAAGCTTTAAGTTTTAGGTTTTGTTTATGAAGTAAACCACTGCCTGTCCTCCCTGCACAGCAACCTGTGTGTATGTGCTTTGGTATTGGGTTTTATAACTGCCAACAGTACAACTTCTGTTTCACAGTGGTAGGCAGCAGATCTGTATTTTAGTTATTTTTTTTAACTTTTGGTGAAATATTCCTCGAAGAGGTTAGAAGAAATATCTGTGTGCTGAAGTTCCAACCCAGTTATAATTTTTCTCAAGGGATCCTGGGTGCAGACAGAGATTTGGGTTGCTTTGATCAGATCAGCCTTAGCAGTTTTAGAAGTTTTTTTTCGGGACTATGGGATATGTGATTTTTGAAAGGGTCAAAAGGTAGATACAGTTCACTGGCATTACTATGTAAAACATCAATATTGACATGAATATTAATGTTTTTCCTGTGTTAAATTAATCTTCATTCCATCAGTCACTTTCGGGAAAGAAGTATAAGTATGTTTTCTGGGTTTTTTGTTTAAAAAAAAATCTAACTTAAGAAATAGTAAGACAAAAAATAAAATGGGTTTAGTTTCGTTCCAGCCTGGAAGGTCCTCACAGATGGACCCCTGCCTACTGCAATCTCTCATCGTTTTCTACAGTTGAACTTGCAGTGTCAGACGAATAGTTTCCTTCCTGTTTGAGAATCTGTTTGTCTCTCTAGATGCCGAGCGGGAGGCTGTTTCACGCAGCAGCTGTGATCTCTGATGCCATGTACATCTTTGGAGGGACAGTGGACAATAATGTGAGGAGTGGGGAGATGTACAGATTTCAGGTAATGAGAATTTAAGAACGGTTACATACAGTATCGGGATGCCCATTCAGCCTGTTTGGTAGTTTAGCTAATTATTCCCAGGTCCTCACCCAGCTGGCCCTTTCTGCTTGTGGCTGGGAAGCTTGTTCCATGCTCCCACTGTCCTTTGCATAAAGAAGTGCCACCTGCTTTCAGTTTTAAATACACTTTCATTTAGTTTCCAGTGCTCTTCCTTCTGAAGAAATCCACTGCATTGGCTTTGTCTGTCACCTTGGATCGGATTTTGAGTTCTTGGATCTCCCATCTTCCTCTCTATTGAAGATTTAATAGAAACTTCAGCCTGTCAACATAGGACATTCCCTTAAATTCCTAAAATTATCTGGTTGGTCTTTTCTACAATGATTCCGGATAGATAGATCAGACTTTATTGATCCCGAAGGGAAATTGAGGTGTTGCAGCAACCCAGCCCAAGACAAGCAAAAACAGACATCAGAATAGACGTAAAATTAAAATACATACAGTAATATAAAATAAATACATAGGTGTGTGGAAAATATGCTCATAGTCACTGTAAAACAATAAAATATGTGCAAAATGTGCAGAGGTGTATACAGATTGAGTGTCCAAAAAGTACAATAGTGCAACATGCTGTCCATAGAAAAGCAGATGAAGGGCTAGCAGTCCTAGCCTAGGGCAGTGTTATACACCCTGACAGGATAATATGCAGCTTTCAATAATACTATACACAAAAAATCTTAGAATGCCTTCAGAACCAGAAATAAAAAAAATGTTCTTTGACAACTGTACTACATAGGAACAAGTAATAGGTTTATTCCATGCTGAAAAAAAGAAGAAAGAGAACACAACGTTTTGGCCGTGAAGCCTTCTTCAGGTGTGAGCACCTTGTCCCTTTGCAGCCTACACATGCTGACGCAGCTACCCACCTGAACAACTATACTATATGTCTATATATAAATGGTTGTTACTAGTTTTCTTCTCAGTGTAAGTTTTTTCAACTCACACAGGCACTGCTTCTAAATACCTTTTAGTCTTTTCTCATTATATTGCATAATTCCGTTTTTGTACTTTACTGTATCCTGACATTTTATCAGCAAACACTTCCGTACTGTTTGTATACCAATTAAATATTTCTGAATAATCAGTTCATCTAGCTCGTCCAGAAATGGTGCATTGTCCATTTATTCCAGTTTTCCTGCTATCCAAAATGCACATTACATGAAGACTATGGCAAGCTTTGGGAAAACCGGCAGTTCTGTGATGTGGAGTTTATTCTTGGTGAGGTGAGAATTACTTTTATTCTCTCATTCCACTAAGCTTATCAAAATTATCGATCTTCTTTTTTTATATGCCAAAACTTGAGTTGCACTCGAACTTAAGGTACAGATGTAAATAAACTACAACTGGAGTGCAAGTGCTTTATATGTTATTATCGCATTTTAATACATATTAAAAATAAAACCCATGGATTTAAGTTTTTTTTAAAAAGAATTGTGTTCATATCTGCTGTCTAATGTTAAGAAAAATCTAAGAACTGAATGAGAGATCATAAAATCCATATTATCACAGTATAACATGAGCACTTCCCCCTCTCTGTGCTTCGGCTCTCTTATTCTCATCACGTACAGAAGGAGGAACGAGTGAAGGGTCACATTGCGATTGTCACTGCCAGGTGCAGGTGGCTGAGGAAGAAGATTGCTCAAGCACGGGACAGATTGAAGCAGGTCATTATGCACCATGCATTTGTGCTCTGGTGTGCCATCTACACTTACAATGTGTCATTTTCTTAGGAAGCCCATACAAAATTATTTTGCAGTTCCAGTTGCTTTCTCTGGTGCTCAGGAAAAGTAGATGAATGTGAATGATATATTTACCAGTCTACATTTTAATAGTTTTGTAAGATTGGTGCCATATTGATTGATAATCAATGGGTTATCACTGAGTTTGTTCCAATGAAGACCTTGTATGGTGTGGAAACAGTCACACACAGAGTGAAAGGGTAATAAATTTAACCCCCTAAGAGTATTTGTGTCGGATAATCAATAGCTGTGCAGTTATAACATTTTGAAAGGCCTCGGTGACTCGTCTCCTTGGGTGCCCTGTGCAGAAGTGTAAGCATGAGAATGCAGAGGAAGAGACTGTTTCTGGCTGCCAGAAGGAGACATCAGGAGGCAGCGCGAGGACTTCCTATTCACAGCCCCTGCTGGAGGTCACCATCCGTGAGGCTGAAGCCCAGCCCTTTGAGGTGCTCATGCAGTTCCTGTACACAGACAAAATCAAATACCCTCGCAAAGGTAAACAACAAGGATCAAAACCCAGGAATACTGATGCTTGCATACAAAGGTTTTGTGCATGAACATGAATAAGTGACATTATGGGCAACAGATTGCATTGTCAATATTTCCTTGGCAGATGGTACTTTTTCTTAAGGTTACCAAAAAATGCATAGCTCATTTATGAAATTTTATCTCTGCAATTTTGAAAGTCTGTAACCTTTTATTTTAGGAGGCAACCAGATTAACTTTTATGACCACTCGTCCACAGACGACTGTATTTCTCTTTTTCTGTGAACCTGAGGAGGTTTCTGTGTCAAGTCAAATGGTGTGGTAATGTCAAGTGCCCTTCCTGCTGTCCTTTGTGCAGGTCATGTCCAGGATGTTCTCCTGATTATGGATGTCTATAAACTTGCCCTGAGTTTCAAGTTGTCCCGTCTAGAGCAGCTGTGCGTGCAGTACATTGAAGCTTCAGTCGATTTGCAAAACGTTCTCATAGTGTGTGAAAATGCCAACAAACTGCAGCTGGACCAGCTCAAGGTAGTCATTGCAAAATGTCTTTGTCTGCTGTGGCTAGCACATTAAATAAGACATGTAAAAGTCAAGATTTATGGATAATTTATGAATAACACATTTTTGTGATGTTACATGCTGATTTTTTAAACATAAGTAAAATGGGAGTATTTTTGTCATTGTTTTTCTCAGAGTTTTTGTTGAACTCTTGATCAGCTACCAAAAATAAATTGAAGATGGTTATTTTGTACGATGTGATTTTTCAAAACAAATTAGTAGTGTGACATGTCCTGCGTTGCCTGAAATGCTCCGATTCTTTTATCAAACAAATCCACAATATGCAACAAGCACATTTTTACTTTTATGATCTATTAATCTTGTAGCAATACCCTTGGTTTCTTTGACAGGTATATACAACTGTCCCTTTGCCTTCTTATATTTCCATGTCTGTCCTTGCAGAGTCTTTTTGATGACCTGACTTGTTTTTTCCATTTGTCCTTTTAATTCTAGGAGCACTGCCTTAACTTTGTTGTGAAGGAGACACACTTTAACCAAGTGATAATGACCAAAGAATTTGAGCACCTCTCCACCCCCCTGATTGTGGAGATAGTCCGCAGGAAGCAGCAGCCTCCTCCCAGGGTGTACTCAGACCAGCCTGTTGATATAGGTAAGTACTGTGTACCTCCATATGGCCTAGCTGACCACAATTGGCTCATATTTATATTAGCTTTTCAGATTTAAAAACAACCAAACCTGTGCTTTCAAATTGTTTTTAAATGGTTGTCAGTTTCCTTTTTAAATCCACAAAAGAAGATTTTTTTAGTAGCTTTTCTAATGTTCAGATATCTTAGGTCTTCAGTGTTTTTATTCATGGTATCTAGCGGTAGGAAAGATTGACTGCAGCGTGCTCCGCATTGTCTTGCAGGCACGTCTCTGGTTCAGGATATGAAGGCCTATCTGGAGGGAGCAGGGCTGGAGTTCTGTGACATCACTCTCTTGCTGGATGGACACCCCCGGCCGGCCCACAAGGCTATCCTAGCTGCCCGGTCCAGGTAGTCTTACCCTTCCGTGACTGATGCCCTAATTTTATTGTTTAAGATGCTTAAAACTGGATGTGCTTTACGCATTGTATAAAACAAGTACAGAGCAACAGTAAAATCTTAAATATAAGCTTTACTGTCCCAGGAGATTTTAGAATTTGTATGAATCTGCTTTAGTTTCATTTTGAGATGTATGTTTTCTCTCACTTCTGTTTTTCCTTGTAGAACTGAAAAAGAGCGCTATATATTCCTGATTTGAATTGTCTGACCTCTCCTTACAGTTACTTTGAAGCAATGTTTCGCTCTTTCATGCCAGAGGACGGTCAGGTGAACATCTCCATCGGTGAAATGGTGCCCAGCAAGCAGGCCTTTGAATCCATGTTGCGGTACATTTACTACGGAGATGTCAACATGCCTCCCGAAGACTCGCTGTATCCTCTCTGTGCTGTGAACGTCCGCTTTAATCACCGACCGTTTCAGACCTGATCAGATTTACAGTCTGCACATGTGTCATTGAAACCAGAAACGGTTTATCGGGAGAGAAAGGGAAAGTGCACAGTTTTGTTTGTCAGCCAGTGTGAAGATTGTTTCTCCTCTAACATTGTTGGTTGGGAGCTGCTCAAGTTTTAATATGTGTATTGTGCGGCTATTTAATGAATGGCTGTGTTAAATCCTGGGAACTGAAAAGGGTTGAAGCTCAGGTGGTTATGAGGGGCGGTGGCAAGGCTAACACTGTCATGGAAAAGTGCTAAAAGTGTGATCCTGCGGGTCTGGGCAAGTTATGGGAAACTACCCTTGGGGGATTTCGAGGTGTCTTGATTCAAACTCGCATGGTGTGGTAATACTACACTAAAATACACACTGTGCACGCATAGGGATGTAGTAGTAAGGTAACGTAAGACAGAATTGTGTATACTAATGATGCTCTCTGTAAGAGACCACTAGTTCTGAAAGTATCCGAATTTCCTTAACAACAATTTTACAGTTACTTGTTTGCTGCTCCATATTATTATGGCTTCTCTAATAACAGGTTACAAGCTTACTGTAAACAGAACCTGGAAATGAATGTTACAGTGGAAAATGTTCTGCAGGTATCTTGCTCCTCTTTATAGAACATCCTGCCACATACAACATTAAGTAAATGTTTAGGATTGCAGTGCTTCTGTCAAAAAAATATATTGGCATTACCAACCATTGAAACTCAAAGTTGAAAACGAAGCAACTCAATTTTCTGCTCAAACCAGCTTCTTTATCTATGTCCAAAATTAAATACATAGTTAAAGTAGGCACAATGAAGATACTTCACATTTCACTGTAAACATTGTTTTCTAATCCTGTCTTTGCTTTTTATTAATGTTTAAGATTCTGGAGGCTGCAGATAAGACACAAGCTCTGGACATGAAGAAGCATTGCCTTCACATTATAGTGCATCAGTTCATCAAGGTGGGTGGCCTCCTCTCTGGTGCACTGGCTGTCTGCTGCCCTCTCCATCTGGGCTGACCTAGCTCTTTGACTGAGCGCACATGGGCCAGCTGGTAGGACCCAGTGGAATGTTGGCCCAAGTCCAGTTCTGGAGTCTTTTGTTCCACGCTCTCAATTTAGCCTTGAGCTACTTTAGAGCCCTGCAACTTAATACAGCCAGCAGGGTCCTCAGAATACGCAAAAGTAACCGTATCAAGCTCCGTCTTCACTCCAGATATACAGTGACCGAATTTTGCAGTTTAACCATTGTGTGCGGTATTTGTTTTTTCGGTGTTTCTGAATACCCATTGCAGCTGTTTAATGCTTGAGGCATGCAATGTCCCACCTGATCGATGATACTCTGTATATTGCACTATTCAGACCTTTGCAAGGATTTGGTTTCGGATTGTGGTTTTATAAGGCTTTTAAATCAGTAGATTTGTTTTAGTAAGTTTACCAGAATGTAACAGCTTGTTAAGTTCATGTGGTTACTTTCCGTTACCTGTATCTCCATTCGCTTACTTTGGCAATCCCTTTCAGTGGCCTACATAGGGGGGTGAATCATGTGACATTCTGTAGGCACTGTACTTTGTTCCTCACTAGGTATTTCAAATTAGGCAAAATTAGCCTTTCGAACGGCAGAAAGAAGGCATGGTTGGAAATGTAGTGTTAGCCAGCTGGATTTCAGCTGTCCCCTGCCATTCATTAATTTTCTTTAATTCCTACAGACAACTTTTTAAAGTCGGAAATTAAAATTTTGGGATTGGAGATTTTCTTATGCAAAACTATCATTCCTGTATACAGAATAAAGCAAATGGTAAAGAGCTACCAATAATGCAAGGATATAGGAAAGTACTGCAGTGATTAGAACAGGCACCATTTATTGCATAAATAGAGGCGTACTTTTTCACTAGTTTCCATGAATAATTCAGCATTAAGCACTTGTAACAAAGGAACTTATGTCCTTTACAGTATGTGGATGCAGTTGTTTTCCCCTTTGCTTTTTCTTCAGTTTTGTTTTTCCCCTTTTTCATTTTACTTTTATTTTTTTGCCTTCTAAGGTGTCCAAGCTACCCAACCTGAGGTCTCTCAGCCAGCCGCTGCTGCTCGACATCATTGAGTCCCTAGCCTCTCATATATCTGATAAGCAGTGTGCCGAAATGGGCTCTGACATATAATGGGGACTTTTCCATGTTTAGTCGGCGCCTATTTGTAACTCCACCTTCAAGGTAGCACTTTACTCCCTTCCCATGCCTGTCCCCAACACCACTCACTGTGCACCTCCATGTTTTAGACGGGAACCCTAGAAATAACTCCTTTAGTCCATCTGCATTTGGTGGATTTGCTCTTTGCTGCACACCAGCTGCTTCTACAACATCTCTAGGCTTTGTGATATTGTGTGTGATGGCCAGCAAATGTTCAGTGTAAAAACTGCTGGGGATAGAATCAATTTACAGTGTTATTAAAAAAGGCATGACCTCACTTACAGCATAAATTGGAAAAAATCCCTTTGTTGTTCTTGAATTTTGGACTTCTAAATGGTAAATAATTAGTTTAAAGCTTTGGTTCCAAATGATATATACACAATGACATTTTTGTTCTCTGCAGTTTTGTCCAGCATTGCAGAAACGTAAAATGAATAATGTTTCCCATTTTACTTTGTTTTGCCTTAATGTATCAAATACACAGATTACAGTAAAGTTTATCTAAACAGCTGCTAAGTGATTTCCAAGGACAGGTATTAAGTAAAACTACAATTTTATGATACCTTTTATGTAAATCGCCTTAAGTTTTCAACTTCTAGTTTAAAGTCTTTAACAATCCCATATTTCAATCTCTGAAATAATCGAGATCCGAGTGTTGGGAGGAGTAGTATAAATATTGATGATGTATTATTGTTTAACTGCTGCATGTAGTCTATAAAATCACGATATGGCCTTGATATCCTCGCTATGCTGGTATATTATTTATGAAAAACTCATTTATTAGAAACATGGGATTTGTTGTGAGAAGAGTCATAGAACAAGCAGCCTTTTGTAATCTTACTGTAATCAATTAAAACAATAGTAAAAATTGGTATGCTGTTGGAAAAACGTAATGCCTTTCCATATCCAAGTAAAAAAAGTTGAATTTCCAGTCTTTAATAGACTTTCTCTTCTATGGATGTTATCTCATGTTGCACTTATACATGTATCAAACCAAACTTTTACATGATTGTTCTGTTTGAATGCAAATTGTATGTTGAAGCATAATAAAGTAATAATTTTCAGTTCATAAATCTTTCTCTGGTTGATTGACCCGTTTGCCCAGTAGTGGCTTTCTGGTTGTAATACTGCTGGATTATTTAAAAACTTACTAGTGAATCTGGAATGGACAACTGAGGTCTTTGGAGCTAAATGGTTTTGCTGTTTTCATTGCAGATGATCAGTAAACTACTGAATTATAACTAACTCACATCAGTGGTCAAAATGAAATTGTTTCTAGCGTTTAGGAACTGATGATTTAAGGGTGACCCATCAAACGTGCATTACAATGTCTCTTGACGGGGATGCTTGGGTTTAGATGTTTTCTTGTATGTCTACATTGTTTGTGGAATTATAATACAAAAAAAACATTAAAGAATTTGGATTTCTAGGGCATTAAAGGATATATAAAGGAATTGTGCAAAAAGGGCTTTGAAGGTGTCAATAATGAACAGTGTTGTTATGCAGATGAAAATTGATAAGGCATGATTCAACTGGATTCACTGAAAATCGTTTATGACCTGAGAAGCAACATCAGGGAACAACAAAGAGCCTTTTTCCATTTATTCAGCACAAGGAGAGGTAAATGATACGTCCTGTACAGTACATGATATCACTTACTTGAAATGCTAGGCACTTGATGCCTCCATTTCTATGAGTTGCTTGCCACACCACAGTAGGAGCCAGGACTAAAGAACTGATATTGATGTTCATTTGAGGTTGATTGAGGTCTTAAAAGTATTTATAGGGCTTATAGTTTATAAAGAGTGTTAACAATGACCTGTGCAGTTTGGACCCTTGTATTTTCTTGTTTTTTCATGTTTCATTGAGAACCCTACAGATGTATTGATTCTGTTGACATGATGAAACAAGGTACCATTAATTTATGTTGCAATAAATTAAAAATTAATATTAGTGTGACATTAATTCTTTACATACTTTATAAAGGACGTAATTCTCATTTGTTGATTTTCATTCAGAATACAAACGAAGGCATAAACTATTTACAGCTGACTGCTGTAGTGAGAGTTTCTAAATATTAATTCTGAAATACCTAAGCTGGAGTTTTATAAACATTGGTCACATTGAAACCAAGAAAGCCTAAAGAATCATTCATACTGTACATACTATCACTCATACATGCAAGATAGTACTGACACATTGCTACTTCTACAGTGTGATGTGAATTTGTCCATCTGAAAAATTTTAGATCAGCAGTATATGGGATTGTTACTCAATATGTATTTAGCACATTTTTTTTTAGAAAGTCAGGTTTTAGCACCTTGTCTAGAGCTTGATTCAAAGTACTAAAATTGTTTCTCCAGTAAAAACATGAAACAATCTTCAGGATTTCTATTTATGTAACAAATGTTCAGAGAGGATTTTAGTTTTCAAAGTTCTGCTATTTGGAGGTTTTTTTTATTATCCCTCCAGGGCATAGAGTCTATAGGCCTGAAATGCTCTTCAGAGGATCTTATATCCTAATGGGGTTTATCTACACAATAAGTTCCTTCAGACTGTCAGTATGGGACATTGCCTTAAGGTACAGAATGTAGCTGTTTATTATGTCTCTGGATTGATTCCAAAGAAGCACAGATGACATTTCCAATACCCTCTCTTCTTTGAAAAAATGGCTGGATGAGATTGTTGGATCAATTAGCTACTACCAAGTGGGCTAGAAGGGCTGAAAGGTCTCTTCACACAGAGGTGATGAAAGAATTATCAATATTAATGTTTAACTTAAGGGTATCGGAGCTGTTCATTAAAAATGATCAAGGATCAATTGTATTCGTTTCACTTTTTTTTTCTATCAGCAAAATGTTATTTCCTAAAAATAATTGTGAAAAGCAATTGGATCGGTGGAATTGAGGGAATGCATGAACAGGCATTCAAAATAGTTTCTACTTAAACAGTTCTGTGCTATTTTGCTAGCCTGTTTAAGCATGTGCTTAAGCTGAAGTTGTGCTGCTGTAGTTTGACAGCATCCCGGTGAGTGATCGTGCTAGACTAGGTGATTTGGTCATGTAAGAAAAAGACTCGGTGCTTAGCTGGGTGTTACTAACAAATGTGGATCCATGAAAGAAAAGACTCAAAAGCTAATGATTGCAGACCAAAAGCTTTCTAACTGGTGAGACATAGCCCCTTCTGCAGTTGTCCAGCTCAGACATCACCTATGGAATGTCATTGGCTCCTGCTCTGTCCTATGTGCTCAGCTGACTCTTGACATGCTTGATTTGTTTCCTTATGCTACCAGTTTATTAACTCCCTCACATGGGCCCAGAGTTTTGTAATCCACAGGTTGACCCCCAGCTCTGTCAGGTATTGGATTTCGGGTGTTAGCATTTTCCGGCAAAGTTTGCGGTTCTTTTTGTTAATGTTCTTCTTGAGGTTGTAGCCCAGGATTGATTTCTCCCCAAAGGGCTGCCAGGGCTGCATGGACGTTTCCTGGATCCTGCCAGCCTCCACCGGCTGGCCCCCTTCGATGCAGATGGCCGCCATCTCTGCGTTCCTCCTCTGCAGCTCGGCCACATCTCTGGCCATGCGCTCTCTCCCGTACGCTTCCACTTTCTTCCAAAAGGAGGCGTTAAAGTGACGGTACAGCTTCCAGTCGATGCCGTTCCAGTCTATGGCTTGGCTTCTAAGCTCAGGAGTGAGCTTGGATACCAAGGAATCTTTGCGCGCGTTAAGCTTGAAAAACAGCAAGTCCTCCATCTCCCAGCAGAGTGCGTCCTTCAGCAGAATCAGAGACTCCTCAAAGTGCTCGACAAGCATCACTAGATGGAAGCGGTTCTCGATGGCCCGGATGCTCTCCTCCACTCGCGGGTCCTCGGGGCTGAGGTTGTTGTCATAGCCGAAGTCAAAGAACAGCAGGTTCCTGAGGTAGAAGGCGTTGTACCCGTCTGGGTCGTAGTAACGCCAGGGATCGTGCAGGAACTCGGCGAGCTTATCCTCCGCAGAGATTTTCCAGGTGAGAGGCACCACTTTGCCAAAGTAGTGGAAGGACGATTCAAATAGTTCAGCCGGGTCCCGCAGGATGGTGAAGTAAGTGCTGTCCGCTGGAAGCAGTTTCAGGACCTCGTGCTCATTAAAGCGCATGTGATTGCAGATGATATTGAAGCACATCCCTGGCCTGTAGTCCTTCACCTGCGAGCGCTGGAAAGATGAGGGGTAGAAGAAGTCATTGCGACTATCTGGGAAGGCAAACTTGAGCCGGTGCTTCTCCCCGAAACGGAAGAGGATATTCAGGATGGTGCTGCTTGCCGTCTTGTGAGTCTTCATAAACATGATGTCTACCTTTGGTGTACAGGTACCCCCCTGTCCTGATGGAATCTGGGAAGCATTGGAAGCAGGCAGAGCACGAGCATGTGCTGGGCGATATGCACAGGAGTAAGGCACTGGAATCCTGTTTCCCCAAGAAATACACAAACAAAAGTTAGGTGCGGTTGTAACTAGTATAGTAGGTACTGTATCAGTTCTATCCCTTGTCTGGAGCTTTTAATAAACAACACCTTGTTGTGAGGAAAGGAGAGATGTTTTTTTCTCAGCTATTGAGCAGAAAACCCTGGTAAAATGCCACACTTGGGTTGATTGAATAAGTGGCATCCAGAGGGAGTGAGATTCCACATGAGGGAGAGGAGCAGATGCAATAGGCTCTGTGTGGAATTTCACTTCCTCTGGAAGATGATATTCCATCAGAATTGAATGTCCTATTTACCTGACCAAATGATGAGGATTTGTTCTCCTTTCTCTCAAATCCACCTCTTACTCTCTCATACTTGTATTATGTATTATACAATATAGCTGTTTTTATACCAAAGGTTCTCATAGTACTTTACATACTCAAGGGGACCCACCACTGAAGTGTAGCTCCCATCCGTTTAACACATGTCAACCAGATGCCACACAACAACTTTACAGGTCTAGTAATGCAAAATCATGGATTTAAGGGGGAAATCTTGTGAAGGACACATTGTACAAGCCCATGTTTAACACCACTACTCTTCTGAAAAGTGCAATGGGATCTTTAATGACAAGTAGTCAGGACCTCAGTTTAACATCTCAGCTAGAGGCTGGCACTGCTCAGGATTCTCAGTTAACCACACTCTAGTCTAGAGAGTGGAAGAGCACTACCTGCTGGTCCGCACACTGGTTTTGCTTGAAATTCTCCCATCCTAGTGTAGACCAGGCCCAGCCTTGCTGATCATCTGAGATCAGACATGGTAAAGCTGTGAGGTGATGATACTATTGTTGTCCTGTCTGTGTATGAATACACTTAATTCATGACAATTGGTTCCATCTGTTCTTTGGACACATGTTAAAACATAAGAGTAAGTAACATACTTACTCTTGTAAATTTAGTCGTACAGGAGGGATAGCTAGGGTGTAGAGCAGGATCATACAGCTGGTCAGTAGGGTTCCCAGGACCAAGCCCTTACACATCGATTTCCACTGCTTCCCCTGCTTTCCTAACATGGTCCCAGCGCTGAAGCTTCCTGTATTGAGAAACAGAAAATTGAGGCCTCATCTCCACAAAGCCTAGCCTGGTTTGCAGATGAATTTGTTTTGTGATTTATAGCTTTTCGGTGTTTACAGTGCTTCAAATACAATGGAGTACAGACCCAAAACAAAAATAATTTTGTCACTATCCAAATACTTACAGACTGCACTGTGTGTACCACCTGGGAAGACTTTTTTAAAAAGCATCTCCACCACTTACAGTACATTCCAAAAAGCGAGCCCTTTTTTTTCCCCTCTGTAGTCCAAAGGTCATATCCCACGTTTACCCACAAAACACGTTTTTGTTAGGATTTTCCTTAAGCACAATGTTTACATTTCATGAAAGGTTTCACTTTTTTTTTTTTGCACTTATGTTCACACTAGGCGAAGCTTGAACCTGTGTCTTTATTGCATGAAAATGTAAATTGCGGTGAAGGCTGAGACCTTTGGTTTCCTCTGGTGTCTAATTACTGGAGAGGTCATGCTGTTTCCTATAGGGCTGCTCCCTGTAAGCATGTACTTCCTGCGTGCCCCGTCTTATACTGTTTATGGAAACAGAGGATCAGTCAGGTTCCCAGGGCCCAGGGGGTTCACATTTCAATTAACCTACTATTAGTGACGTCAGACCAATACTTCAGAGGGCAGGAACAAATGCCGGAGTGTGCTGCTGCCTCTTTGCTAGATTAATTCTGCCTATTAGAAAAACTCTGTTCAACATCAGAGTGAAGCCCAGGGGAAAAACCATTCCTGCCAAGTAACAAATGACTTACTGAACCTCACGAAGCCACACTCCTCTGTCATCTTTCACTCCGCAGTCTGTGCTTTTATTTAGAGCGTTTCACATTCACACTGCACTCTTGTTTCATTGTACTGAACGATATATTTTTAAACAGGTTTTCATGTGCTGCTTTGGGTTTCTGGTTTCTTTAACTTTTTTGTCAGTCACTTCACGTAACTTTGCCCTACTGGTTACACCTTTGCGTTGAATATAATGACTATAAATCTTGTGAAATTGGCATGGTTAGTAATACATTGCCAGACCCCACTTGCTCCATTGTGTTTGTAATGTAGAAATTAACGAGGTGGAGAGATGACAGTGGGGGGGGGGGGACTTTTAGAGTTTTAATTGTCAAGTGATTTGCAAGGGCAAGCAAGTCATAGCTTTGTGCGATGAAATAGGATAAGAAACAGAAATGTAAATCTTTTCCCACTAGATAACCACTTGTATGGATTTAAGATAAGTTCAAATTCAGATTTACACAAACTTAACAATCATTTTAACACTTCTGAATGCTTTTAAAAGACCAAAGTTTATATCAATGTTATCCTCACAAAATTTCACCTAACTGTTTTGCACCTACTGTTTGTGAATTGTATTCCTCACAGCGCACATCTGAGCCAGAAAGAGTGTCCGCTTGTTGATCAAAATAATTACTTTTCTGTGTTTTGGAGCCAATGGATGAAAGAGAAATGTGTATCCTACCTGTTACGTAACAATAAGCTTCGCACAGCCACAGCACAAATCACAAAGCTAAGCAGCAGCTGCAGCATAAACATTGATGATCCATTCTAAGTTGTTTTAATATTCCTCATAAAAAATGTTTTTGACTGTGTGTCTGGCCACATGCTGTCTTGCAAACAGATTTGTAGAAAAAAGATAAACCTGTTAAATGTGTAAATTTCAGGGCTGTGTTCCCTGTATATATTCATGATTGCATTGAAACCTTGAGGTGAGCAAAATTAATCTTAAATGTTTATATACAAAAATAAAACTGGACTGGGGTAAGCAAAGGTAAGATATGGCAAAGCCTGAGAGGCAATGGAAGAGAGTAAAGATCTGCCAGCAATTAACTGCATCTCTTTACTAAATGTAGACAAACACTGAAGAACTAAGTTTAAAGTACCATCTAACTTAGCGATGGCAAAATTATAAAAGGAAAAAATTCTGGACACAACTTTATAAAACAAGGTCTGTATTATATTGATCCCATTGCATTCCTTGAGCTACTGAACTCTGATTACTAATGAGATACTCCAACTAAAACTTACATCACATTTCATAAAGCAGTTTAAAAATTGAATATTCTCATGTAACTTTAAAAAAATCTTCCATGTGATAAAAGACAATCTCCAGAGTTAAAACAATTTTGCTAGGCTTAGAGTCCTAGTTTGTATTAGAATAAATAATAAAATAGGGAGTTTAAGGAATCATTTTCCCTCATGGAATTCTATAACTTCTATAACTGTTCAAGGAAAGGCTGCATGAACTATTAAATCAATATATTGCGATTACAAAGGATGATTCTGAACTTGATATGTTTGCCCAGGGAGGCTGGTTTTGTGCATTTGTAAGAAAATGCAAACGTTTTTTGTTCACAATACCGGACAAACTGTATTTTTTTTCTGATTTTTCTCAGAAAGGTTTGGTCATCTTTCATATTGCCAGATGCTCAGGTAACATACAGTAGTCTTGACTATGAAGACCTGTTGTAAATACATCGGATTTTTCATGCACATATCTTTTGAACTCTTTCTAGTTAATGGACTAGAGACTCTTTTTTTAAATGAAAACAAAATTCAGGGCATAGATAACACTAAAAAACATCTCACGTTCCACATGAAAGATGAAAGGATATAAAGAATATATCATTTGAATGTTTTGTTGAGTTTTATTTTCATATTCCATGGACATTTTATTTTAATTCACATAAAGCGTCTAGATTACACTGTGATGCTGTTACTGTTTCTGCCACGAAAATTGACTAGAATGAAAATGTTTAGATCAAGAGTTTCTGCTAACATGGTGGTGATTTCCATTTTGCAATTCAACAGGACTTTGAGGCTGGCATGTTCAAGATGGAGAACCTGAGGAGACACTCTGTCAGGAGCTCTCCTCTCACTTCACAGAAGGTAACACTCTCTCTCCTTGCTCTTGCTTCATGTTGGCCTGTCTGGGCCTCCCTGGGCTTCTGTCACAGGCAAACGGACACCTTTGTGTCAGTTTCTCCACTTTGAGAGCTGCATCTCATTAACAATTCCTGTTATGCTGTGCACAATGTGCTGTTCTTAACTGCCTGTTATTTCAATGTGTACGCAATATATCCAATAGAGATTTATGTTCTTGATTAAGGAACACAATTCTGTGTTGATCTTCTACTGACATTTTATTTTGATTAATTTAATCTTCTTATTCAGCCTTGTCTCACCAAGACTCCTCCGATCCACCAACCAATACGCTATTCATCTTATGACAATCTCTGCATTGACATATACGAGGTTCGACTTAGGCTCACTAAGTCTTTTAAGCTTAACTCCAGCTTATATTTTCACATTTTAAATTGTTTCTCCGGTCTCCTGTTGAGCCTTTGTGATCCAAATTTGTTGAGAGCTCTCCCAGCTGGTACGGGTTATTTGCAAAGCTGCAACAGGATCCTGTATCAAGACCACCCTTTTGATGCCACTAAATGGATGCTTCTGTTTCAGTATTCCATCCGTAGAATGAATTATAAATTCCTGTGGAAACTGATACAACAATGTAAGTGACTCTGGTCAACAGTTGGTAATTAGATAGCAAGTCAACCAGAGGGCTGATTCAGCAAAGTAAATGAGAGTTTCATCTACAGTAGCCATCTTATAAAAGAAAAATAAAAGAAACTGTAATACAGATGGTTCTTTTTCAATGAAATTGACCAAAATTGCATTGTTCAAATTCTTTTTAAAGTCAGGTCATGAGAAACTGTCTTTTTTTTTCTTTTGGGGATGAAAACCTTTTGCTATTTTACTGATTGGTACACTTATACGCGAGAGGAGTTTACAACATTTTTGTAAACTTTCACAATATTATCGGTTTCCTTCCAATCACAACAAAACACCCTTCTGTTTCAAAATCGTAGGAATTTTTCATTGTTCTGCTCCTTTCACTAAAGATTTTTTTTTGTGCTGAATAGTGAAAGGGTATCAAAGCCTGAAAATAGGTATTCTGTTAATAGCATAGGAATGGAGCATTATGGAAGTGAGGTGCAGCATTGCCAAACTCGTAACCTTCAGGATTCATTGTGTTCAGAGGAATAATGAGCAGTGGTCTCAATTCAGGAGTTTTAATGTTGCTGCCCCCCCCCAAATGACCCATTAGACCTGTGCCTACTGCATTAGGGCATTAACTTTGCCTGAACGTTTCTCATGGCAGGTTCTGTCCTTCTAGAATAAATCAATGACATCTGCAGGGTCACGTCCTCTGTCTGAAACTCATTTAAAGACCTGACTTTTTACCAATGAAAGTACTACACCTAAGAGCACAGATCATAAACACAGAAATGTTAAGCAAACACAGTCAAGCAGTGCATAGTACGTATTAGTTTAAGAGGTTGTTTAAAAGAATGATATAACTGTTCATATGAGATTCCCATAACTCAGCAGACATGTAAGACAGAATACACTAACATGCACGAAGCCAATATGAAGTGTAGTAAGAGAGTCTACCATTGGTGTTAGAAATTACAGATCTATCAGCATTAAGTGTTAGCCTGAGAGAACATTCAATTTCAGAAGAAACATGTTATTGTGTTTCTGCATAAATAAGCAAAATCATTGAGTGGAAACAACAGAATAATGCCCAAAAAGATTTGCACAATTGTTCACTTTACCTTGAGGTGTTGTTATCAAAGTTGTAGAGGTTCTGATCAGTGTGAATTAAACTATGCAAGCTAGTTATGCTCATAATCAACATATATTGGAGCTCCCGATTTTTCCTAAGAAGACTAGTGCGTTTGCAAAGCACTGTATATCAGCTGTACTGTATATCAGGGAAAACTTTAAATGTCCTTGCAGACATGATATACATGCTGTTGTGACTTTTTGGTTGCAATATGGATTTCCTTCTCTGTATTGTTTTACAGCGTGAGAAGTCGTTGTAGCCGTTCTGGCTGGGTGTCACGCTTCTCGCTCACAGACGAATCAGCTTGCGTGTAGCACGTCATTTAATGCTGGGGACCTGGTTTGAATTTCAGAACAGCTGGGACAGGAAAGAAGCTGCAATTACATTGCTCGCAGTGGAAGTAATAATCATTTTCACCGCAGGGGGGAGCACAGCTAGTTAGCTTGCACAGGTGCGAAACTGGAAAAAGCATGGCAATGTTAGCCTTATTAATGCCTGGTTAATTAATGCGTGCTATATTTCTTTTCAGTCCTTCGTTAGGTTATAGTAGCGCATAAACGCATAAACAATTCTCCGGTATGAAGTCCATAGCACGGAAGGATTACCAGTATTTCAGACTGAAACAATTCGTGTCAGTCACACTATAGTTGTGTTTTCTTCTTAAATCACATAAATAGTTGTTAAATAATGCGCTATATATTTCAAAGCATCTTACCTGTCGGACGCAGTCTAGCCACAAAACGCCTCCACGACTGTATTATAAATATCTTCCATCGTTTACACATTTTAACTAAACTTCGCTATCTCCGTCTTGTTGCTAGGTCGTGCACTGAGCTCCTGAACAATACAAACAAACATTATGTCGAAACAACGTTCCCATTATCGTATCATCTCTTTTAAAAATCTCCTTAATGGATACGCTACTGCTAGTTTTGTGTCGTTTCTGAAATCATGATGGAAGTCCTGCTTATAAATAGTACATACATTTATTTAGTTGGGATTTGCTGAGTTTTTAAACGAATATTATCTGATAAATACAGTGTTACCAGATTCAGTTCTTAGACGCAAACCAGTCTTAGGGAATTAAATGGATAACGGCATACTTTAGATTCAGAGATTCAGATAAGACCGTTCATTCTGGAGTGTGACAAAGACGTCCTTTGTGCGTTTCAGTAGCATAGACCAGATGATACTTTTTGAAACATCCACTCTTCCACAGACATTTTTAGAGAATTATTTGGCAGGCAGCTTGTATATGGATGTACGTTTTACCTAATGCCATATATTTCATGCCGACGTCTATATTTACAATTTGGGGCTTCCGTTTAAAATATCAGTCAAATGTGTCTTTCAAATACGCATTCCCTTTGAGCATGCATTTCCTTTGCGTTTTATAAAGCTCGTTGCAAATATTTAGTTCGGAACCTTATTATTTTCTATGATTTAAACTTTACAATGTTCTAATTCATTTATTTTTTCTGGTTCAGTGTCCTTTTCTATGACAAATACAGTTCGTACTTTGGCCTGACTATTCATAATTTTGTTTTGATTTGAACCGAGCAATCTTAGTGATCACAAAATATTCATACAGTATATGAAAGATACATGTAAATGCGTGGACACACTCACTGTTCTCCATACAATTTTTTCAATGTTCAATGAATGTTTTTGCCCGTTTTTCTGCGTGTTGTATTTTCTCCATCTCCATGGAAACAGTGATCAATACATTATTTTTCTTTATATTGGTAATCATTTATGCAGCTGTCTATCAATGGAACAGCCTTCCATCTCGTACACCACCGTCTCTGACACCTGTCACTCATGTAGCAGGAGGCAAACCAAACAATGCTGATACATCTTTCAGTACTAAAAAAGAAGGGAGTAAGTTTACCTCACTGTGCATAAATCCTGAAAGTCGGCCAACTTTGATGGAGAGAAGGTTACCCTGTGGTGGAAGGAAAGAAGTGTATTTTCTTCAGTTCCAAACTCCTCAGCACTAGCTTGACAGGATTATAAAAGGCCAGTTAGTTGTTTTTTTTTTTCTCTCCTCCAGCCTGTGCTGCCTCAGTACAGCTCTTCAGATGGTCTAATGTCTTTGTGTAATCCTTCGCAGCTGCACATAGTTACTGCCTCATTAGCTGGGGGGTCAGAGATGTTTTCCCCCCTGTCTTGTTGTAAGTGTGTAGGTAAGATGTTTTTTTCCCCTCCTCTTTTTTTGTCAGGTGTCTTCCAAAAACATGTCTTATCTGCGATCCCCTTCGGCCGGCTGTCGCGCAGACTAAGGCACAGTCCCGCAGGGAGGCTCTGTGGCAGGCGGCTGTGATGTCATCAGGAATTGGGGGAATGTGTGCTTGGAGGGAGTAAGCTGTGGCTCTGGTCTTCAGCTTGCTCTGCCGGTACGGCTCCGTTCAGTGAAGTGACAGGAAGGAAAAGCAGCCGGTGAGTACAGACCAGTGGGAGTATGATCGAGGATAAAGTTGTTCTTCCATGCTGGGGGGATATCTTGATGGGAAAACCTTTAATTTTCCAGCATTTGCTCTGCAAAACATTGATTAAGTGCTTTTTAAGTTTCGCAAAAACCCAGTATTTATGCTGTACTACTGGTGGATTTTTGTCCTTTTGAGAGTAATGTGGATTTGCTGTGCGGCTGTCGCCTGGAAACCAGAATTTGTACAGTAATTCTCGGCTTTTGAAGATTGTGGCTTTAGAGCGGGTGATGAAATGGTCCTTTTGTCTAGCTAGGTGGCTTAAAATAAACATCCTCTTGATCATGTAGATTGTATTGCTGCTCTGTCAGGTAATGGGTGAACTTACTGAAGCATGAATACATTTACCCTTAATCAGCCATGAAGGGAAGCTGTTGTAAATCACAAAGGAGGGCCCTCTCTCTCTCTCTGGAAGCATTTTACTGCTCCAGTTTAACAGCGGTTTAGCTGATTACACGCTCAGATCAGCTTTACACTTGTATCATATAAAAATGTAGAACCAAAATGCCCATTTCAATTATCAGGTGTACTGCATAAGCATCTTTTAGACATTGTATAACAGAACAAATAGGGACACTCTTTTGAATACAAAATGTTACCTGAAACTCTAACTAGGGCTCATGTATTTAAATAGTGAAAAATAGTCTGAATATTCAGGGGTACACACTGTTGTACTTTGTAAAGTCATAGATTCACGGAAAGAACACAAGTCAACTCAACTGAGATCACAAGAACTCTTTAAACCAAGGATTTCAAGGAGGGAAAATTGATACAGAAAATTAACATGACTAGATTAGTTTCCCTTTTATACATGAAGGTAGCTTGGGTTTGCACATCTACGCAGCACAATAGCAACAGTTTCTGCTCCATATCCTGTAAGTCCTGTGTAATACTGGGTAACAGTTTGGCAGTAGATGTTTAGAAAACCATGATATGATATGACACTTAAATCATCAGAATAGAGAAAATGCTACCAACTCAAAAATGTGATTAAAAGCACCTTCCTAAAAAATCAGATTACTCTTTATGACTCATGCCTAATCACCAACCCTAAATACTCCCAGAAATCTGAGTAACGTTCTCATGGAGGAGCAACTGAGAATGAAGAACGAATCTATGAGCATCAGGTCCCAATTTACATCAATAGCCATTCTCTCATATGCAGTCGTTCAAGCTGATCACACTTACACCAAGCAGGAAGAATGCTGCATGACAGTAACGATACCCCCAAGTCCAACATATGGGCTTTTGCAAGACGGAAGACCCACATTTGCAGAGCTCATAGGAGCGTCAGGCTGAAGTCCGAACTGGGCAAGAATGTGAGGAATGCACTGCGGGCAGGCAGGGAGAGAATGGAGATATTGAGCAGAAGGGCATGACAAATCTGGCCCAGGACCCAGACTGAGAACACAGCATCTCTGCGGGAAGAATTGTGTTTTTTTTCTTCAAGGTCGGGGTGTGAATCTTAAGCGTTGGCAGTCAACTGTTGATGAGGTCAACAAATCGCCCTTCGCCACGCCACCAAACCAGGCCTCCCTCCTCCTTCAGAAAGCATTCTTAACGTCCCAGACTCGTGAAGGGCTTGCCACAAATGCTGAATAATGCAATTCTAATCTGGAGCATTTCTTAGCTCTAGCTTACTCACTTAATACATGGCTAAAATAATGTTCTGAAAGTATAGTTACACTGTGAAGAAAAACTGTGCAGAGCTGTAACAAAGAATTATTCAGCAAAGACCTATAGGAGGTCTGTGTCCTACTTAGTGAGGCAACAAATATTTAATAATGATCAGTGAAAACATCCACTATTGGTCCTTTGGACTAGTTTGGTAACATCAAGGAACTCTTTAGAGTATTGCACAATAGACCCCCATTGAATTGCAGGAAAAGATAACCCGAGATCTCTTTAGAAAACTCCAACATTGCCTTTTATACCCACCATTTACAAAACCATTTCAAAACATTAGAGAAAAAAAAGAGTTGGTTGGGCATGACAAAGCTGCCTGTTCTGCCTCCTGTCCATTCTTTTCTCCTGCTTTCTTATCCCTGAACAAATGAACTCTGTATTTGTCCAGGCTTCCTGAATCTGATTACAGTGCAAACAATAAATGACATTCTATCTCATGCCATCAGAAAAGAAACAGGTTTGGTTTAGAATCACATTCCAGGAAAATGTGCATCATTGAAGTCTTGTATCCCAGAAGCACGCCTGATACTGGGACAATCTTTTATCCATGAATTAGGATGTTTCTTTCCCAAAAGCAACACTTATGGTGGTGGAAGTCAGTGTGTTGTAAACTATGAAAATAACATGCCCTGCCCTTAATATGTTATAGAAACATTTTGTCTCTGGCTAAAAATAAGACTTAAGTCTATATCTACCTTAAAACCTTTAATTCAGAAATCAGATGACAGTCTGTCTTGGCTGCATTATAATTAAAGTGCTCTTAGATCTAGCAATTTTCCATCAGATCATAGTCTATTTAGCATAGTCTATTTAGCACTGATTTTATCATATCAACATTAATTAATTATGCATATAGTCTTCACTTTCAGATGACCTAAAACTATTCTGGAATTAAATACAGCAAGACAATATCATTTATTGTATGGAATTTAATACAGCACAATAAGCAAATGTAATTACCTGAATAAAATTCAGCACAGGCCATAATAAATCTTCTTTTTTGACAGGTTTCCATCTACTTTACATTTAAGTAAACTGCATGCCTGTTGCTAAACAAAAATCCTGTGGACCTGTTTCATCTTGGCAATTTATTACAACAGGAAGCAATAAGATCTTGAAAAATACAGTTTGAGATTAAATTTCATATGACTTTCACCCCTCTTAAGAACATCTAAAATGCAGGACAAGAGAATATGAATGAATAAAGATGAATAAAGGTCACTGAGCATTTCAGTTTCATCTTAGAACAAAGCTCTTTACTTTCATAATTACAGGCAGATGACCTGATCTGAGACTGTGTTCTTATTCCCTGACCCATTATCTTTAATACCAGAAGGCAAATCAACTCGAGGAGCCCAGTTAATTCTGGAGTTTGTACAAATTCCACTCTCTGCAAACCAGCTCCCCTCAGCTGCACCACATAGTGAAACTGTAAAAGTCCTTTTCCAAAAACTGTTACTGTTTCTTGGCTTTTTTCTTCTTTTTTTCAACTTTTGCGTTGTCATCATGAGCTTTCCTCTTTGCTGCCAGTTTGTTTGCCTGTAGGGAATAGAAAGCATGTTAATAAGTGGTGCTGTAAGTGTTAAGGTCACCTTACTCAAATCTCACTAATTAGAATTCTACACCCAGTGTTTTTCCACATTATCTTCCAAAGGGTTCTGTATTTTTTACTCAGGTTGAAAGTAGACTGAAGCCTGCAATCCCCTAGAATCAAATATTCTGAAACACGGTAAACAAAATTACGACTGTCAAAGTGACACAAATGACCACAATGCTTAACTTTGTTTTGGGGCCTGGTTATAAGGAATAGGAAGTAGCTGTATTCAGGCCTCAGAAAAACCACTCTGCTTAAGAAGGTCTTGACTCACCTCTCTGATTTTCCTCTTTTTGCCAAACATGATTTTGTCGTAGAGGTACTTCTCTTTCTTCTTCATCATCATGATGGCCAGCCGTTTCTCCTCAGCTTTCTCCTCCTGCTCCAAGCGCATCTTGTTCTCCATTTTCATCTTTCCTGGTGTCACCTTCACGGAGAGAGCCTGAAAAGAGGTGGAAACAGTCACTCTCTCCACATAAAAAAAATAAAACGCGCCATTCTCAGTGCTCTTCAGCAGACGGTACTCTAATCGGCAAGCCTCTGATCACCTAAAAAACCAAACATATCACACTTGGGTTTCCAGCTGTTCATATTACCCTTTTTCCTCACAGTTTCAATGCGGTTTTTAATTATTAATTCATAGAAAGCATTGGTGTTGATTACTTAGAAATTGCAACTTTTAGACTGCTGAAAAACTTCATTTTCAGTTGTCCCCACAGGAAGCTAACTTCATCAGTCCCACCTCCACACCAGTGTCCCACTCTCTCCTCACCTTGCCCTGAGCTCTCTGCTGTTCCATTTGCTTCAGGTTCATCTCCTCTGTCACCTCTTCTTCATCCATCTCTTCATCCACCGAGCCCTCCTCTTCCTCCTCCTCTTCTTCTTCCTCCTCCTCCTCTTCTTCCTCCTCACTCTCAGCCTTGACTGGTAACGAAAGAAAACCCTTGTGTGAAACACTGTCATTGTGGAGTAGTCACTTGCTTCTGCCCTTCCCAAATCCACACAGCAAGACTTGCCTGGGAGAAATGTACCGCTCTAAGGTTTACCTTAAGCGGGGAAAAACAAAATGTGTTCATTTGGTAAGAGATGAATTTGTTTGAATATTGTAAAACGTGGAAGTACAACACGGTTTTATCTGCCGAAGCATTACTGTAAGCTACACTTCAAACAGTCAGTACAATATATACCAAGACTTTCAAAAATGTGCCACAGGTTGTTCTTACACGGCATTTCTCCTCGCTGCAGTGCCAGCATCTGTAGCTTCTCAGGTGGCATGTAGTCCCCATCTTTCTCCTCTGCGAAGGGCGAGAGATGAGGCGGCAGGACGACGCCAGGAAAGTAGTCCTCCACAGGCAGGAGCAGCCTGGCATTGACGCAGTCGAACACCCACTGGGGCTGAATGTAGTACCTGCCACACCAACCCAGGAGCGGTCAGAGACATGCTACTATACCGAAGAAAAGCTTGGGGCAAGGTTCAAAACGTTCAAAAACACACACACAACCAGAATATTGAAGACCGCTGGTTAAATAAACAGCACTTTTGATTAGAAAATGCCAGACACTGTTTTTCTTTGCACATTTTGATACAGAACTGCATTCTCACTGCCACCACAGCAGGCATCAATTGAAAAGGATTCATCTTATGCTACAGCTTTACAATGGAAGACATGCTTGTGGCAGGGAGGGGCCCCACTGAGAGAGAATTGTTCTTCCTCTCCTAAATAGCCCTTCTGTGGTCCCTTGTAGGTTAAAGATGAGGAACAAAGGACACGCGTGACTTTCAAGCTCCCTCCCCCAGGAAGCCATGGAAGAAAGAGCTGTATTGAGCTTTATGGCCCAAGACAGAGCCTGAAAGAACTCTTTGTGGGGCTGTGTGCTCCCAGTTCTGAACAGGGTCCAAACAAAAAGGACAGAAACGGAGGGAATGATAGAATGCTCAGACAGCAGGACTGCACAGTGCTGTCCTGCACAGGGAAGAAAGATGAAAAACGCTAATACTGTGTAACAGCGCAAGCCAAAACTGCTACTTGTAAAAGCTAGCCTGGGCAAAGGGCTAGAAACAATCAAGCTGTATTCTGGGGTCTGCAGTACTGTAACAGAACCACCATATGTTTTTGTAGGAGGCAGGGGCTTAAATTTCAAATACTGCTCAAATGTCTTCTAATTCTTTTAAAATGCATTATAAACTCCACTAAGCTGTTTGTTCCAGCATACTAGTTCAGTCCTGCACCTTAAAAAACACCTGCATGAACTATGGTGTACTGCACTCTGGCAAAAATAAGTTCAACCACTGCATGTAGCCTGAAAGTGCTATACCTTTCAAGACCTTACCTGTTGATATACTGCTTGTCCAGGCTGGGTCTGTCGACTATCTGGTGTGTGATGGTCTCGTCTGTCACATCATATGTGCCACCGATACAGAGGGACTTGTCCCAGGACACCTGCCCTCCAAAACACCTTTACACCAAACACAAAAAGCAATTCAAACCTGCTGCCAAGAACGTACCAAAATATAACACTTCACTGGTCAACAGTAATCCTAATTCTGACTTCAACCACTGACACCAACCCATAGCTCCAGTGATACGAAAATCTAAACTATTTAGATGGATATGTGAGATAATGTCAAGAATGTATTGACATCAAGCCATAATGCTCTGCTAGTAAGAAAAGCTCAGGTTGTGTTTCATTATTTGAAACCAGCGTGTTGCTGTTCCACTTAGGGAGCAGTCCCAGGACAACGGTCAGGTCACTGACCTGATGACGAAGGCGAGGGGTTCCCTGGGCACCTCTCGGTTCAGGAAGAACTTCAGGCCCTCGAAAACTTTCTTCTGGGCCTCCAGCTGCATCTGCTCTTTCTGCCTCGCCTCCAGCTGCTCAGCATCCTCCTAGAGAGTGACAGAGAGGTGTCAGGCTCCAGGGGACAATCTGCATCATCACTGTGATCACACAAGCCAGGAACCAAGGAGACGGGCCATCTGAACGCCTTCTGCATTGGCGAAGATCCATTAGGGCACCAATCATCAAGTCTCTCATAGCGCACAATGAATCATCTGGGGTATTCTTTACAACACCTTTACACTAAATTAAGGCATAGAGAGCATCAATCGACCATGCATCTGATTCAAGTCTCTGAGGTTTTAGTTAAGTCAACAGAGCAGATTTTATTGTTACAAGAAAAAGGCTAAGAATACAGTACTTATGTATGTTGTTGTCCGTCACTGCACAAAAGATGTTAAATACCAAACCAGAAAATTCACTCAGTACTTTTGCCTTTTGTTTCGGAGAACTAAAATGATCTATATTTAAAAATATCCAATTTGGATTATTCCTGTAAGGAACAAAATTCCTGGTGTGTAAGCAAATTATTAAAGAAAACGTAAAAATCCATCCTTTTCAGACCTTGTTCATTTGGTAGTGTAAGCAGAGACATCTTATAAGCCATAACATTTTGACAAGTTTGTACTATTTTAATTTAATGAATGAAGAAAATGGACATCAGGTTGACCTAACAGCCTACCCAAGCCGCAAAGCAGGGATTTAAAATGTTTAGGGCAACAGATTCCATCTCCTCACCCCTTCTGCAGGAAACTGATCCAGTTCCACCTCTTCCTCTTGTCCACTGGAGATGACCCGTGCCAGGCTGGCACTGAGCGCTGCGAGTTTCTACGACACAACACACCAGCTCAAACAGGCAGGCAGGAGCACAG